ACTGAATAAGGAACATTATGATGACTTCTGACCGGTGCCCCTGGCCTCACTTGCCTGAACACCAGGTCAGCAGCCCTACATGTAAGCCTGACCTAATATGAGCAGAGGAGAAGCCATGCCAGCCCTTTCTCCATTGATTTCCGCTCTGCATTAATACAATCATCCCAAACAGGCCAGTAACTAAATTACGCAACCTTCCACAATCAGCCTGCGTCCAGATAAAGGACTTTCGAACAGGCCGCACGCAGCCAAAACAAGCCCCCATCTTCTTCAGTATTGGCTCTCCACAAAGATGTTTGCTGTGTCTAAAACTGTATACACTCACAATTGCAGTCAAACCCATCCCGGCAAGAGGGTCATCGATGGGTTTCTTACTACTTTACATTGAGAACTCTTACAGCTCAAGGTGCCCCAGAAGAGCAACAGACATGTTATAGAGAATATTCTTCCCATCCTAGTGACACTAAATCAGCCCTCACAACGCAGGTGTTGCAAATTGTCAAGGAAGTTTTCATATATATATTTAATGTGTGTAACAGAAAAGAGAATTTGTTCATTTCCTGCAATCCATAACACACGAGCAGATTTCTGTGCTAACAGCAAAATGTGTGTGTGTAGTTGCAGTTTTTGATGCACCCCATCCACAGACAGGTAATCTAGTCAATGTGTCATTTTTGTTGTTTGTTCTCCAGGAAAAATGATTCTTTTTTGATTAGTGACCATATCACCATCTGTACTGCATCTGAATCACCCCTCATTTTTCCTTTACACTCACAGTATATCTGTAATTTCCATTTGAATTAATGGTCCTTCTGAGTCGTTTACAAAGTGCTCGAATAATTGACCTTCTGTTCTTCTAATGACTATTGAAATCCTCCTCTCTTCTTCTGCCTCCTTCCATCTATTTTCTGAATCTTCAATCTTTGGCTCTCCTCACCTGAATTTCTGTTATTACACCTTATCATCTTACATTCATCTCTCTCGTCTTATTTTGTCATTTCCTCTGTCACATTGATTTTCCGTCTTTTTTTTCTTATCTCCGACCTCCATCATCTACCTCCCCACCACCACATTCTCCACCTCATTCCCGGCAATTTTTCCATCTTTATTCTAATGTTCACCCTCTGCACTCCAACCATACCCCTCCACCCCCGCCTCTCTCTCTTCAGTTGTCCATGGAGGACACTACTTCCATTCTGCCCCGTCTCAAGATGAAGCCCAACAACACCTATGGGATCGGTGCCCTGGCTAAGTCCTCTCTGTCAGGTGTGTCAGGTGTGTGTCTGTGCTGCTCGATGGTAAAACAGCCCCCATGTTGCCTCCACGTGCTCCTCACTGACTAAAGGGTGAGGTTGTTGTTGAGCAGAGGTAGCCCTGTTGTGTAAAAGATCATTTGTTTGCTTTCTTTTTGGGTGCACATGAGAATCAAAGGGGTTTTATGATAAGACACACTCTGTGTTAAGTTTGTGCTCAGACCCTATAGTGAATAAAGGATTATGAGTATTTAATCGTTGGCGAAAGGTTAACATGAAGTCCCTCTAAAAGTCTAACACATTGCTCTTTGAGATAAAACAACACACGTTTAACATTGATTGACTGAAAGTTAGCATGAACAGAAAGGTTTAATTTTTCCTCTAAAAGTCTGTCTTTTGTGTAGCTGGAAGACCAATGCGGGGCAGGGCTGAGTAGTTTCAGGATGCTCCACATATTTATGAGGCTGCCCTCAAGTGGGTGCACGCAACACCATGAGCAGCAGGGCCAGCACAGCATGCAGGTACTGGGGGACGTTTCCTGTGCCAATAAACACATAAACACAGTGAGCGACTACATGGAGAGTCTAGCTGTTCAGGCTCACAAAAACTCATCATTTTTCTTTTTTCAAATGAATGCAGCAAATATATGCGCTTACATTATGTGTGTATCAGGATTAAAACTATTACTCTTCAATAAGGGGAAAATAATGCTAATCCCAAAGCCATCGACCAAATTATAGATACAATAGTTGAATGGCAATAGTCAGACCTTATTTATTGCTTTATTTGTCAGTCAGTTGAATGGGGATGAGTCATTTTTCTCATACTCATGTGACACGCACAAAGAAAATACAAAAGCCATCTTTTAACGTTTGCCATAAATGGCAGCTTTTGCCATTTAAACCGCGCCTCAACAGACAACTTCACTCTGGAGTCGCAGGCGGAGGAAGAGGAGCTTGGAACCAACATGACCACCCCTGTGGGTGCCCCTTCCTATACCCCACCTACTTACCCCCTTTCTTCCATTGATTTCAACAGTTGACGCCAATGACACATTTTAGGGTCATTGGCGGAAAATCAATCAGATCTTTGATTTCAGAGAATCTAAAGTAAGTGAGATTGCTTACTTTGTTCACCCACTAAAGTATTTCCACAGGTGTGTTGGGGATTGTAGTGTAATGTGGCATTGCGGCTGACTCTGTGCAGTGTTGTGACAACAAGTGGTTGGTGGTGCTTTTGTGCTCTCGTGTTTTGTGCTTCAAACTGACTGTGTAGCACCTGTGTGCAATATGCTGTCTCTGTCGCGTCCGGTACAATTAAAATACGAGCGTTAATGTAATTCAACAGTGTATGCTATCTCTTTTTGAGTCTCTGGGAGACCAGGACCCCAACACCCTCCCTCATCCACCACCCCCATTCTTTCCATTCCTATTTCCATCCCCAATTAGGCTCAGCAGCGAGTGTTTGATTTTCAAATGAGATTGGCTCTCTTTGTCTAAGGGGAGATCTATGTCTATTTATATCTCAGCCTGTAAGTTTCCCCGTGGTCAAGGGAGCAATTTCCAAAGCTCTGTCTCCGTTTATTCACGCCCGCTTGAGTTTTAATTTAATATCTTAATCGATCTCCCCCTACTCACATTTGACCCAAGGTATACGGCCCTGGTTTGAATCGTATATTTGCATCTTAATTGGCTCGACATTGTGACTGCGAACTCTACCCCAGTGTCGTGTTTACACTGGAAGATTCTCTGTTTTTAACTTCATAAAATCTAATGAAGCTCATTAACCAGAAGTTCTTGTTTCAGTTTTCCTTTTGGGTTTGTCAGCATTTTATCCATCACCCTTGTCTTATTTTATATAGATATGCAAACTAGCAGGCAGCCATGGCTAATTTCATGCCTCACCAGTGGTGTGACCAGTCCTCCTCATTATCTTTTCATTTAAGTGGGTCACATGACATGGGGAATTACTTAAAAAACAGATTCAGCAGTAAATGAATCATATCTTTCCTTAATAATCCAATGGTTTGTGAGCTGAAAGTTATTTTCCTTACTTATTAAAGTCATAAAATAAAACCGATAAGGAGTAGCGCTCACAAAGCACGACCTGCTTTCTGCTTCCATTTACTTCACTGTTGTAGCTTGACATGAAAGGGATAAAGAAAGGAGGTTTTTGCATATTCAATGAAAAACACATATATCACCAATCCCCCTTTGTGTAAAACAAACAAAAGCTCTCACTTACTCAAGTACCTAATCAACTATTAAAGAAATATCTATAAAGGAATAAAGCAACATTGCTTACAGACTTAATATTAATCCTTCTCTCTCTTCACTATTCAACAATCAGGAGATAACTAAACTTTATACAAACTCCAACCATAAAAATCAACTTTAAGAAAAACAGTTTATTTATCCCTATGTTGTATAAAGAGAAGTCAAAGGTTGAGGCTACGGAGGGGGGCAGATTTGATCATTATGAAAATTAATACAACAGTGTTTCTCCAGCTTTAATTGGACTATTAATTATACAACAACCGCTTGCAACAAACAGCATTCCAAACCAACAAATGCTAATACTAAACAGGGCACCCTGCTATGGACGGCCCAGCACAGCAGCAAAAAGAGGCACGACAATTGCTAAAGGATTTAAAGCTTTAACGGAGAGGCCACAAACACTCATCCTGAGACTCATTATCTGCTGAATGTGTTTGTGTTCGAGACAAAATGGGAGCCAGGTTGCACTAATCATTTCATGTGCACTCACATAACCACCTGAATCCAGGGCAATAGATTTATTTGTCCATTTTCTCTGATGTTACAAAGATCCGCTCCATTACACAGTTTCTCATCATCATTCTGCTTCCCTCTGGAGCCTCGGCATTTAGCAAAGTCCAGAAGTAGTTTTGACTGTGTGTCTTTGTGTGCGTGTGTCTTTCTGTGCGTGTGTCTTGTGTGTGTGTGTGTTTGCGTGTGCGTGGGGGGTTGTGTTTTGGTGGTCTGGCCCTCCGGCTGCCCTCATACCTGTAATAGGTGTAACTCGCTCCATGAAAGACAAAGTGACCAAGCCCACGGCCATGGCCCAGGGTCGCGTTGCCCACATGATTGAGTGGCAGAGTTGGGGTAAACCAACTGCAGGGCCGCAGGGGGTCATTGGACGCACCAACCTGCAGCGGGAAAAGGAGAGGAGGATGGAGAACGATGCATACAGCGACCTGAGCGACGGCGAGAAGGAAGCTCGCTTTGCTGCAGGTAATGCGGCTTTTCTGTGTTTAAAACAGGAAACCAGGAGGTCACACCCATTTCAAACTGAAAGATGTGTTTCCTTTTTTGCATGAACATTATTTTTTCTGCACTTTGGCGCGCTAACTAACTGGTTCTGACTGATCTACAAACCCAGATTAGAGAAAGGTGGGACGGCATGGAAAATAACACAGGCCTGACCCGTCCCCAAAGGAGAGAGTGTGGGAGACATGACTCTACCTCAATCTCTTTAGAATCGGCGTCTTCAATGCCGCCTTTGAAGAGTTACCGCGTCACAAAGAGAAACAACTTAACAGTCCCTTACAATCTCTTTGGGTGTGTTGCATGCAGAAACAAAATATAATAATGTAGAAATGAAATAAATGATACATTTAATGATTCTACTTCAAAAAACATGTTTTATTTTCAACCTATAGTTTCAATTTGGACCACATGTTCTGAACTCCCAGTAGTTTTGCCTGTGGGATGAAATGACTCATTTTCCACATGCCACTGATTTTAAAACCTCTTGATTGCACAATTTTGTTCTGCATTTCGTAGAAAAGCAGAGGCTGCGATTTGTATTGAACGTTTTGTGTGCAATTAGTGAGTAAAGCACGGTTGTTTGTGTTGCTGCACCTCTGTCATCCCTCCATCCTCAGGCATTATGCAACAGTTTGCAATCTCTGAAGCAACTCTGTTTGGCTGGAACTCAATGGACGGGGAGAGTATGGGAGCGGGCTCCAACCAAGGCAGCGTTGCTCACCTAAGTGAGGTCAACCAGGAGAGCATCACCAGCAGAGGTATCCCTCCCCTGCATGACGAGAAACGCCTATGCAAAGCCTCAACTCAGAGCCGTTGTAGTGATAAACCTGTTTTTGCCTTCTAAGATGCATTAAGGGGATGAAAAGCTTACAGCTACAGGTTAGATGTAAGCAAGTTGAGTTAGTCTTTTTTTTTTTAGACTACGCTGAAACCCCAATACGGTTAAATGCTGTACCTCAAAAAAGAAAAAAAAAAGCAAACTAAAAACAGCCAACAGTCAAGGATTTTTAAAGGGCAAAAACACAGCTGCACATTTCTGCCTTTACTCCTACAGGGAGCATCTGGCAATGACGAATCCAGATGACAGGCTGTCTTTGCTGAACCGATAGATGTGTCTCACATGTGCTTGTGTAAGATTATTCAGCCCGAAATCTAGAAAAAGCAGCCTGGAAAAAGAAGCTAAAAGCTGAAAAAAAAAAAATGGATCACCAAAACAAACACAGGTTAGATTGGATCTTAAACACGTGCTGAGATGTTTCTGCAGTTAAGAAGAGATAAGAAGAGATGAGATCAGAGAAGGGCATTATTAGAAAATACTCCCAGAATACCAAGACAAGAGGAAAGGTTGTTTAAATTAACAAAACCATATGTCTGCTGTTTTATCAGGGAAATGTCCTGTTTGAAATATTTATAAATCCATTATCAGTCTTTGGTTAAACTTTTTTTTCCAGCCGGTTCTACCTTTATGTGTGTACGTGTATCCCTGAACAGACCAGGTGCTCCATCACTCCTCTGCAGATGTGTGGCCTCACACCTACGTCTCACAAGGCCTGTACTGCCTGTCGTCCTCTGATGCCTGGGACCCCATCACCAGCCAGCCCTCGGGCGTGGCCTCACCTGCTGCCAGCTCCTACATCATGGCTGCCGGTGATGACTTATTATTGTTTTTTTTTTCTAGTCTGTTACGGACGGATCTGAGCTGGTAACTGTCTGTGAGCACAAGTCCCACGCTTCATATCCATGTTTCCAGGTGGCGGCAGCGGAGCGGGGGGTACGCCCGCTGATGGGTATGAGGGGACGGTGGGAGGTTACCTTCAACAGCAGCACCAGGCTCACCTGGCTTTCCAGCAACAGAGTCAACTTCAGCAGCTCCATCACATCCATCACTACCAGCAGCATCAGCTACTGCAGTACCAACAACAGCAGCAGGTCTGCTGGTTATTAATTACCTGTAGGCATGGAGCAATTAGGCCGCCTCCATAGCTTTCAAATGAAATGCAGCATCGGATGCATCTATGGCAGCAAAGGAGGGGTGTGTGTGTGTGTCACTGTGCTTCTCAAGTTCATGACGGTTACATTGTTCAGCAAGCCACACGGGCCGGATAATCAGGCGTTCCATTGCCTGATCATTCTGTCTAGAACAGCAACATACTTAACAAACAGTACATACTTATTAGCAACATTAGCTGCATGAATTGTGTCGTAGCGATAGCTTTTCTGCCGAGTGTGGCTGTGAGACGCTGTCTGGCTACGTGAGGAAGTTACTGTAAGGCCGGCAGCAGATTGTGGCGTGCGGATGCAGGCAGTCAGCATCTGCCGCAGCCACCGGTTCAAAGCACAGCACAGAGCTGGCAGCAGCCAGGCTCAGAGCGACGATGACCCCGGGACTAACTGCACAACAGGTCACGCAGCTCTTCACGGGGTGTGCATTACACGGCCCCCCCCCTCCTATTGCTTCAGGGTGTGAAACCTGAAATGTTGAAGACTTTTCGGTGTGGCGTTTCACTTTCTCACAGCTGCGAATCGGCGGCTGACTTTCAGCTTTCAGACTGATTGAGGATTCTCTGCCGTGACTCAGATGGACCGTGACACCTGCAAACCTTTTCGGGCTCCCTGGCCTGCTCTTGCCGGGTGCAGTCTAAGAGCTCATTAAATAATTCTGGGTTATGAAACGACAACTTTAAAAGGTCAGGGACTGTTTCTCAGAAAAGGTGCAATGATCCGAATCCACATTGGAAATGAGCTTGTTAGCTTCATTCTGTGCATTATATGGTTTCCATCGAGAAGAGCTGAATGCATTACATTGTATTATTATGAGTATTGTGTAAGATTCATAATGAAACCTCCTGGTCAGTCAGTTTTCTTTGCAGCAGCCTGCAGAGCCATGGCTGATTCATAATTTAAAGGGGAGAGGAATTTGGACGTGACACAGTCAAATAAGAAAACTCCCCCTGCTCGACCTTTTTGGATGCAGAAAGTGTCTCTCATTAGCTTTCTCAACTAAAAATAATCAGAAATGAATGTTGCTGTCTCACATTTCCCGCTCATGATTTCGCCCAAGAACAAGAAAACAACAACAAATGTTTTATTATAGAAAAAGAAGAACTGCGACCAACTCCTGAATTGATGGGGATGCGTTAACAACAACAATTCTGAAGTATCTCCCTTCACAGGTCTCATCTCTCTTTGTTTGCAGCCTATGGAGCACAGGCTACACAGTGCATCTCATTCCCTCCAAGCCACTCCCAACAGCACCATCCACAGCCTCGGTCCTCCCACTCACCCTCGGCTAGTTGACCTGTGGGGGACCGCACAGGTTGAGGCACATCAGGTAGACACTTCCCCGCTGAATCCAAATGATCGGATCACAGTTCTTGCGTACAAGATGTTGCTTTAATCAGTTCTGACAGAACAGCTATGACAGTATACAAGGACACACGGGCGCGTGACTGCATATGGAGTCACAAGGATAGGCTTTGTCTTTAGTCACAGACACAGGGTGACTCAGACAATGCGATCACCGCATCTGTGACAGCACGTTTTGCTATAATGTGAAGCTAAGGTTTACTTTGTTTCGATTTAATCTGTGAACAGGAGGAAAAATATACAGACGGACAGAGTTTTTTTGTGTTTTTCATTCCACTTGACATTGATATCTACTGATTTTGTCTGGATTTGGCTTTGTTTATACCAGCAGGCCTATTTAGCACACATCTGTAGTGAATGATGAACTGCCAGGCAAGTCTTGAAGGTAGGAGACAGGCCAAAAGTCTGCATGGAGAATCCCCCAAAGTCTGCATGACAGCTTGAAGTGGATTTGAGTAAATTTGTCAAAGGTCATGGGTAAATAAGCCTGGTTGCCACAGTGGCATGTCACAAAATCCACAAGTTTACAGCATTTGAATTCAGGATCTGTAACTGTCTTACTGTTACTGTCTGTAACCACTGTGTACGAAAACTAAGCAGGGCAAGGACAACAGAGCTCATAAACTGCTTGCTCATATTTCTTTATTCTTCAGTTATGTGACATTTTTTCTTACTGTCGTTCATTACAAATAACAAGAGTCAGCACGAATGACTGCTATTATTTGCGTTTATTTCTAATGTATGCAAACTAAAGTGATGGTAACCTGTTGCATTTCTCTCTGGCTTGAAATCAGTGCTGCAGAAAAACACTAGGCATTCAATCAGTAACCTTTAATGTTTCCAGGTGGACATAATCGGGCAGCTGAATGCACAGATGGTTGACATGGCTGGAGGGCTGGTGGAGACAGTTGGAGAAGAGCCAGAACCTGAGTCTGGAGGGATCCCTGAGCAACATGAAGAAGAAGAGGAGGAGCTGACCAGGGTGAGTTGGAAACAATTCAAGTTTTCTTTTTTTTTATTGATGGTTTCTAATAAAGCTACAAAATAAGCTAAAAATGCAATGCACCATGTTAAAAAAAACCCAGAATGCATTGATCTGAAGAGCTGAAACCAAAATTTTAGTCTCGATAAATCATACAAAACATTTTAGCCTTTTGAAAAATATGAGTTTATGTTTTTTTGGGAAGCATGTCAGAGCGGTTTTATCATAGAAACGCATCCTTTCTTCGTTTGACATGAGAGAAAAGTTGTTCCATTCAAACAATGCTTCCTGCTAATCAGCAGCCTTTGCCATTTTCAGTTGATTTATGAATTGTGGACTACAGGCAGGTCAGTTCAGGTCCTGAGCTACAAAGCCATGCTGATGTAATTGTTGCCGCATGTTAAGCACCATTTTACTGAAAAATAAATGGTCAGGACACAGGCTTCCCTAAATCCTGTTTGCACCTTATTGGATGAATGGTGCCTTTCCCGATGAGCAGGTTTGCAGCTCCGTTGACTGTATTGCATCCCCATGCCATCAGATAAGCATCCTCCTGAACCGAGATAACAAGAAGGATAGTCCATGTCCTCTTCAGCTTTCAGGATGGTGCAACCATGATTTAAAAAAACAAAAAGTTAAAATCCTTCAGCTTGGCTCTAGACCGAGCTTTTATTTACCAGTGTCTCTGCCTCAGGATTAAATCGGGTTGCTTCTTTGCATGATATTAACCAGCATTTGTGGGTGGATGGATGAATTCTAAACGTACAGTTCTAATGCAGGGCTGCCTAAGAGCTCTGAGATCAGAGACGTTTGATAGTGTCTTTAGCAAAATGTCTCTGGATTGTCAGAATCTTTTGATGATAGGCTATGAAGTCCTTAAGGTGATGGAATATTATCTGAAATTGCTCCACAATTTGTAGTTTTTTTCAGATTGCTGAGGCTCTGACCATCTTTACTTCTGAGAGACTCTGCCTCTCTAAGGTGCTTTTTTAAAATACCCAATCACGTTACTGACCTGATACCAGTTAAGCCAAATAGCTGCTACATGTTCTGCCAGTTTTTTTCTCTTTAGCACAGCCTGCCTTTCCAGCTTAATTTGTACACCAGCTAGCTCTTTTTTAAATGCATCCAGATACAAGGTTACTGGGCTTTTATATATTTACAGATACAATCCCAAAAAAAGGACACAACTTTGTTAATGAGATGAGAATAAAGCCTCAATTGTCTGTAAATATTGGAACTGTAACATGAAAAACAAACGACTCTTAATTTCCCATTTTCCAGGTCGAGGAAGTAACATTAACTTTGGAGCCAGAGCCATGCTCTCTGACACCATCCCCACTGAGGGAGGAAGCCCCCTCCACCAGAGGTTCCAGCCCAGGACTACCAGCACACACCGCCGAATCCATTGCAGAGAGAATACCATTTGATGTCACGCCCTGCATCGTCCAGTCGTTGGAAGAAAAAGACGAGGAGGGGGAGGAGGGTTCCATTGTCATAGTTGCGACCAACTGAGTCAAATAGCCACACACGGACTGAAAAAAGGCTGGATATAAATACTTCAATAATCAATCAAGCTATAATCCCACCCCCGTCTCTCAAATATGTATCCACTTTGAGTCTGAGAAATGTGAGACAACTTTTTAAGCTGGAATCCTGGGACCTGTAAAGTACACAAACTAGGTGCCAACAACCCCCTTCCATCTTTTCAATTTATTATGAGAAACTGGGAACATGACAACACCCTTAACAAACTGAATTTAAGGAAAGTTTTGAGTTCAGTGACTGCTGAAACCATCAATGTGTACGTGGACTAACAAGCGTTTGGACAAACTGGACCAAAGAGCCCAGAACTGTAAGCCAAATGGGTAAAAAAAGGATGGATGTAAAATTTCTCAAAAACAAACACAAGAATAAAAAGGTGGAATGAAAGGAATGTGAAAGGCCTATCATAATATTCTGTGCAATACAAGAAACATGGAGACAAACTGGGCCGGTAAATAATTCAGAGTGCATGCTTCATACTGCGCGTGGCATCAGAAATATCCAGGACGGCAGGACCAGACGTAGGCTACCTTGTTAAGGAGCTGATATGCTAATAAATGTGTTTTGGTTTTGACTGACGCAGAGCTGAGATATAGTGTCTTCATGTCAGAGACCCACAGCTGGGAGAAACCCTGAGGTTTGCACTTCAAACACAAGATCTTACCACAACCAGAGGAAAGCGCATGCAGTGACCTCGCCCTAACAGTATAACACAGTATACCAGGTAACAATATAACAAATTGTTATCTTATAATAAAAGAAAAAAATCCAATAAAGGGGATATGTATCTGTATGAATGTAAGCTGTATGTATGTCTGTATGAATGCAGCACCTTTTTGTGTAATGTGTATGTAAATGTACATTCATATACACATATACATGTGTATATGTATAATTTTTTACTTCAAAGCATATTTGTGATCTAAATCTTCAATAAGATGACCAATTCCTGAACCGCTAGATAATCACAGATAATCACAGATAATTCCAAGTAACCCCAAAGTCACCTTTTTGTACCAGCGATGAGCAGGGGAAAGAAAATTCCTTGCTCTCAAGGGCACATATTGACTACTTAAATCCATAAGACTGATTGCTGGAATACTCAAGCTAGCTGCTCGGAGTTAATTGTACCTTTCAGGATTGCTTTTTTTTGTCTTAAAACAGTCAAGCAAACTCTGGCATTCAAACAGGACTTCAAAAGTAAGCAGCATGGTACAAAAAAAACAAAACAAAATGATGTATTTTCCAATTTAGATTCTCCAGAACCAGAGGAATTAAGGGAAGCATCCGGCCACAGCTGCTACAGAGAACGATTCATTCTTCTATTTCACTGATCAAGACCTGGTAGCCCCTAATTTCTATGATAATCATCTGTCCTTTGTTTGTCCTTGTGTTCAGATCTGATTCTGTGAGTAGTTCTAAAGCTCGATCGACAGGAGGACGCAGAACTGGAGCAGCTTTTTACCTGCAGCAGCATTAACATTTTGTCTTAAAGTGTTTTCCTGGCATTCATTTACACCTCTCTGACTCAACAGTCTCAGGTTTTGTCTTTTGGGAACTCGGTTTCATCAGAGCAAACCGTTCCGATTGTTTCAGGGAGGTGGGTTACTGTCTGAGGGACAAATGAAAACACTTAGATCTGTGTGCAGCAGGGGTTAAGAATGAGAGTAGTGAAATCAGATCAATAAAAAAATTATACCACATCTTTTCACAGCTAATAGGAATCGCACCAAACCCAACTGGCATACATACATGGTTTAAAGTCCATCACAGGGCCACACAGAGACAGACAACCACATACTCTAACTCACTCTAGGGGCAATTTGGAGTGACCAAATAACCAAACATAAGTCACATTCAAACACACGGGGACACACAAATCATTTAGCACAAAACTTTATTGGGCTGCTTTGTTCAAAGTTTGATCAATTTTCAGGAGACCCTTGAATATATGACAACATGGATAAATAAACAAGTGTATAAATAAGTGGATATATAACCTATAGGCTGACGCAGACTGCCTTTAAGAAACAGAGAAGACTTGAACTGAAACATAGAAAAGCTTTTTGGTAAGTCACAGCTTTAAAGACATGTGAGGCTACACCTGAGAAACTGGCTCCAAGACATGAGTGAAGACATAAGAACAATGTGAGAACATGGATAAATTAATAACTACAGTTAGTCATGGAGATGGTTTGCATGTTCAGTCACATTTCTAATAAGATAAGGGTGGATAAGAAATGCTAAAATCGTGCTTTGTTGATGAGTAAGTCCCAATAATTAACATTCTTAAAAGTTAAGGCTGCCTGTGTATAAACAAGGTTTTGCTTAATGTGCTCTGCTCAACAAGAAATAGCCTCTCCACATCTCCATTGTATCGATGTTCACAACCACATAGACATTAGTCCCTCGACTGAATCTGTATAAATGCATACATTTTTGGATGCTTTCCAGGCCTTAGTTTTACTTTGAGTGATGTTGTAATCTCCATTTCTCTGAGCGGAATCTCCATTTCATGTCCTCATCTGAGAGCACGCACCAGATGATGCTCACATCGTAAACAGCTGAGTAGATGCATTTAAAATTTAAGGCCGGTGTCATTTTGTATCATAGCAACAGAGAAAGGGCGGAGAGAAACAGTAAACACGTTTCAGTGGTCACCCATAGGTCGTAACTAAAGCCAAGACCACTGAATTATTATTTCTTAACACTATTATTGTTATTATATTAATCCATATTTTTCTGAGTGAATCTTTGTAAGAAAATCTGAGTGAAAAACAGATTTGTGTGGAGAGGGTCTGACGATGCCAGCCCAGTTTAACTGCTTCATTTATCAACTTAAGCACGACGCAATGAGCTCTGAGGCTGCGCCCACAAGGTCAGCAGGCAGTTTGAAGGTGGATGTGGGTCTTTTAGACGATTTTCCACAGAGATCTGAGCAGCTACATCAATTCTCTGCCACCCAGATGGTATTTGTCATTCGGAGAAGGAAAAAAAAAAAGAAGCTTTTCACTCTCAACTGACTTTTTACACACTGGTAAATGCAGCAAAAACACAGCTGCAAAGGACACTTGTAAAAATGCTCAGTATGCTGCACGACAGAGTGCACATCATTATCATATGAAGTGCTACAAACAAAACAAGAGCAGCACACGATGTGCTTCCTCTTTGGCTTCTTATGTTTGTGTTAAAATTCTTCCCGATCAGCTTGGCTGCAGATCGAGTGGGTTATCAGGCCAACGTGAGCTTATCACGTGCATGGAGATGCATGCACTGAAATGTATTGGACTTAAAAACAGCCACACAGATTTAACCCTGCAGACTGTATGTGTGAGAAAAGTTTGGGTCGTGCAGCGTCGCCATAAGGCATTTGGCATTGGTTGCAGTTTAACATTCAAACAAATCTGTCAAAGCTCAATAAAAACGAGGTCCATGGACGTCCACGGGCACGATGAGCATTGTAAAGACACAAGAAAAAAAGCTCCCACTATTAAAAAAGTTTTCCATTATAAAAAAGAAAAGAAAAAATCTGTAGTAGGCTAGACCATGGGCTCGTCATCACTGTCTTCATTCTCCTCATGGAGTCCCTGTGCAGGCCTCAGCGTGGAAAGAGGGACGGTGGGAGTGGGAGCGGGAGTGGAGAGAGGAACGGGGGGAGGAGTTGAAGAGGGAGGGAGGGTGAGGTCGCTCCCGTAGCTGCGACTTTTCTGAGTGGAGCTGCTGAGGCTGCCGGACGTGCTGCTCTCCTCCACCTCCCTCGTCAGCCCCTCGATCCACACCTCCGTTTCATGCTCGTGGTGATGATGATGATGGTGATGATGATGATGATGGGGCGGGTGGTGCTGGTGGCCGCTGTCTGGGGGCGGGGGCGGGGGAGGCGCCGGGGAGAACTGAGGCGAGGGCGGAGAGGTGGACGTCGGAGAGGAAGGGGCCGCGGGAGAGGCAGGGGGAGGTTTGGGGACAGATTTGTGGTTGCTGATGTCCCTGAAGCTGGCCAGAGGCGGGCGGAGTCGGACCCCGGATCGCGTGGAGCCCTCGATGGCCTTTTGGAGCTGGGTGTGGCAGAAAAGATTTGGATTGGGAGTATGAAAACTAACATACCTTTTAATCCTTTTTCCCCATACAGACAGCACTGTTATCCATCCAGTTAGCGGATCAACTATGGACTCACACACTGTGCTGCTCCCCCAATCAGCCGGAAAGATTCAGATAGGAGGGATCACCACTACAAAACTGATTGTGATTGTAGATCACAATCTGGCTGCACGTTCACAATTTAGTAAACATATGAAAAGGCAAATGCGTTTTTAACTTTCAGCTTTTGCCTGTGGGCGACCTTCAGATGGTTTTCGAGCGTTTGCGTGTGCCCTGGTTGGGGAGCCTGAGCCCCATTGGCCAGGCCCAGCCCAGATGATGTGTTAGCAGCACACGCTCCTCTGTTCACCCTCAGTACAGCTCGCTGCCTTCTAGGTACAGTTTAACATCTGCATATCATCCTTATTTTACTTGTATCCTCCAACTTTTGCAGATGCAATCGCTGGAAAACCGGCTGGATACTTTTATGAGGGGACTAACTTCAAGTCTGATGTGAAGATATCTGGCAAAGGTCATCAGAAACAGCCTCAATAAACTGACAAAACCTTCAGGCGGCTTTTTATTGAGGTTTTTTTTTTGTTTGGAGAGGGATAACAATAAACAGCCTAAAGTTAATGCACTCACCTCTTTCAATGCCACCACCCCCACAAGTTTTCCAATACTTGTCACGTAAGCGTGGCTGAGGCCAAGCAGAGAAAATAAAGTGTGGGTCTGTGGAGACAAGAAGAAGAGGCAATTCAACAAAATCTGACCAAACGGCTCTGGCTTGAGGACAGCCATCGCCCATCTGCCTGTGACTTCAGATGATTTACAACCCCCCCCTGCTTCTGTCAGCGCTGTCTGGGCACAAAGACGGAGAGATGAAAGCAAACTCGCGTGGGGCTCCAGGTGAAAACCAGAAAGAGAAAGTCCTTGAGTGTGTTTGAATGCACATTGTGTCCATAACCCAGCTGAGGGCACGCTGTGAATGAGCTCTTTGTATGCATCAGCACACCTCAATCACAAGACCTCTTTTGCACATGACTGAGCTCAGTATTCTGAGTGTTACCATGAAAATGAAATCACGCTGATGAAAAAAAAAAAAAGCAATAACAATAACAACGGTGTTTACATGCTGCACAATCCTGCAATTATCTGTAAATCCTGGCTCACAGGCAGAACGTGACGCGGTCGTAACTGTACAACGCTCCCAACAGAGGGAGGAAACCGAGTGTGTTAAAGGTCTGAATGTCGACAGGTGGCAGATGAACTCTGTGTTTTGTTTAAGGCACTGTCTCAGGCAGAGAGGTGTCACTTATTAAAGTGCAAATCAAAGAAAATGGCTCCTGGATCAGACACAAAAACAGAATGAAAGATTTTTTGGAAGAATGTGAGGCTAAATGCACAGCACAGAGCCGAAATGGCCAAGATCAGTCGACAAACAGTCTTTCATTCACCAGAAAACTGAACCCATAAAATAACCTCACTGTTATTCAGGAAATGAGGGGGAAAAAAGCGCAGAGACATTTGCCAGATGAAACTAAACTCTAAATGAAAAAAGCCATTAGATTCCTTCAGACGGAGCTACATCCGTTATCACAGATCTCCTGAGGTCCAAAATGTTCAATTTAGATTAAACAAAGATTGAAGGATTGACTTTGGGATGATTTTGGCCACTTGAAGGATTTCCTCTTTGATGTGTGAGACTCTGTTCCATTTATCCTGAGGTGGCTCATAATATATAATATGATCGTGTGGATAAGAAGATATGATGAACACAGGACAGAAATAGTGGCTGCATGACCTCAAACTGAAGCGGTTTGATTAGAGCCAGACGCACACTTCTTGTGTCTCAGTTATTTTTTCCATTTCAAAAGCAAATCTGAACCAGATTATTATGGCAAGCAGAGAAAAATGCAGGACAAACAGAAACGGACTCATCCATAAAACTGGATGAATGAAGAAAAAATCATTCTCAGGGTTCCAATAAAAAAAAGCATCAAGAGGACACATATTTTAATTTTTCCCCCCTATTTTTTACAGCATAATTTAGAGAAACAGATTTTCCATCCACCAACCTTGTGTAATGATGTTCTCTCCACCAGCTGGAAAGGGGAAGGGTCAACTCGTATCTCATCTATTTCCATCGGCTTGTCCATCTCTGCCTGTTCCCACGCTTTAATCTGCGGTAGCAAATAAATAGCAAGGTCACGGAGATGAATTGTCTGGCAGCGTCTCAGAGTCCTGCTCCTGACAAGGAAAAACACTGTATTCAAATGTACGAGTTCAGCCAGAGGGGAACATTAGGGTTTGTTTTCATGATGAGTCATGAAGCATATGATTAAGTATACCAGGAGACAACAACAAGTGTTACATAAATCATAAACAGTGAGCCGGGGTTGTGTAGGGTTGTGCGTTTGTGGGAGCAGGGAGGTAATTAACCATACTGATGAGCAGAGGTTTCACTAAATGATTAAAACCTTGAAACCTGTGCGGTGTCCTTGCATGTCAGACTCTCCTCCCTGAGATTTAGGATGTCTGACACCTTTTAGCCTCCATGGATTTTACCTCCGAGGCTCGGAGAATTACGGAGCAACGTTATGGGGTGCTGGGAGGAATAAAGGCAGGCCGGCAGACAAAGACGGACCAAAGGAAACAAGACCCACTCGTTTCTGACTCACTTGGAACATAAAGGAACCCAAAAATGTGTCAAACCTGTCAAAACTACAAAACTACACATCTTTCAATGAAGAAACAAAAGGAATTTTGCCAATATAAAAAGATTTAAAATGTATTCATCAGTGATTCCAGTGTCTATAAAGACCGGAATGAGCAAAGAATTCTGCAAAGATGACTGATGCAATGATGAATAAACATAAGATAAGTAGGAAAGAATGTGGGAACAATTCCCCCCCAATCACATGAGACTATTAACTTCATTACATTGATGTGAAATGAACTGAAATAATGATTAATCCTAAAGTGAAATGATACGTTTCTTAAATGACTTCAATTATTTATGCCAAGAATGCTTTTGAAACTCTAATGAATTTCAGGATTATTTGGTTTTCCACACATCAATTCTTTACTTATACAGGATGTTAATTTCAATGGAATTGGCGGTTTGTACATTCAGGCTCAGTTTTTACTAAATTGCTAACAACATGGTGTGATATGCCATGTTTGTAACCCATTTGTAACCAAAACTTTAAATTCTGCAGAAATGCCACTGTCTTCCTGGCCTCTGAGTGGGGATAACGATAGTTGTAGGAAATGAGGTTAGAAAACAATATGATCTGTTTATTATCACCATACCTCGTCTGGAGTCATGGTGTCTGACATAGGAGGAGGGCAGGGCTCCTGGGGATGAAAAGAAAGAAAGAACAAATAATGTTTTTGGTACGATGTCACTTCCAAAATCAGGGATTTTCTTTTCTATTGAAGATCAACGAGGTAAAGGAACATTAACTCAAAGTAACAGATGTCTAGTCTAAGACTAGCTGGAAAGCAAACACGAATAAATGAAGGCAACAGGGGACATTTTTATTTTCAGTTTGTATCATCAGCTAAATAACTAAAAAAAACTATCATCCAAATTACATCAGAAATGTTCAATTCAGCTTCCATTCGACGGCTATAATCTGATTAGAAAAAAAAGTAGTAGGTTCGTCTTACTAGTGGTAATATTTAATCTGTTTGATACTCATGGTTGTAAAAATTTGCTTGATATACATACACTCCCCAAAGAGGAACAGGACTGAATCCAAAAACATCATAAATAATCAGACCGGCCATTCAAAAGCCACAGCAGTGGGCCAACAGAAATAAAATCTGGCCATGGAGGATTCCAAGCACACACCTCATGTACGCTTTTCATCCCCACAGGTGATTTGTTTGGTTTTCTCTGCAAGTCAGACTCACTGCTGGGGTAAATAAATCAAATCTGCTGCTAATATTTGGCTTTCAGCATTTCCATTTAAGAGGCTTGAAAGAAAGATGCAACACATGTGGAGCTGGTATAGGTACTGGGAAGCTTCTGTCAATCATATAACTAACCAGAATCCTTATTAGAATAGTAGAGGCCACGATGGTGATATATTCTAAAGTTATAACCCTTGATGGATTTGGCTTCTGTCTGCTTATTCTAAAGGGGTATGGAGCAATTTCGATTTCAATTAATCATAAAATGAGAAAATGTAAAGTATACCGTCTTACTCATAAAAAATCATAAATCACGCCTAGAAACAGAGACGCCTAGAAACTTAAAGATATATCAACCACCAAGGTATTAACCAAATAGATTTGTGCAGATGAGCCTTAAAATGGAAAGGACAGCAATTAGAAGTGCGCACAGAAACACACCTGGGACTCTTTCTCTGATGATCTGCTCTTGGAGATGAAGAGATTCCTGAGAGTTTTCCTCACTGTCTGCAGGGGAGCCTTTTCTGAAGCAGGAATAAAGAAGGCAGTGCAGTGGATGAAAGTCAATGAATTATAAAAACACAGTGCTGGAGAAAATAACCTAACTGCAAATGACTTCTCTGGAGTCTGCTCCACCAAAGATGGCCGTTCACGTTGTTGCCTGGATACCATTTTCAAAGGGAGAGCGGCGTGTTGCCGAGTCTGACAGGCCACTGACAAATTTACCGCACCACAACGGAAACACACTCCATCTGGTTGCTTTTAGACAAGTCGCTCCCAAACAGTCAGCCACTGCTGCCGGGGTCACAGAGTTCGTCACTCAGATCATTTGGCATCTGCTAAAGGATGAATTTAGCTGACAGTGTGAAAAGCTGACAGTTTCTACCGAATCTGAACAGTTGTAGTACACATAAGGTTTTTCTAGAGGTGAAGAACATGGGTAACATCCTATAACCATTGAAAAACAAATGCAATGAGGATGCTCATTCAGCTGTTTGTACAAAAGCTGTTAGGTCAGCTTTGCAAGATGAAGAATTGTCATCAAGCTATTTCCTTTTTTAAATTTCAGTCATAAATTTGAACTCGGACTAAGACGCCGTCCGCTTACTGGGATCGTCAGCATTCTCTGTGCTGAGAAAGGAGATCGTCAAAAGGAGCGAGAAAAGTGTCAAAAGTGTGCCAGCCTTTATGTTTACGATCCAAGTAATGACTGCCACCTCCCCTGGCGCTTACCTGACATCTGCCCTCTCTGATAAACAACTTTTTGACTGGACCTGTGCCAGACCCTCCTTGCCAGATGCAGAATGGTGATTCATCCCTTCCATTCGTCCACAGGTCACGACTGCTTCTCGGAAAACGGATGAATCAACATTCTCCATGAGCGCTGCTTCCATACTTACGCAGTTTCAGACAACGTTAATAATCTCAATAAACTTGTACCTTTCCAGCTCACATGTATATTTAGTTCAAACACACCGCACAAAATGTCAGACACAATATTAAAAACTCCATAAATAAGTAGACGTACAACAAAAGGTTTGCCAAAAATGTAGAGGACGTCCTTTAAAGTAACAAGCCCAGTGAATATTTTCAATGAAAAAAAACGTTTAAATAGTGATTCTTAAAAAATTCACAGGATATTCTACTTTCCCTTCATGTGTTTTTTTTTAAAAACATTTTTTCGAGAACTGAACATGTTGAATTATATGCTCTTCTCCAGCAATGTATTATTTTATTTATGAAAATATATTTTTCTACCTCGCTGAATGTCAGTTAAATACTGTGAAAATTGTGTCCAGACAGTTGTGAGGCCATAACTGTTTAGAGGATCTCTCTTGCCTGCTTATTTGGGAATAAGATGCTGCAGAGAAAATCGTAAGCCCGTTTTTCCTGTCTGATTTTTTAAAAATAAAGAAGGATTGTGTCCAGGTGTCAAGAAAAACGGGGTTTCACAACATAGATTATATTATAATGAATATGTTCTATGCCAATGAAAAATGAATCAGTACATTTCTTTATTACTTACTCAATAAAAGTTGGCAGATAAAATGTTACTTTCTGAACAGGTATCAATTTCAGAAATTTTTAGAACTTAATCTGTTTTTAATTAACTGTAATATTTTTTATCTTTTCTGTCTGCTTTACTGATAATGTTCCTTAGCCATATGCGTCAGCCCTTTGACAAAGTCTGATTGTTTTTAGGTGACCTTAGTAAAAACAATTTGGCTTCACCTTTTCTGAAAAAGACTGGAAGCTGAGGAAATGTGATCACTTTGATAGAAAAGTAAATTATCATTGAATAACAGGCATTTTTTATTTTATGGAAATACGAGAAGTAAACATGGGCGCTGCCAGAAAAACAGGATTTCCAAAAAAGGAAACATAGCAATGGCAAAATAACTCCCCCACAAATGCTAAAAATCTTCAGAGTGGAGGTTATTTTTGAACCCTTGTACGTTTGCATCAACACTGATGCCACTTGTCACAAATCATGTTAGATCACATATACAGTTTGACTTATTCCAGTGAGTGGTCCGCTCATAAGGACCAATCGGAGATGTGTGTGTGTGTCCACTGGGCCCATATGATAACCTTGTGAGCCTCAGACACCATCTGGGATCTGACTAAAGGCTCAGTCGTTTCCATTTGTTGAGGCGACATGACGGAGGCATGGCAACAAATAAATCATATTACATCAGAGCAGAACGTGTCCTGAGGTATTAATATTCCTCTTAAAGGTCCCACATGGCTTTTATTACCGGCCTTGCTAACATGTCACGTGACCGACCATTACAAAGAAACCGATCGGAAGTTTTAATTATCATATATCGTTTGATTTGTTCAATTGACTGAATTTGAATCATTCACTTGTGTGTTTACCAGGAGGTGACAGATAGAATAACTCACCAGAAGCAACATATACATCTGTTATATGGGGCGTCAGATGGATAAAAATGAGAAAAGCTTCCTCCAATCGTCTTTTAAACTCACCAGGAACAGAGGAAGTATGGTTTGATGAAGGCTCCTGAGGTTTCGGGGGGGGCAGGGGGCCATTTCTCTCCTCCTGAACTGGACTGCCCTGCAGATGATATATCATAAATATAACTTCAATCCTCATGGCAAAAAAAGATATATATATATTTTCAACAACGGGTTCATTAAAAGTTGCGCATTAAAAACAACAAACAAACAAAAAAAAGCAATCATAACACCACCTTCTCTCCGTCCTCCTCCTCCTCCTCCTCCTCCTCCTCCTCCTCTTCTTCATCCACGAAGGCGAGAGACTCCCAGCTTTGCCTGTGACTCTGGTTTGGCTCCTGCAGGCTGCGACCCTGAACTCACATTCAGGGAAAAAACATTCATGCATGGAATTCTGTCACGATGCCAGAGCTGAACGGAACAAACATTGGCTTGATTTATCTTTTTTTTCTGTAAGTCCATGAATACCAAAAGCAGTTTCCACTAAACAAATGTTTGCCGCTCTGTTTGATGATACATGCAAGATCTACATTAAATATAACCTCTTTTGCAATATAGGTCAAACATTAATCAAATTACTGAATTTAGAATGAGGTTCACACACTGGCCCTGATTGGGCACATCTGGTTTATGAAGCAAACAGCTTTTCAAACAACTCTGTAGGGCAATTAACTTTGTATATACGGTAAAATGGGTTTCCTGTGGGATTGTTTTAAGCACAAGGGAAGCAAATCTTGGTAGAAAACAGCCACAACAATGTGCATAACGCAATGTTTTCTATTATCTATTGCGAACCAAAAAAGGCTAAACAACTGCAGTTCGTCTCAGTGGGCCTCTCCCTGCAGCTCTTGCTCATTAGTCAAAGACTAAAAGGGGTTATTGATCTCGATTTGATGCATTTGGTCAAAAGTCACTGATGAAGATGTTAAACTCCAGCTGAAGATGCTGACTCCTCACCTGCATCAGGAGCCTTCTTTCTGGCGACAGCCACCAATCACAGAGGGCCAGGAGCTCCAGCCGGTCAATGCTTCCCAGCAGGATCATCGAGTCTGAAATAAAAGGAATAGCCATTCCTCAAAGTGCCAGTCTATTCATTCTACAGTGTTCGATGCGAGCTGTTCAGATCAAATAGACAACGCGCTCTGTTACCTTTGGAGTCCACCAGGGGGATACTTTTGAGCAAAGAGGAGTCCAGCAGGTGTTTGACTTCTCTGTATGTGGACTGGGAAGAGATAAACTTCACTCTTCTCACCATAATGTCCTCCACAAATATATTATACTGGCTGTGGAGAGAATAGGCATGCCTCAGTGGGGTGAAACAGTTTTTTTTTTTTTTTCTTTTAATGACACGTTTTCGATTGTCTGACACTAAATTTGAACAAACCTCATGTGTCCAAAGCCAAGCTCTGGCAGATATGGCAGCTTTTTGACCTGGATGATTGAGTCATACAGGGAGGGCTGAAGGCCCTGGGCCACCATGTTGGCCAGGATTACAGCCACCATCATGGGCAGGATATGTGAGATCTGGCCTGTCAGCTCAAAGCAGATAACCGCCGTGGACACCGTGTGAGTCACAGCGCCTGTCAGCGCCGCCGCTCCTGTCGGGGGACGGGCAGAGGAGAGACGGTGAAGGGAACGAAGGAAAGGGACGGAAAAAGTAGACTGTGGAAAGAAGAGGTAGTCAGAGGAGCGTGAAGGGAATGGACACACTGTAAAACCTGATCTTCCCAAAGTTAGAGAAGAAAGAAAGAAAACAAAAGAAGGACATAAATAAAAAGAGGAGGCAAGGAAACAAATCAGCAATGACTAAAATAATGGTGGGTGGTGTTTCTCTAACTTAGTAAAAACAAAATCTAAGTAAAGAGACAAGTTAATAGATACGTGTAGAATCAGGAGGGAGTTAACATTGAAAGGGGAAGGGGGTCTAAGCTGTGGCTGATATAAAATATTCATAAAAAAGAGAAAAGAAGAAAGGCCAGAAGTATCAGAGGATAAAGAGAAATGATGGCCTTTGTAGTGCAGCGGGGGAGAGACTGAGGGAAGGCCACAGTTCTGGGTCAGCGGCTGAGGTGAGGACAGCAGAGCAAACCAACGGTGACATTTAACTGTCAGAGCAAAGCGACCACGTGCCCTCGCGGAGGAGACGGGGCGAACCAGGAGGGAGACGACGACGACGGATGGGGGGGTTCGCAAGAGTGGGGGGCTGGGGAAGATGAGGTTTGGAGGAAGACAAGTTGACATGAGTGAGGACTGCAGGGCTGGGGAGTTTGACAAGAGGTTAGGAGAAGTTGGAGGAAAGAGATGAGTCAAGTGACAGTTGACAAGGAAAAAAACACTTGGAAGCTACTGACAATCTGAGGGTGCATGAAGAGGACAAGAAGGGAGATAAATGGAAATATAGAGGAGAGATAGAGCAGTTTGATCATAGGAAATAGATGGTATTGGCTTTTCAGTGTCCTGATGCTTCATACTCTTAACATATGTCTGTAGCATACTATCGTGATGCTTATCTATCATATCTATATTATCTATCTTATCTATCATTTCTATAAGAACGTGTGGAAAATGAACAACAGAAAGGTGGAAGGCCAGCTAAAGCAAAAATCGAGAGACTAACCAATGACTGCGTACCCTCCAGGGATGATCCGGTACAGAATGCCATCAAATACAATCCCATGAGGAAACAGGGTGGCCATGACTTCCCCAACCAGCCTCCCAAATGCAGCGCCTAAAAACAGAGGATGGATTGTATGTTCAGGAGGAGCAGCGTGCATGTGTTTGCATGCGTGCAAATCCTCAGGGTAAACGTTGACGAGACAGACATGTAAAAATGTCGGCATTCCTCATTCGAAATGTACTTTTTAATCACAAGAACAAGTGATAGTAGATTGCTGAGGTTCTTCTGGTCAAAACAGAAGGAATACTGAGCAGAAGCAGACAGACAGTAAAGGCTTCACACTGATTCGCTAACCACTGTTGATGGCTGGTTTCTTGTCTTCATTAGATAGCTGGAAGCGAGAGAGGAGCGGGGACGCGTCACTTCCCATTTGCACTGAAACAGGATCATGTTAGGCCTCAGATATGCAGCCGGGATATGAAGGGATTCCAGTCATGAGGCAACACTGAAAAATGGCTTTTGAGCTAGGCAAATGATTCTGTCCGACTTCCATATGCACGGAGAAAACCTAAGATCTCTAACCTATATGCTCTCTATCGTCTGGACCTGGAAGAGTGAAATGTGTATGAATGCAAAAGCCCAATGACAGCCACCGAGTTTGGCTTATTTTATCTATGTGTCCGGAGAGCAACCTTAATAAAACTAAAAGGGTCACTATCAGTAAACAATGCATCCAGATCTCTCTCACTGGACCACACAGTAAACATCCGATATTGCTTCAATTGACTCATAATTAAAAGAAAAGAGTCAGAATTGTGGAAAAGAAACATGCTTCTGCGTCTTTGTGGTCTAATTTGTGAAAATGTCACTGCATTATTTCCCTTTCCGACAAACGCCACAGTTTGATACCATAAAGAGACGCACACGTAATGCATTTGTGGCCAATATTCGCTGGAGGTCGCCTGAGGCTGAACAGAAAAGCTATTAAAAGGTCACAAACACTTTACAAAACAAAAACCAAATGAACGTCAGACTGCGGCACAAACACATTTCTTTATAGCTGAATCGAATAAGAAGAAAATGGAAAAGAAAACGACATTTTGGAGAATGAGATTAATCTAAAACACAAAATATCTTCTAATTGAGGTTGAACTGTCTTCATCAGTCTACAGCTGGCGGATGGAAAAGGAACACTCATAAAAACTTGAATTTTAGCCATCATTAATCCTCATAGCAATACACATACAGGTGTTGTCGCTCACCAAGTATGAAGACCGGCATGAACGCTCCAGAAGGAATGGGCATGGTGGTGGCCACTGCAGACATCCAGAACTACAGAAAAGGAGAAAGATGCAGTTGAAAAAGCAATAAAATAAAGATCAATAGGACATGCTTGGTTCTTAACAGAAATATTTCCTAAATAGCCATTAATCTGATGGTTTGTGTCTCAAATCCTGGCATGGTGAGTCTGAAGACAGATTTTTAATCAACTGTGTAAACATTGTCAGCGTCCCCCGTCTGGGTTTCATCCCTCAGTGGATGAAAAAAGACGGAAAAAAACTCAGAAACGCCTTCCCTTTCAGGAGCACACAGGTAATACAAATCGTCCTTTTTTCACTAATTAGATTGCTGCCGGGATGCTTTGTTGCATAGCAACGAAAGCGATGCATCCCCTGTGTCCTTTTGAGGTCGTGGAGGGAAAACACATCATCCTATCTGGTCAGAGTGTGATGAGGTACAGAGATGGTGTGTGTGTGTGTTGTGGGAGGAGACTGAATCATACTTGGGTGTATATGAGTAAGGCACTTAATCAGCAGCTGGCCCAGATGTGGAGGGCAGGGGCTGCAGATGCTCTGGGTCGCTGCCGACTGAATCCGCACGCAGGACCAACAAAATTAAGCGCGCAAATTCCTCCTCCAGGGGAACAAGAGCCGAAATTCAAAGAATTTCTATTTTCATCTGAATGTGGCTTTAAAATAGATTTTCTAATAATATGGTGTGTTATTAGCCCCAAGGAGGTCACCAGAGATAATAACTACCTTCAGACAAGCTGTGGATTTCCAGTGTGTGCGGGTGAAGGAATCTGTGTTTTACAGGATGTGCAGTGTCAGTCTCATTTTTAAAAAAGTTACCATTTTCCTAAATCCAAATTACCACTCTAACCGTCATCTGTCATCATCATTCGAAAGCTTAATTAGAATGGAACAACATAAAAACTCATTAGCACGTCTCTCACAGGGTGGCTGCTATCCAGATGACGGAGAGGAACGCTCTCAGTTTTTCTTCTCTCTAATCATAACAGTCAAAATCAATCAGACAAACGCACGCAAAACTCACAAAAGCAGTCTGACACGCAGAAATACTGTCAGTCAGCACACGCTCCTTCCCTGGAGTCAAAGATTCTGAGACAAACGCAGCTTCACCGTGTTTTGAAATAGAGGAAAACACAGATGACAACCAGAGGTGGATACATTTCTACCAACGGAATCCTAACTGCTAAATCATATACAGAGAAGGGAAAATCAGACTAACGGTCAGCTGGGAAAGGGTTTTTACCTCCAGGCCCTCCTGCTTGTCAGTCCTGGGTGACACAGCAGCTCCAAGCTTTTTATAGAAGCCACACATTAAGACTGCTGGTAGAGCTGATGAGGGGAAATATCGTCACCTTGATGATTTAGATGCAATTAATTCTCCGGGCTGTTCTATTAGTCTTTAGGGTAGGGAATCAATTATCGGGTTAACGTTTTCATCCACATTTCCATCTGTTCCAGGTCCAACAAAGAGAGACTAGCAAATAAACCTGATAATAGCCCCCAAATAATTTCTAATAGAATCTTTTCAGTTGCTTCTTGCATTAGACCAAATCCAGACTTTAACATTCATGTAGCAGGAGGAGAAAAGTCATGTGTCACACCTCTCTGACGGCCCTCACATTTCTGGAGAAATGAGATGAGCTGTTTCTTAGGCCAGTAGAAAAACACTTTTGGGGAAAAAATGAAGAGATAACATCACTGTGGAAAGACTGCATGGCTTCTAATGTCTCGATTTCTGTGAGATTAACATCCCAGACATTTTTCCATTCACATGGACAAGGATATAAAGTCTATGTTGGGCTGAGCTGCAGCGAGGAATACAGAGTAAGAAAAATCATGAATCCCTCTCAGAGAGGCAGATCCAGCCTGTTCCTCAGAGTGTTTGAGAGGGAAACTGACAGCGGCAGAAGATGGCAGAAAAGAAGAAAACCTCAGTGGGTGGACGGGCTGTGAGAGGAGTTTTAACACCCAGCTGCTCTTTGCTTTGACTGAATTAAAATTTCACAACGGGGGGTCCACTCGGCTCGAACGGAGGAGCACCATGTCTTGAGCAGTGCAGTCTAAGATACCAAGTGACAGGCTTTAAAGTCATGTCGACAGGATTATCTGCATGGTATTTTTGCCTAATCTGATCCTAAACAGCCCAAATAAACAGACTGAAGAAAACCCTAATAGACCAATAAGATTTTGCGGGAGAACATTAACCGTTGAATGCAATTGTTTAATTGATATTAGAAATCTATTCATTATTGATTTTAATCCAAACAGAAACCAGATCCCGTCAGACTTTAGTCAAGCTCCTTTACTCTGTCCTCCAATCTGACATTGTCTGGATTTTAATGATGCCACTCATTAATTTGTATGTGCGAGAGCAGTTGGGGGGATCTTAAAAACATCCTTAGTCATCAGCTGCTAATGCTGCAGAAGATCTGCAGCTTGACAGGGATCTGTGTGTAAATAAAGGATAGGATTAAAGTAACAATCTTTGTCCTTTCTTTTTCCCAAGACTGAGTTTGCATTTGTCTCACAGCCTGATTTTCAGGTTTGTTGCTTTAAGGAATCTAAACTGACACTCTGAGAACCGATGAAGTTTAAGTGGGTGAAGTAAGCCCCTCCACACCATCTCTGTTGAATTATAATTTAATTTTGTGCCACAGCCCACAGTCAACATGTAATTTGATGTCATTTTGGACACAATTTAAACCGCATATAGTTCCTATTTCTATATAAATTTAGATTTTCCACTTCTATGGCTCAGTGAATACAGTATAATTTAGAATTATGGGTAGATAATCAGCTGGAAGGCTGCACCCATCAAGTCCAAGCTGGGACTGACACAACAATACACTGAATATCTGTACAGCTCCATGAATGAGTCTTCTTCAGACCTCGGCAGCCCCAAGAAAGTGGTATAAAATAAGTGGTATCATATAAGAGATATAAACAAATCCCTCTCAATAAAAGGTAATTACAATTAATCGTATTGATTATGCAACAGAAATTGGTAGTAACACTCGAGCTGAGAAGGCCTTCAATGAGGTTTTGGGTTATTACTTATCATCACGGCTATAAAACATTTTGGCTATATGTGGTGCAAACAACCTTTAAGCCTGTTCTTATCTGTCCTAAATAGTTCTGGGGGATTGTCTTACATCCATCTTGAAACCAGCAGCTGTCCCTTTATTGTGATTTATCCATAGTTTCTTATTTGTTTATAGTGTGTTCATTTTTATCTCCCTCAGGATTTCATTCAGTTTTCTAAACTTTTAGCTGAGTCACAGTCACCCCAGAACCATGCCAGATTTATGTACAGTGCATTTGTGCGTTCAGAATACATCAACACTCATGAGCCTTGAGGACAGGACTGTTTGTGTGCATCTGATTTAGAGAAAACCCAAAAGAGAAGAAAAACTATGGGCGGTTTGCCAGCTCTGGTGACCTTGGAAAATGAAAGAGAAGAAGACACACACGTGCACGCACACAGACACACGCATGTGCCCGTCACCAACGCACAACATGAGTCTCCAGCAACAAATGTCTCTCGTGAAGAGGAGGATGACGAGAATGCTGACGTCAAGAGGAGCCGGCCTCTCTCAAATTTTCCAGCTCACAGCAATTCAAACTGGCAGATACATGACAAGTACGCTCTTACACAAAAAACACACATACACAGATGACAACACACTATTCAAATGCTCAAAAGTACGTAAATCCCCCCCACCGGAAGAGCCATACCTTCATGATGAAGAAGAGCAGCAGGATGACGAAGACGCTGACATCAGCGTGCAGCCAGGCGGCGGAGCGGCCCAGACCAACGGGGGGGGCAGATGCCGAAAGCTTTGTCCACGTGAAGTTATCAAACAACGAGTTGATGCACTCTCTGGGCATCAGCTGGGGAGGAATTAGGAGGAAAAGTGAGACCGCAGGAGGAGAGGAAGAAAGACGGCGGCACAAAAAGGCATCAGCCAGAAGGGAAAAGTTCAGAGGAGAGAGGTTAAAAAACCAAAACACATGGGCAGGAAGAAAGAGAGAGATGCTGGTAGAGAAGGAAAAGAAAGCAAGCAATAAGGGAGAAAAGACAAAGCGGGCATGAGGTAGTGGGGCTTTGAAAAAAAAAATAGGGATGACTTATTAAAGAGGAGAAAGATATTGGGTACAAGGGGAAGGTAAAGTGGATGAGGGAAAGAGCATGAAAAATGAAAAAGGAGAAATATGGGGGGGATCGGGGTAAAAAAAACGCAGGGTTAAATGTCAGGGAAAAGACGAGAGTGGAAAAAGCAAGTAGAGACAGGGTGAAGTGTAATAAAGGGAGGCTAAGAGGAGAAAGAATGTCAGGCAGGGTAAACAGGCAGGAAGCTGGAAGCAGGTGGGCCTGGGTAGCCATGTCCAGTGACTCATTATGTTTTGATGACTCACAAATGATTAATTCACTTCAAGTATTTTGCTCCACATTTGCATGAATGTCTCCGAATTGACTTGCAGGCATAAGTCATCTCGCATCTCCTACATCTGCATTAACGGCTCTGAGGGGACAAATACAACACCAACACCATTTAAGTTTTACTCCTGTCCTCAGTTGGAGCTCATTTGGAGTTTTGAATCGTATCATTCTGGGACGTTCTCTGGCTCATTTTTCAAAGGAAATATGCAACTTTATAACATCTAATCTCATTTTGGAAGGGTTTCAATCTCTAAAAGCTGTAAATGCACACACAGAGGGGAAGCAGGATCCATTACTCAGAATAAAAAAAAATCCCTTTAAATACGACATATCACTTTGGTCCACTGCTGCAATAACGTTATTTAAGAGCATTGGTTGAAATACGGTGTGAGACACTTGTACAATGAGGGTGTGAAGCACGTTAAGCTGTTACATGCAGACATATGCACGCACATGCACTTACACACACACCTGGTTCTCACTAAGTGGTCTATTCTGAGCGTCTGCAAAACACACGACGAGCCTTTAGTCTTGTGTAGTGAGCTGTGGATACATGGCTACCTGAGATTTCACCTTGAAGCTGCTCCTGTGCAGCAGGAAAAGCTACAAGCAGGCTGAGATACGAGGATGCCGCATTCTGCATAAAGGCCACAGATGCACATCGACATGGATGCTTTTTTTAAAGGTCCCATAGACACAGATTAGCCAACATAAAACCCATGCAGACCACATCAAATGAATAAATAAAAACGCTGCTCAGGAACTCCAAAATCTAGTAAAGAGTACAAATAACAGCCCAGGTGTAAAATGTATCCCAATCTCATAGGTTTAAATGAACTTCTGATAATAACCAGAATCAGAGCAGAATAAGACAAAAGGATCAACACAAGCTCTTTCTAAAGGGAACCTTCACTATTTTATGCAAGCTGTCTCTCATTATTGGCATAAAAATAGAGTTCACACCTCCCTAAAAACTTCAGCGCTGACTTTTTCAAGCTTCCTTTAACTGAGTTAATTCACGTCTGAGGAGAGCTTGCTGCTTGTGGGCAGATAGAAAGCTTTCATCCTGCGATGTAGGATCAGTGAACTGGTTCCCATTCAACAGATGACGGGCCTGTGACGATTTATTCCAGACATGAATTAGCTCAGGATCACAGAGGAGGATTAGTAGACTCAGATGTATTATCCTGTGTTTGATTAGGAGGCACGGTGGATTGTTAAGGTTTGAACTCTGACCTCTCCTGCCATGAACTGTCCAAAACCTGGTGGGAAGGTCAAAGTGGCAATGACCAGAGTTACCACAGCAGGAAATATCAAGCGGCTGTGAGAAACATAAGAAAGAAAAAGCATTTAACAAAGACCAATACTCATCTAAATAAGTCTCTCATAACAGATACTGGTGTTCGTGAAATGTAATTTAAAAAAAATATTTCAATCAAACGTATGCTAAAAAATAAGGAAAATATGCTATTTTACCTTTCAGGTTTCATTAGAATGTACAAAGGTAGAAATATTCACATTGTATCGTATATGGAGGCTCACTGTTTAATCAGGAAGCGGGTCATTGCGTTCGGCCGTCTCATGAACAGCACCACTTGTCTATTGAGATAGACAAAGAACGCCCCCAGAAATCCACAGGAGATCCTGCAAACATCAAAGCAAGCAGCCAAATGAGCTCGTTTATTTACTTCAGTAAGGTAGTCATACCACAAAATGGCAGCCTTCCCCAGGTGTTTTTACGCCCATTCAGACCTGGAATCCATGGTGCCAAATACAGAATCAGTTACAGGTTGGGTTGGTATTCCTAAAATAACATCATTGTTATTTAGTTTGAGATTTTCAGGAAGTTTTGAAGGAAAAAATTATTAGCATTGTCGTGTGGATGAAAAGAAATAAAGAAGTCTTCAGGGTTGTACTGAAGTCGCTTATTGAAATCAGCCCTCTGAAATAGATGCCTTGTGTTTCCACGTGGTGGTGAAGAGCCTTCATAACAGTTTCCTTGCAGAAAATGTTGCCATATGTGTTTAAATCTATATCATTTCCACACACTCACCCAATGATGGCGAATGCTGGCAGCTCCTGCAGGTCAAAAGGGAAATCCATACGAAAGTTTGTCCTGAATAAAGCTGTGATGGTTACTGGGAAACAGAGAAACTAATATCAAACCTTTAAAGCACAATAGCGGTTATGAGGGGGGATTTTTACCATAATTTCTGAATGTAATTTATTAAACAACTGGTCATATCAACAGGAAAAAGACAGCATTTTCCTTATTCTAACAAATGCAGATAGCAGCTATTTGTAAACATATTATTAAAATAGACATGAAAACACCCTGCTGTTACATGTTGGAGAAGCTCGCCATCTAGTGGAAGATGATATTGTTACAGCACACATTCAAATGGTGTGAAATGAACAGACATGACAGCCTGGTGGGGGATATTGGAGTCAGGAGTGGCCTAACACTTCAACTCCTTTTGGTACCTGCGTCTTTGTTAAACACGGAGAGCACTCTAAAGATGAAGGCGCTAAATGTAGCAGCAAAGTAGCCTCTCCAGTAGTTCCGCACCGCAAAGTACGTGGATGTCACCTCTATGCTGAAGAGCACACCTGGCAGAGAAGAGAAGAGACAAGAGGCCTGTATTATCCCGCGTGTTTTAGCCAGAGACCTCAAAAGCTCCAATATTCATTTGGAGAAAAGGTACAGGAAGCCATGCATACACCTTAAGATGTATTTCTCAGGTTGACATTAACGGTCTGGTTAAACAGGAAACGGAGACGGCCACATACCTCCGAGCGGAGTACCAAAGCAGCAACCCACCCCAACTGCACAGCCCACTGTCAGTATGTCTGTGTAACAGTATGGATTCTACTGATCCGGGGCAGGAAACGGCATGAAACAGAATGGGAATGACACAGCATTGAGAAATGCGCCAAACTGCACGCGCTGCGTGTCATATCTGCAAATCACATGAAAATGAGAGTGGTTGCTGACATCGACTCACCTGATAAGCTCCGGAAAAGAAGGACATGAAGCGGCTGGTGACGGCGGCACAGATGCTGGCAATGTGAACAAAAGGGCCCTGAGTAAAGGAGAGCACGTCAACACGACCATGGAAAAATGAAGCAATAAACTCTCAGACCAACCTCAAGGCCATGCAAAAATATTTTGTTTTTTCTTCTTGTTTACCTCTTTTCCTACGGGCATGCCACTACCCAGTGCAGCAGTGAGGCCGATGACTTTGGCCACAAACGCTCTGAGAGTCAGATACTCCTTCAGCACCACCCCTCTCAGGATGGTCTTCAGCTCTGGGATACCAGAACCTTCAGAGGGAAGCAAAGAGGGATTACTGGAACTTTCCAATTTTTCAGGCACAAATCCCTTCTAAATGTCACAAAAATAAACTCGTCATGGCACAAATTGAGTCGCGCTGTTCTGTAAAGCTGCCGTCTTTAATTTAAGACCTCGGTTGCTAAGAGTATTCCTAAAGTGACCCCTTTTTTTCGGGGGGCTCTTGTTTAAGTAACTATCTCTGATATCCCCCTGAATCTGCACATTTTTCTGAAATTATTGCTGAGTGATGACTGAGTAATGCTGCAGACGTAAATGTAAAATTTTATGACGACTAGATGACATCTTTTAAGTTGACCTTCCACTGGTACCCTGTCCATGGTTTTTCTCACAACTCAACAGGGAATTAGCAGGAATAGAAATGGATGGATGAATGGTGATAGCAGTAAAATGTCTCATGTAGTTGTTACTTATGAGCCTTATTTGAGCTAATGTGTAAAAAAAACATTATATCAAACCATAAAATCTTGAATAAAGTGTGAAGATGTGAACAACGAGTAAACACATGCAGAAGGTAGAAGTAATAAAACAGATTAAAGGCATTTGCACTCAGATGCAGACATGAAGAAAATCTTAAAAGGAAGTAGGCAGTACAGACCAATAGCCTGAGGAGCAACCAGGTGACAGAAGAGGGAGGAGAACAGGATAAATAGAAGAGGATAGGAAACCCAGGCCAAGAACTGCAAAGGGATGTTCTCCCTCAGCTCTCCATGAATCCATTTATAGGCTGAAGAGAGAGGAATTGGAAGAATCAGAACAAAATCAGATGGGAGTTGTAAGGTAGGAAATAAGTGGTAGGCTGACCAAGTGGGATACTTAGTTAAAGAGAGATCAGACAATCGTTTTAACCACCTGACTATGTTTTAACCTCTGCAGACTTCAGGCTTCCTCATAGTGTTGGGATCTCTGTGTACCTTGCAAGCTCTTTGCGCTGGCGTAGTCCATCGTCCAGCTGACCAACGCCATCGTGATGCCCAGCAGAACCAGGAAGATCCAGTCCTCTCCCAGCCTGGTCACAAGGAATCTCTGCACCCTCGCTACGCAGTCTGTGAAGCCCAAACAATGGTTTAAAAAAAAAAAAGACTGATGCAGCACCAGTCTCTGTCCTGACTGGGTTATTTTTTCCTCTGCGTTCCTCACCTCTGCACTTGACGTAGGAGCCCTTCTTCTTCAAAGAAGAGGTGAAGTCTCGGTCGGGCGTCTGCTCATCGCTTTGCTCCGCCTCCATGTTGGACTGATACTTAGCCCTCTGCCTGCCGTGATGGTCATGCTGGTGGCCATGGCGACCGCGCCCGTGCCGCGTCTTCCCGTGGCCGTGGTGGTGATTGCCATGCTTCTTGATCTGTCTCTCGGTCAGCAGGCGCGTGGCCTCCCGTCTCCCCGAGCCTCCTTGGTGCTCTTGGTACTCCCCATAGAGCTGTGAGCCAGCCAGCAAACCCACCCATTAAACAATTAGTGCACAAGAAGTCGAACCAGAGCTGAGCATCATTCATTCGTAGACGCCGCCGAGAAAGCAAGAATGTGGAAACTGATGGCACTCTGGCAGAGGAGCACCCATTTTAAAAATAGACAGGACCAGGCATTGACCCACAGCTCTAATGGAAGCAGAAATGTGGGCTCTGCCGCTAGATTTATCACCTCTGGACAGGCTCCATGAAACCTAGCCGGGACATCTGGGGAAGGGATTCATTCTCATCTCGGCCTCTCTCTATCCTCGTGTTACTTGTAAACATATCTCTGCTCTTACTGAAAGCTGTCCATGTTAGCCCCCAAAGCACATCTCAGTTTTTTTCTAATGAAGCCATAAACGTCACCATATGAAATAACATAACAGTCCACAATGTTTGGTCACACCTCCTCTTTGAATGGAGGTGCATTTATCACTTATGTCTATTTTCTATCCAATGTGTTTGGGCAGAAAAAATAACTTTAACCTGTTTAAAACACTTTTAGTAAGAAATCCAATTTCTTTTAAATATTTTTACTTTCTATCAAGTATGCCGACATAAGTTGATTAGGTCCACCAAAGTAATACTCTGTTGGGACACTAGAGGTCTCTAAAATTATCGTTTTAAAGATGAAGAAAGAATAAGTCTACTTCAAATATCATGTTGGCCAATGACATTCATACAAAATGTATTCAAGCATAAGCTAGTTCTATCTAACAGCACAAGATGTCAATTCATTTATTCATGACCATGCGCCAGAATAAAAAAAATTAATAAATACATGGTATATAATGTGGTGAAATACAATTCAGTGAGCAATTTGCCCGTGCCCGACTACAGACTATAACAGGACTCATATGTGTTCCTGTCTCTGTGGCAAGTGCAGACAATAGCACTCCAGGAATATAAGTGACGAGCCGGTAAATTGTGTGTGGCACTGACATTAATGACACCTACGCGGGATCCTTTCAGCGGCTTCTAATTTAGCTGGTTCATGGACAGGTCGGTTAAAAGATGGATGGATTTCACAGTGAAACTTAATGAGCATAACACCCGTACTGTAACTGAACGCCAGCTCCCAACAAAGACTCAACAACAGAAACAACAGAAACAACAGGGGGGGAAACGCGGGCTCGGCTTGTCGGGAGGGGCTCGGACGTTGCTCTAAATGTATCACATCATTTGTTGCTCTGCTGAAATACATGCAAAGCTGCACCGGACGGACATAAGACAGTAACAGAGACTGTTTTCATTTGATTTGTATATTTATAGCGCATGTGAGGGTAGGTATTACATGCATAACAGCCAACTTTGAGTAAGAACTACCCAGAAATGTTTTGAACTTTGGAAAAGAACAGTCTAACAAAATACAACCACCAGGATGAAGTACAAGGGAGAAACCGAAGGCAACTTCACGCCTGAATACCCCCACTAACCAAATTTAGCCCCGTAGAAATCAGTATTACATACAGAGGGTCAAAATAAAAACACATGTGCGTTGAAATGTGTTATTAGCCTCATAAATGTTTTCTCTAATTGATAGCATAACCCTTAACCATAAATCTAAAACCCTGACCTTTCCCCTCATTTACACTTCTGCTGGTATTTACCTGGGATGCCGACATAACAACTATGGCTTAACAAACCTGTTCGTTTTAGCCATTTATGATGACTTTTTGTTGACCTCAGGAGCTGTGTGTCCATATTCTTTGCCAGAGATTGTGTTCTGTTGGATGCATTATTTTCATTGTTTGAATTTTGGGTGAGGTTAACCGTAAAGTGCTCTCAGTGGCTGTTACTCTGGAATAAAATGAGGCTCCCATGGTGTGAAAATCGTACCTCCAGCCAAATTGTGAGCTGTGTCAGCGGCGATCCAAAAAGCTGAAGATTCGAGAAAAACAGCTCTGACAGACCAAGCCCAGGCCATGGCCAGGGGATTTGCTAAAATCCCAAAAAGTGAATCCCCCCTCAGTGGGTTTTATTTGAACCCTTGGAAATGCATTCAGCTGTTCATCAGAACTCATCCTAGTATAGGAGGACATCAAATGTCTTCAGGCTGTGTGAAATCAAAAGCTTCCACCACGTCTTTCCATTACATCTTTCCTGTTTTCCCACCGACCAGTGAAACTCAACTCTGCACTAATCACTTGTACCTCAACCCCCCCCCCTCCCGGTGCTGCAGCCGACTCTTATTCACTTCGTTCCTTTGCTCTCTTAGTGCCGGTGAAACACTACTCTGAGCTAAATTTAGCCGCAGTGTGATTCAATATTCCTCATTACACCTCAGTGTACCTTTTAAAGCTTCCTCGTACACCTCAGTCTCTCCTTTTTCTTTACGCCTGCCGTCTCCCAGACTCTGAGAGGCACGTAGAGAGAAAGCATACACTAATCAAACATGAACAAATAGCTAGATTTCCAGACTCCAGCTGACTCTTTGTGGTTCATCTCAGTTGTATTTTATGAAGGAGAAATTCAGTTTAGGGTGATGTACTGTATGTAAATGTGTATAATAAAATACAGTACAGATGCATTTTCTGAAGGTACAATCTTTCTGGAAGTGAGTACAGATTAATTTGAAATAGCCCACGCCAATTTACTGTAAGTCAGCCAGTGTTTAGAAGAAGAAAGGCAGGAAAGAGAGACCATGGTCACAGATACGTGTTAAGGAAAGGGAATATTGATCAAATCTAAAATAATAATAAATAACTGTAGACTTAAGGTTTAGTTAAATCAAAATGTTTGATAGAAATTCTGCATTTTTAGTTACAATAATTCAGTATAAAAGATATCAGGCTTACATTAAAAAATAAATGCAATTGAAAAAGAAAACATTTTACTTAACTTCTTTTTCTTTTTGCTTTTGAGAAATATAAAATTGAGGCTTGAATCGTTCTGTTTTTTTGCCAGGTTTTCACCTCTTGAAGGCCGGCTTCAAGTAACACATCCCACAGACTTTTGCAGGCATGGAGAGTCTCCGAAACAGTCCTTCACCCACCAGCTGACACCTCTCTGCGATGCTCCATCATTTCGCTGCGGCTTTACTTGGATTTAACTGAATGTTTGGGGCTAAGGGAATAATTTGATTTACAAAACACACTGACAAACTTGAAGTTGCAATGTTTTACCTACAGTAAAATGGTGTGTAAATATACATATGTATATATATATTATGTTGATTTGTTAGAATAGTTTTGTTTACTCTCATTTCATTATTATTATAGACATTTTGCATCGGCCTATTACATAAAACCTTCCCCAAAAAAGGTTGAATAGGAACACGGCAAAAAGGGTGTTTGGGGACCTTAGTGTTGCAAGCACATGTATTTCTTCTGAACTTAATCATAACTCATTTATGGAACAATGTCATTGAAAGGCCCTCTGATCTCCACATGCCGCCGTACAGAGCTACATGGGTACAGATGAATGCGAGGGTGTGCCATTATTAGCTGTCATTTGAAGTGAAACGTATGCATATGAAGGTCTTCTAAAATAGAGAAGGGTTTATCTCCATACATTCTCCACATGACTGCCAAGACTCCGGCCACATGTCCTGTCTTTGCAACAGGTCACAGTTTGGTTGTGATGCACATTATCAAAAGACGGAGTAAGAAAAAGGAGGGAAATTAAGGCCAGCTTCTGTTCGCCGTCCCGTACCCAGGAGTCACAGCACAAACAAGGGGGCACGCCGCTGCCTGCAGAGCGTCCCAAAGCGCACCCAGGTTAGATCCCTCGACAGTTGTTGCATTACACATGGGCGTAAGGTTTCAACGGCCATTCAATTCTATAGTTTCTCTTGATCAACAGCCTTTACGTTCCAGCAAATCAACACGCCAGAGCTGAGCCGCTGAATGCATCAGCCTGTAGAGATTCCAACGACCAGTGTGGTCCAGTTTCTGACTGCATGGGGCGATGCAGATAACAGACAAAGAGATAACCCAGCGATCTTTCCGAGCAAAACACCTTAGGATCATCTCTGAACTAACTTTTCAAAAGAAGCAAAATGCAAAGACAACTAACTAACTAACTAACAACAATCATCATCCCAAGGCCAAAATGAGCTCATCCAGATGTTCAAACTCTCCCTTTTCTCAGCATCCTCATTACTGGTAAGAACATGTTCCGCTGCAGCTGCATAAGCAGTTTTTTTTTCTTCCTTTGAAACACACATTCACACATTTTAAATGACTTTGGTGAAGACCGCTGACGTACAAAATTAGACACCGCAGATGCACTTTCACACACACTGACACGGGAAATCTGTAATACACGTGTCACACAAGTCCCTCCGACAAGTGTTAAGTCCAAACGGGGCTTAAGAAATGAGAGGCTGGCAAACAGGTGGCGGCCGCCGAAGCAGGGAACACCGGGACGGCGTGGATCCGTGTTCGTGAACGCAAAGATCAGGGGTGAAGGAGGTGCCCGAGTCTCAGCACCTGTCATTTGGACCTTTGCGCAGATCCCGTTGTTATCCGTTCGGTAACTGGTTTTCAGTGGAAGAAAACTCACACATGCATATTAAAAAAAAAAAAAAGCACCGTAAGTTGGACTGGCAACATCCATGCAAGTGCAGCTGTCAGTGCAGGTGCATCCTGACAGAGAAGAGATTCAGGCAAAGACAGCGTGGACACATGACGGAGGGACTCGCAACGCGGCCGATGGAGGCCGACAGACAAATATGGGTGAAGAAAGACGGAGGTGTGAGACAGGAGAGGAAAGAGAAACCGAGAGGGACACTGACCAGGGTCTGCTTGTATCTCAGAGCCTTCCTTTCCGACGCATCTGCGGCCATTGACACACTGTCTCTGACCCAAAAATAAACCGAGCTGCTCACCGGGCGTCTCAGCGTTACGCGCCGCTCTGGACACTCTGTCTCACACACACACGGGCGCACACACAAAAAAAGGCACGGGGGCTCACGCCAGCATGTGCCGTCTACTATCTCACACACGCATGCTCTGACATGTGCCAAGGGAGTCCAGCTGCAGCTGCTGTTCACAGGGATTCCGACAGTAGTGGGAACAGATCTGCCCGACATCTGGACAGGTGTCCCTGAAGGCCCCTCGCTGGCTGGAACCATCCCCGAACATGCCATTGTTAAATTAAGAAGGATGCCGACCATGTTCTGCAATGTTAACATAAAAGAGGAAGCCCCCAAATTCACTTCTCAATGACAAAACCTTTAAAGAATGTTCATATTTTTCTGGGGGGAAGTGTAAACAAAGCAGCTTACATCAAATACCCCTTCATAATCATATTTATGTTTCCAACTTCACACATTAAGGTTATTAAAGATAATCGAGAGGAAAAATATGAAGAATTACATTGATCATTTGTGAGAAATGTCCATTAGATTGACACATTTCTTCATTTACACTTGTTCTGTGTATCTTAACCTTCAACTGCCAACAATAAATTCAAAAGCGCCACAGAAATATCTCAAATAGATCATATCTCCCATGTAAAGCAAACAGAAAAAATGTTTCTCTGACGTATCTACGGTAACCAAACCCAGAACCTCTGACTAAACAGAGAGAGGATCATTACTGACATAGTTAACGCTCCAAGTGAAAACCACCATGAGGCTCAAGTTTCAGTTTTTCCATCTGGGGAAACCAAACAAGAACACAAACAAAGATTCAAACTAAAGGTTTTCCGAATAAACCAGTCACGCAATGACAACGTCTGGCCAGTGAAGGCCGTCGACAGCTCATGACAGAAACCCATCAGCATAATGGTAGCAGTCAAGCATAAGCAAACTACTCCTGTCTCTGTGTCTGTGGGTGTGTCAGTGTGGCTGTTCAACATTTCAGAGAGAGAGGAAGGCATGGGTGGATCTGTAGCTGACCGAAAAGTCATGATTAGTCAACAAAAACACAGACGCACCAGTGCCTGTCGCCTATGTCAAGCTGAGACAAAAAATAATTTGCTACAATCTGTTCCTTTAACACATTTCTGCCACATATACAGTAAACAACCAGCTGAAACCTCTGAAGGTTTTCTCAGAGAGGATGGATTAGTTATACAAAATTTCCTACTGTGATAAACTCCTACTCTGACTTAACAACAAATTAGATTTTTTTAGGTAGCATTTAGGTCTGGAACCTACTTTAGTAGTTCTTGATGTATACATCCATAAAGTAATCTGTAAATATCTAGAAATATTTCTAATAATTCAAATAAGGAAATACCAAGAGGACAAAAGGGAAGTGTTTTCAGTTGTTTTTTTCTATTACTATGAGGAATCCTGAGGATCTGTAGTCCTGTATGAAACATGTATAACTTGTATTGCAGCCAGCTGTTTGGAAACTCAGACACGCACGCAAACACACAGCAATGCATGGACTGTGCTTGCAGCAGCAGGCAGAGCCAATACAGACGTGTGCAGGTGATACGGGCGACCAGGAAAAAGGGATGGGTGGGGGAGTGGGTGTGGGTGTGGGTGTGGGTGTGGCAAACCTGACAGACGGAGAGACAGGAGAAAAGTCAGAAGTCAAGCTGGTGACAGCAGAACGGGACACAACACTTCCACAATCGCCACTTTCTCCAGGGGGAAATGCGTCTGACCACCAAAAGCTTTGGACCAACAAAGACAAGATGAGCCCTGACAGGAAGTTTCCATGGAAAACTAGAGGTTTGGATTACAGGGGAGAGACAGAGTTTGACACCTGAAAAACAACAGAGACTACCAGGTAAGATGCAAATATAGTGCAACTTCCTCACCAGCTGCGGTGTCCCACCCTCAACACATATTTTTAATGTGTGCACTCTGTGTTTATGTTAGAGGATGTGAATGCGAGAGAGCAATGCAGACCAACCGGTTTGGTCACGCAGATCTAACCTAAAGGGCAAACAGCAGTGTTTGCATGTCAGAGAGTTTGTTCTGCTTTCACGAATGCTCGTGACACACCGGGGTGAGTCTGCAAGGCTGTGTGTTCATGCACAGCGGTAATAGTCAACAAGTGGTTTTGTCAGATGGAAATGACGAAGCATTATCAGTATTAGCTGAGAGATATGGGCCTCCGCCGTACGCCCGTTTGAGTTTTTATGATAAAAACAGCAATGTGACGACCAGTAAACTTCAAATACTAAAGGAGTTACCAGAACAACAACAACAAAAGAAGGTAAGCATGCAATCAACTTAAAGAAAAGAAAAGAGAAAATTCAGGAGTTTAATGCAAGCTGTCAACCCTGAAAGTGATCTGATTTGATCAATTTCTATATCTTGACATTTGTGTATGTTTATACATTTTAGTAGACGCTTTTATCGAAAGCGACTTACTATTTGGATTAAGATAAACATCAGAGAGCAGACCGACTCTAACTGTAATTAAACAGTTTCCAGCATCCTTAGAGGCAGCAAGTGTTGCCCTTATTCCCAACAGCTCTTTTTAATTTAAACCCTCTAATCTGAACATAAACAATGTTTATCTGAAAGTGGATCTGTGTCAGATTTGTTTGGATGATACCTTCCAAAGACTCAAATCAGCTCCCGACTCAGGTAGTTCCCATGTCCACACAAACTTCACTGGTTTGTATGAACTGCCCTTCATTTTTTTAAACATTTATTTTACTTTATGTGAGGTGAGCCAAATGTACCTTGTTATACTTTTCAGGAAACATACTGTGTACTGTATAAAGAGTTTACTGGAGATAAAGAGAGCTCCTGAATGTTTTTTAATGATTTTGGATCAATGATGAGTGATGAAATGTTAGGTCTTATATTTATGGTTTCATCAGAGATCCAAGAAAGGAAGACCCTGTCCGCACTGTGTGTAAAGCATTAAAAGACAGATGCTAAACAGCCATAAAGTCTTTTAGGTTACCACTGGGCAGAAGAGATTCTGTGCTCCCCTTTTAGCTGACAGCGATGCTCACAGGGCTGTGCTCTTCCCTTCTTCCCCAGCATGTCCTCTAACTCCACGGCCGAAGTTCTGTGTGAACCGGACGACGACATTTGTCGTAAGAGCACAAAACACAACTCGTCTGTCACTCTTTCTCTTTTGGTACACTTTCCAACTCCATCAAAATGATCTCCCAAAAGACTGTACCGCTTTCTGTTTTATTTGTCTTCCCATGCTCTTTTACCAGAACAGTTTTCAGCTCCCGGTAGCTCGGGTCAGATCTGTAATGGTTTCCCATCAGGTGTCCAGTTTCTGCAATCCATAAGGTCCATTTGGACCAGTTCTGGACTGGGTGGCAGAGTTGTCAGGCTTTAGTTTTCAGTAAAATGAAAACTTACAGATAGGATTCAAGATAATAAGGACACATACATTTTTACTACTTTTAGGTTAAAAATTTTACTTTAGTATGAAAGAATATATGTATTTTCACTGTATTTTTGTCCTGTGAAATTAAGTGAAACATTTGTACACAAAAATATCAAGTTTTTTTCCTATTCTATAAACTACACTTCATCGTGTTTTCCTAGATTATAATGTCCATATTTTTTATGTTAAAGCAGTCAGTTAAGGCCTATGTGTTTCCACATGACTTAGCCGTCTGACGCCATCACATCACTTTCACACACCAAAACTCCACCTGATTGGGTAACTACACAGTCAGGTGACAGACACAGCTGGAATGTTCACTTGTTAGTTTTGTTTTCTAGACAACCCTCCAAGCAACTTTTAGAGCACTTTAACAATTTCAACTCTACTACAGGTTTTGTTTACTGTAATAATTCTGATATCTCATCAGGATTTCCCGTGAACCAAGCAGAAAAGAATTAGTGCTCACATTTGTCATATGAAATATAATCACTAGTGCATCAAACTCTGATGATAAATCGTGAATAATGAGGAATAAGGGGAAATAGATATTTCACCCCTGGAAGACTGGGGGATAATTATTGAAAGTAACTGAAATGCTAACTTATCACTTTAAGCAGATTATCTTCATATAGACCAATAACTTCTTCAAGACTAACAGAGATTTCTATGTGTATTTTAAGCCTGAGTTCATGTACACTTGATAGTAACAAAAGACAAAGTAAGAGGTCAATGATGTACAAACCTGAAAAACAGCAAGTCTTTGTGGAAAATAAAGTTCAGGCCAAGCCTTGAATGAGCATGACTGGAAATTATTTATGCCATTCCACAAAGCAGCCATCATGCTTAACAATGTGCCAAAGCTACAATGGAACGGCACATTCCAGCCTCTTGTTTTCAAAAGCCATATACAAAGTTAGACTTAGAGATTAATGCTAAAGTCAGCACGTCATTTACAAATCTTAACAGTCAAAAAGGTGGAGTCAAACTCATGGGCAAAAGAACTGCAAAAAAATTAAAAATAAATCTAGAGACAGGGTTGAAGTCACCCAGTTCAAATGGTTTACAACGTACAACTTAAAAGAAAGTAAAATGTTAAAGACTAAGAAATCCAAGTTGAAGCAATATGAAAAGATGTCCCCAAATAATACGAAATAATTTTGGACTTTGTGCATATAAAGTTTTAAAATAGCATCCTAAATCCAGTTGAATCCCCTAAACACATACTAAATTTAATTACTTTAAAGTTTTGATGCAGAAATGCCATAAAAGCCGCATTTCTTTCCCTCCACCTGTTGAGGAGGAAGCTAAGAGGCTTCATATATTCTGAGAAAGAACGTCCAAATATCCTCTATTTGGTTTAGTTTTCTCCACTGTGAGCAGTTCTCAGCCGTTTTATATTGAGGGTAACAACATACGTGGAGCAGCTCAGCCAGATTCCGATTGGGCCTGGCTATAAACAGTAACAACACATCAACACTGGTGGAAATGGATGATGAAGGGATGTCAACACAGAGCATCCTGTCATCGGGAGCAAAGCCCTGAAACTGAACCAGCTCAACCTTTAGTCGTTAAGAAACATGGCCAAAAAGTGGGCTGCTTCTTCTCGGGCCCGTTGCCTACGCACTGACGGCCCTCTCTCTGTTAAAGGAATACGGGAGCATCAGCTGGAGGTGATCATTGTTCCCACGCTGCTGCTCCTGGGCACCCTGGTTACGCTGCTGCCCCTGATCATTCTGAGGTGTTGCTGTAGGACGAGGCGGCCCGCCGTCGCTGCCCCACAGCGCTACCACAGCTCCACGCACAGGCGCACAAACACACACAACCACAGACAGCACCTACGTGGCATCGATGGTAAGTGCGCGTGCAAAAGAACGCGCCCGCTCACCATTTTTGCTCAGACTCAATACGTCCTTTTTGATAATGAAATGTCTCTGGGTTAAAAAGCCCCGGCAGGGATTGACCCTCTGGAGCACGAGGAGCTGCCAATGACAGTTCAGCAGGCCAGAAGCAACGTGAAGCCCACCCCGACTGCAGTCCCACAGACGTCCACAGAGACACACCACGGCGCCTTCAGCCAGGCCACCGCGCTGCCGCAGTCTTTCTCCATCAAGCCCAACGACACAGTCAGCCTGTACAGAGCGCGCATGCACAACAGGGACGTCGTCCTGAGGAGGCTGAAAGGTGAACAAAGCCGTTCCCAGTCAAATACCCCGCGGAGACTCTTTAAGATTTCCAAAAAAACCCATCAGCTTTACTGATTTTTTTCGTCTCCTTTGCCCCAGACACAGCGAACAGCACTGAAAAACAGCACTTTTTGGGGTTTGCGTCCTTCATGTCCCAGCTGGGCCCCCACCCATTCATTCCTCAGCTGCTGGGAGTGGTGTCAGCGCAGCTGCCTCTGATCATTGTGGTGGAAGAGCTGAGGCACAGAGACCTGCTGGGCTTCCTGTGGAAATGCAGACAGGTACAGCGCTCCCAGATTCTGCAGGTGTCCATTAGCAAGACAAACCTGGGGTGATTTTTTGAAAAGACGCGGGCGGGATTTATAAACTATGCTGCCAGTCATCTAAAACTAAAGACTTAACGAAGAGGGAAAAAGTATATTTAACTTGATGAATAAGTTTTATCTCTCTTTATGATGGAAACAGCATGTTAAATGTCCCTCTCTTTCACTTAAGGACAACTCAAGCTATGACATGACAGAGAAGAGGATCTTCTCCATGGCTGGACAAGTGGCCTCAGCTTTGGTTAGTTAAAAAAAAAAAGCTTTTAGTCCTTTTAACAGCAAGATAATAATAAATCAATATACTATTTGTCATAATTCATTTTGGAGAGAAGTTCTTTGTATTGCCTCTATATTATTTGTGTTGAATATTCCACCACAGTAAGATCCCACCGGCCCGATATGAAAGCTCACCTTCTCTTTTTTTGGTGGCTGTTATCCAGGAGTACCTACACAGCCAGCACTGCATCCATGGTAACGTGGGAGCTCGCAGTGTTCTGGTTGGTGCTGATCTGACGGCCAAGCTGTGGGGATTGGGTTCAGCCTACCGCAGAAGAACGCAAGCGGGATCGCCGGGGCCTGTGGAGGACATGGAGCTGAGGAAATGGCGAGCGCCAGAAGTGCTGGCCGGCAGACCGGCCAATCAAAGCAGTGACATGTGAGCATTCAGGTCCTCCTCACAGTGAAATCCCCTCAGAAAACATAAGACATCCAAGACTGAGCTGTTACAGCAGGCTCTTAGGATGCTCAAGAATCATCTCTTTTAAATTAACTAATAAATCACACATTTGATCATTACAAAAAGGTCCAACAGTAAAAAACAAAAATCTTTAGATTGAAGAAAAAGTAAAGACTTGACATGCAACCTATATCTCTCTGACTCACAGATGGTCCTTCGGGATCCTCCTTTATGAAATGGCCACGTTGGGTGAGTATCAGTCGACTTTATGAAGTACTTTAAAGTAAGATGTGTTTTTTACTACAGTTGAAGGAAAGTAACTCTGATGTGCTCAGGTGATCCACCTTTCGCTGACGTCATGGGGACTGAACTTCTGCAGTATCTTCAAAGAGGAAAAAACCTCAAGCGGCCAGCAAACTGCTCCAACTCACTGTACGAACAGCAGCAAAAAACACTGTTAGAACCGTTTTTATGCACTGTGCAAAAAAATAGGGGGGGGGAAAGTTAGGGGTTTAACAGTACCAGTCACGTGTTGGCAAAGTTTTGTAATAACTATATATTACAACATTATCTATAACATTTAAGAGGTCATCGTAGATCTCGCAAAATAACTTTATACAAAAGCCTATACAGTTGTAAATGAAGTGTCAATAATTTACAAAAACTACACATTTTGCTATGGAAAAAGGATCTAAACTAACTCTCACCTGAGAAAATACATGCAGTGGCATAATTTGTGCTGCATTGATAAATCAAAACTAAACCTTAGGGTAAATTATTGCTTCCTCCTAAATCTGAATGCCTACATTTTCTTATTTCATTCATTCTCTTTGTCAAAAGTTGCTAAATGTGTCCAATACATACATTTATGTTGACTTTCGGTGTCTTTGGTTGTGGTTTGTAGTTACTCAACAATTCGGTCGTGTTGCCACTGGACTCAACAACGACGCATCTCCTTAACGGAACTACGTAGGATACTGCAGGCCGGAGAGGAAACAGCCAATGGGAGGACAGTTCTGAGAGTGCCGGAACCACTAAACTTCGGACAATACCTGAGAGAGGCGGGATATGGAGAAGCCTACAACTATGCGGTGTTCTGATTGGTTCCAACCCCGATCAATCATTGGAGACTAAACACAACGTGCAGCAAAAAAAAAAACAAAAAAACGGAAACGGATTGAAATGAAAGCAAATATATAAAATGCATATTGAATTATTTTATATTTGTTTATTCCGATTGAGAACTTGAAATCGGTTTTAAAGCACAAACTTTTGGTTTGTTCAGGAGTAATTTATTCTTCTTTTGTAAATGTATATTTTTTTCCAAAATATCGAAATAGTTTTTCAAATGCTTGTAAAAATGAAGAGAAGAATTTAATGTGTTTATTTAAACAATAAATACAGTGATGGATGAGATTAATGAGATTATTTAGTTTGGTGCTGAGAGGTGTGTGCATCTTAAAAGAAAAAATCCATCTTTTTCCTGTTTGTGTTACAATTTTACTTGTTGCCTAAGTGTCCAAAAGCACATCTGTAGGTATTAAAATTAATCTCAGAGGGTAGTTTACTAAGTTTTGGGTTTGCAATTCACTGCAAAACGCTGAATAAAACTAAACAGTAACAAGACACCAGCAGGAGGTTTTGAAGGACATTTTCAGCAGAGGTTACAATATTTCGTTTAACCCCTGGTCCCAAGCATACATTTGTAAGGATTTAAAAAATATTCCCTTAGTTATTGTAATCCAAAAAAAAGAGAAAAGAAAAGACAGAGGCTTCACAATTTGAAAACAGTTCCTTGATTATTTATTTGCATTATAATATTAAGCTCTCCTTCTCAAATCTACTTCCTCCACGATTTTGCAGCTTTTCTGATTATTGCAAGCAAACAGGTTAGATTCTGAAGTTACCTCTCGATATAAAAAATTCCTTGGGGGAAGGTGCTACGTTTTGGGGGGAAAGGTCAAACCAGCGCAGTTGAAACCATCCGCTGGTCAGTAAATGTCGCAGTGATTTTCACGGAAACTGAAGCTCGTGTCCTTTCTTCAGTTTTCCAAATAAGTGGAAGGAGCTGCTAATCTAAAGTCTTCCAAATTTGAGAACACGGAGCGTTCAAGGATCATCTTTTTGAGAGAAAATGCTCTAATAGCCACAGTCACTCACAATAAAGCCAAACAAAGCTAGATAGGAAGATAAATACTGTTTGTAGTAACACGCTATGTAGAAAGCTATGAGGAAGACGGAAAATTTCCTTGATCAAGGTCGCTACCTTTCAGTCACGCTTTGGGGAAGGCAACGAATGTCATTGCTTGAAATAACAATTGTAAAAAAGTAAGCGCTAATAGAAAAGAAGGAATGGTATGAAAAGCAGTTAAGTTAAAAAACAGACAATCCTCATCTAAATCTAGTGTGGAGACTAGTGAGAAAGGCCACGAGGTTCACAGAGAGAGAACACGAGAGTTTTTCTACAGTAAAAAGCTTAAACGATGCGAATGTGCAATTAAATATAAAAGGCCAACTTTACAGTTACTACAGTATAGCTTAAGGTTTTTCTTTTTCACACAGTCATTCAGTCAGTCATGATTCCGTTTGAAACATAGGTCCACGCATGGTTTCTTTTTCATAGCAGACTCAAAAAGAAAAAAAAGAAAAATGCTTCAAAACAGATAATCACATTTTCTCCTTGTTTTCATTCTTCAACTCAAGCCGGCGTTGTGGTCTGCTCGAAAAGCACGACAGCCGATAGTTTCAAACCATTCAAACGCTCTTTAAAAAAAAGAGCGTTTTAACACGTAAAACGTTCAACAGCCTTTTCTGTGTACAGCTTAAAGCGTTGTTGCGTTGTTTTTCTGGTAAACACCTAAGCCGGAGTATGACATGCCCTCAGAACCTCGAGGGGTTTTGCATTTCTTTTGGCTCTCGTGCGGTATTTCAATACCCTGTACTCTCAGTGTACCCTGTTGGCTGGAGAGACGCCACTTCTTAAAAACAAAACGACACAAACAAGAAGGGAAAGACCCAGGAGCCACCGTTAATACAGCTCTATTCTTAATAAATAACTCAATCACTGATTATTTTTCCATAAATAACATTTGTGATCAACATCTAAGGGTGTGAGCTTTATGACCCCACATAATATGTTTGGGTTATTTTGATTAAATTTCTGTTACCTTAATTAACTTTTTAAGCGGGATTTCGATTTGGAGAATGGTTCCATCAAAACCTTCTAAAAATGTGAATGGAACAACAGTGTTTTTCCTCCCATTTTGACTTTTCAGTCAAACTTTATGTACATCACAGCCTCCATCTAACACAAGAGCCCTTTACACAGATAAAAAATAAGACTTTTAAAAAAATCTGGATTCCAAGAGGCAAAGTCTAAATGGAGAACACATTCTAAGCCTTTGTTTATGCATTTTTTATGAAAGAAAGCACCGGGTTTGGGGATTTACACCTTCAGCAAAGATATATCCAGCCATTAAAAACATTTTTAAATACATAGAGAAAGCAATGAGTTACAATGATATTCCTGTGGAAATGTAACTTTTAAGAGGGCATCCAGGACTGAGCGAACCAACAGCTGTGAAATGAAGCGTTCTCCATACTTTCACCTGCAGGTCTCCGACCGCTCTGTGACATGAACTTTTGGTTAAAGTCCCAGGGGTCCAACTTTGAGCTCGTCGCATCTATGGAAACATCAGTCCCTCAGATTGTTAATGTGGGCGCAGATTTTGAGGGCAGGGCCCAATTTGATGTTCATAGTAGACATAAGATGCTCCTCCTTCAGCAGGAGCAAAGCCTGTCCGTCGATCTCCTGAGACAGGAACTGGGGCGCAAGCTCCTCACAGCCTGAGAACGAGACCAGCAAAGGTGGAAGAGGATGAAGGGTGGAAGAACAAGAGAGAAACGTTTGGACAGAAACCCGTTATTATAGTTCAAATGTTGCTATATTTGAGCTTTGACTAGACAGGACTGTCTAAGAAGGTTGCTTTAGGCAAAAGACTCCATTATCTGTCCCATTTTTAAAGCATCTATCAACCTGCTGACTGTTAGAATTACACAACCAAAACATAGGAGAAAAAGAGCCACATACAAAAAAACAGGAAGAGAAACTTCCGTCTTTAACAATTCACTCAGAAAGCCCTCAACCTGCAACCAGCATCATTTTAACAAGCTCTGCTGCTCAAACAGAGGCGGCTCTTCCGACCTTGCAGTGAGGAAATGAACTGCGACACCTCCTCCACGCTCCACTGGGCGGGGCTGTTTGACGGGCAGCTGGGAGCAGAGCTCTCCGTCTGCAGTGGCGGAGGCGGCGGCTGGTGGAAGGAAGCAGAGGAAGCGGGCGAGAGAGACATGGGGTCCTCATCCTCCTCTCCAGTAGACTCCTCCTCCGAGTGGCTGGACTCGGAGCGGCACTGCGGGTGAAAGGAGCAAAAGAGGCTTCACGTCAACTCTGATCTTACGTTGGACGAAAGAAGACTTCCTGTATTGTTTGTCGTTTATAAACATAAACATATAAAGAGAAGCCGCTTCAGTCAAATTCAGATAGGATTGTCCTTTTGATTCTAACAGAGACTCAATGTCACTGCACCACAATGCTGCCACACAGAGCTGCTATCAACAGGCTGTCAGCACGCTTCTGCACCCAGTGTCTCCCAGCAGCCACTAGATGGCCCCACAGCTCATCTACAGGGACACATTTCCACTCAGGTCTTTTTCCTGAGTCTGCAACGTGTGCGTTCACACATTGGTAAAGATGTTAAGGTGTGCTCATGTCTTACCTCTGCTAGCTTCAACATGAGAATACCCTGATCCATACCATTAAATCAGATCTCGACAGCCATTATTTCCATTATTAGTCAGAGCATAGTTATGCTTACATCAACCTACAGTGGACAACTATTTAAAAGCCATTTTCTTGTGTATATATGGGTTTGTATGTTTTAAATATGGATCCGCCACTGAAGTTGCTGCTGCTGCATCCTGAAATATGAATAAAAAATGTCCACCAAGAAGAGCTGAGATGGACTAAATTGAATCAAGGGGTTGAATGAATGGGAGTGACAAAAAGGATCAGATGTTTATGCATTCTGTTAAATGTCAAAATATGTTCACATTGCAACATACAGAATTTCATTAGTAACAAATATTAAGACGTATGCTCTCCACTTGAGTGAACATCTGGAAAAATTATTGATGAACACACTTTCTTTTTAGTGATGCGAAAACACCACACAATTAAGATGAATTCAACATTTACTGCAAACACCCGTTTATTATTAAGTATTTGTAGGTAGCCAAGTTAGTTAGTCTGTCTCACCTTGACAGGCAGGGGTCTCCCTGCTATCTTTGCACTGGCTATTTCGGAACTAGTCCTGCGGGGTACCCTCCTCCTGGCGATCCCGCCCTCCTCATCCGAGTTGGACAGGTGACCCTCGGCCTGGTCCCGGTCCGGAGCGCGCTCCTGGTTTTGACGTTGGCTGTGGCTCTGCCGCACTGAGAAGTGCTGTCTGAAGCTGACGTTGTACCTGGGGAACCAATACATACTGTATCGTAGACAAAGAGTGACATATACGGTACTGAAGCAGGGACGAGCAACACAGTTTTTGTCTCTTTGCGCCATACATGGTCGATACGCAACACGCACGCAGTGGGGCAAAGGGACAAAGGCAAAGCAGAGGCAAAACATGTCAAATCAGACGATGACAGCATAATGTTCCACACAATGCCAGAAAAATGCATTGACTTCAAAGTGAAACACTTTGCAATTCAATGCAGGAATGAAGCAAATACAAATATGAAACAGAAAAACTTCACACTTCCTGCAGTGTGCGGCAGTTTCTTAAGAGCAAAGAGGATGAATGAGGCTAAAGAGGACGCCAGAAAACAGACATGCTGCGATACAAACAGCTAAACAGCCCAAGTCCACCTCAGAATGCCCCCAAAAGTCACAGTTCTCCCTGCAGCTTTCTACCATTTAGGTCACTGCCATCAACTCCTCTCACTATTCCTGTGAACTTTGGTGTTTATTAGCATGACCAGGAGGTAAAAATGGAATTGATCAAACACAAGACACTTTAAGGTTGATTTAGATATAATTTTATGTTTAAATAGCAAAAATAGAATTATATTGTAATGTGAGGTGAATTGGATTTTTGAAATTTTTTAATGTAGATTTTGTTTAGTTTTTCATGTTGACTGATATGGAATCAGTAAAACAGTGGTAGAAACAAGTGGGAGAGCAGGATTTTGGATTCTGAGGTGGCCTCCATTGCACATCATATTTCATGCATTTGAAGTACCTCTTGGCACACGTCATGGAGCAGAACCTTTTGGTGCCTCTGAACTGGCTGGCAGGTGCAAAGTTTTTGCAGTACTCACACTTCAGTACTGAGAGGAGCAAGAAGAAAGAAGGGTTAGTCAACCTCAGGTTTTCTACAGACGTTTCATTACAGCATTTTACCAGAATATAACGGCGGGAAAAGCTGCCACAATGCTGCAACGACTCCAAGAGTTCCATCTTCAAAATCATACCGTTTAAGAAAAGAAAAATCTTGTTATATTGCCTGTTACTTATAATTCAAGGGTGGGAAACTCCCAGCTTGGAGGTTATAATTAAAACCTTCCCTGTGCTCTTGTGACAAAGGTCAATAACAGGTCAGGTTGTTCCTCCAGTGCATGTAAAATAACTAGAAAATTCTAATTTAAACTTTACAGCAATGAGTTTTATTTTTTATGCATGAATAAAAAAAAAAATCAAATTTGAGGAAAAAAAAATTATCAAAAAGCTTTGTTTTTTGTGATTGTTGCCAAGTGACGCCGTGCACCACACAATTCTTTCCGTGTTCATTTATTTGGATGCTAAAGTTAACCTTATGTAAAGGGAGATCGTGCACAACACCTGAGCTCTGGTTTTTCCCTCTCTTTCCGATTCAGATTTCTACCCTTCAAAAACGCAGCTGCGCGTTCAGAGTGCGGCCGATACCTGTTGCTGTGGTCACGGTTTCCGGCTGGTTAGTGTCCGGGCTGTCGTTGGTCAGATCCTCTCCGGCCGAGTCCTTCACAGATCCGCACACCTGTCGGTCCAAAGCGAAACAAACAAGGACGTCAGTGGCCAGTGCCGCGCGTGCTGACCCCACATCAGACCCACAAAACGCCGAGCACGCACGGGGAATGGCTCGGCCCCCTCCTGGATGACGAAGCCCTCGATGAGGTGCGTGAGAACTTGTGGTTTGACCACAGCTTGAGGCGGCGGCGCCCTCTCCCCCTGAGCACAGGCCCCACAAGACACAGACAGCACCGGGCCAGGAGAGGAGGACGCTGGAGGAGGAGAACCAGAGCCTGGAAAGATGGCGAGGAGGAGACGATGAGGATGGTTTAACGGTCCGATTCGGTCACGGGGCAGCTCAGAACCGTTCACAGACGCGTTGCCGTGGCGTTACCTGCTCCGATGGGATTGGCTGGAGAGGCTGAGGCTTCATCTCTGACTGTCTGGAGCCGAGGGGGAGGTGGTCCTTCTTCGTCATTTGCCGAATTGGAGTCCGATTTCCGCTTTAAAGACACAGTCGTCTGCTTTCCCTTAAAAACAGAATTTCACAGGATGTAAAGAGAACCTAATATTTAGTAGCATGAAAATCCACGAAAGGAAAAGAAATTGTAAAACTACACCTGCCCAGTCTGAAAACAACGGATTTTGTGAGACATCAGCTGACCTGTGGTGTCTGACTTCCTGTGGAGTCTCCGTTGGTGGTCACACCAGATGACGCTCCCCTTTGCTCCTCAGGCACCAGGGGGAGGGACAGGGAGGAGCGGGACAGCGAGGGGGAGGGAGAGGAAACACTGGAGGACTGAGTGGAGGCGGGGCTCTGACTCAGAGGTCCGTTCCGACTCTGTCCAGAGCTCTGGTTGGCCTGGGGATGCACTTTAGACACCTGAGCCAATGGCGGAGCCTCCTGGGGCGACTGCAGCGTCTTCAGCCCCACCCCCCGCCCCATGACCCCGCCCTCCCTGGAGGCGATGGACGCCACCATGGTGAGCAGACTGGACGAGCTGCTGAGAACGGCCGCTCCCTCCTGGCTGCAGCTGCCCCGCGCCAGCGCCAGAGCCTGGGCGCTGCCCAGCGTGCTCTGCCGGGCCCCCACGATCTGCACCGGGATGTGCGGAGGCTGGGAGGGCTGAGCGGAGCTGCTGACCGGCGGCGGGGCGGGGAGGATGGGGGGGGGGTTCCTGGAAGGCAGCTGGAGAGGCAGGCGGAGGCCCTGCAGGGTTTTGGGCTGGATGGGGATGGGCCCGTTCCCGTGGCCCGGCTTGTCGGCACCGTGGGAGGTCTTCTGCAGGGGCTGCACCACCAGCGTCTGGGCATTGACCGCCGGCTTGATGGTCGCCGTGCCGACCGGGTACCCGTGGGGCTGGGAGGCCGCGCCGGACGTGAGGACCAGGGTGTGCGCGGTGGGAGCAGTGGTTCCCGTGGTCAGGGTTCGAGTTCCGTGGAGCAGGAGCTGGGAAAGAGGGATGGAGGAGGTGGAGGACGAGGAAGAAGTGGACACACCAGAGGAAGAGGAGGGGTGGGCTTTGAGGTTCGTGGGGTGTGGGTAAGTGGGGATTTTGATGTGAGTTGGCTGGGGGCTGGGCTTGGAGGGGGACTGGGTGTTTGACGGATGGGAGGGATGCACCAGGGAATAGGCTGCAGGATAGAGAAAAAGTCTGGTTTTAGGTTGAAATTTAAGCTGAACCAGTGGCAAATTTAGAATTAATTATGAAAAATGAGAGAGATGTTTTTCCCTCCATCCCTACCAGATTCGTTCCTCTCCGGGGCTTCAGTTTTCACCCCAACAGCTTTGGAGCCCGACACACCTCGCATGGCCAGGTTCTGCGCCTGGACGACGAAGCCACAGCTAAAAATCCACAGCCGGACACTAACCGGCGCAAAGGCCTCTCCTCCCAAAAATCAATCCATTCACCACTCTAACCTGCTCGTTATCCGTTTGGCTGCTGGAGGAGGAGGTGGGAGCCACTTCCTGTTTCTGCGTTTGCGGCTGTTGGGCGACAGTCGCCACGGCGGCGGTCGCTGTGCTGCCGGGCATGAAGATGAGCTGCGAGGGGATGGGAGCTCGGAGGGAGCGGTTGACCTGCGGGATGAACGGCGTTTAAACGGGTGGAACCCGGTGGCTCAGACGGGCTTGAAAACAGCCGGCTGGTTAAACTCACCCTCAGGTACATTTGCCCCTGCCCTCCTGCCGTCCCGCTCAGCAGCACCGACTGGCTGATGGTGGATGTTGCCGTGGCGCCCAGAGGACGGCTGCTGGTCGTAGAAGATGATCCAGATGTGACGCTGGCCTGCGGGGGGACAATTTGGAACTTTATTATGTACGATTTGCGCTGTAGCCAACTGAAAAGAGCCTGCACTGACGACTTATGACGCTTTTTTTTTTCTCCTTTGCGGGAACGATTAGCTGGATAAACTGATGCCAAACTAAACCACTTTGTCCAAAAGGGAAATTAAAAAAATATCGAGCTTTTGGGGGCTGGTAAACAGCAGAGTGTTCTAATTATTTTTGGCTGAGTGACAGAGCGTACAGCTGTGCTGCTGGTGGTCTGAGAGGAGCTGCTGCTGGAGGGACTGGACTGACGACTGGCCGCCAGAGTCGCCTGGAAGGAAGAGAAGGAGGAGAGAAAGAGGGTCACTCGCATCCAAACAAAGTGTTTACAGAGGATGTTGTGCGGTTGAAGCCAGACGTGGCTCTTTGTTTTGGTCACTGAGCCTCCATTTTGTGTGTTTCAGCGGGTCCAGCACAGCTGTCCACGACTCCCACAGCTTCCCTGTTTCTTTTCCGTCTGGTTTTCATTGGTGTTGATTGTTTGCTCTGACAGTGAAGGCTTTTAGGCATCTTATTTTGCTCTGTGACACCTTTCATATCTCACTTTTTCCTGCTTTAACTTTGTCACAAAAGCATTCCCTTTAGCGGGAATTCAATTTTCCCAAAGGGGAGCCTCTCGAAGGGATCAATAATCTGATCAAGGTGCATATGTCGAAATCTGAGATGACTTTACACACCTTAACCTGCTGCACCGCTGCCAGATTCTGCAGCTGGGCGCTGTTGATCTGCTGCTGGAGCATCAGCTGCTGGAAGTACTGAGCCGCGTTTGGCTGCCTCTGCAGCGCCTGCAGGGCCTGGATGACAGGAGAGAGGAAAACTGAGCAGCCGGAAAACCGGTGGAGATCAATCAGAGATTAAATTACACCACAGATGAAAAAAGGGAGAAATGAAGCAACAGAATCGGGGGTGATTGGAGAAATGGCCACGATTAGAATATACAAGACTTCAGAAGAGGGAAGAAAAAAAAGAGGAGAGGGAGCAACTCTGTTTGCAGCTTGCTGCCAGCTGCCTGATGTATGAGCGGGGACTCATACAGTAATAAGTTGAGGAATGAGAGCCGGCGCGGTAGGTTGAATTAGTACGAGCAGGGCGACAGAGACAGATGGCCCTGAAGGGTGACAAAAGGCCCGGGAACATAACAGAGAGCTCCTGTCGCCGCCGCCACCGCCGCTCAGCCCCTTTGTGAGCCTGCTCGACTCAGTCGATCCTCTTCACCTTCTGTCCCGCAGCTCGCTCATCAATCATAAAAGATGAACAGACAACAAAGCCACACTTCATAACCACCGAGCTGTGTTTACTCTGCAACCCGGCGCACACCGTCCATTAGAATGAAGAACAAGCTGCGGCTGATGTTAATGCTCATCTCCTTTATCGCTGCTTTCTTAAGATGCATCGTCAGCCACTTGGCGGACGGCATGCATTTTAAACGGGAATGGCCAAAGGTTCCCTGGAGTGTCGTTTTATTGTCTAGACCTGTATGTGTGTTTCCTAATCCCCAGGCATGCAGCCTACTTTTTGGTCCAATAGTAAAAAGGGACACATGCTGAATGTACAGGCCTCGCCACCGAGCCATTGTCATCTGGGTTAAAAGACAGAATAAAAGACCAGGGCCTTAGTTTCTTGGGTGAGGAGTTCAAACTCGTTAAACTACTTTTCTCGCAGTAACACAACTGTAATCGAACGGCTGAATGCAACATCCAGCAGGACGGACACCAGGTGGGACTTGGCAGTTAAATGAGCTGCACCGTCCAAGTCTGGAGTTTTTTTGTTTTTTTGGGTTATGACCAGCCATAAATCTTGGACCTCATTTGGAGATGGCAGAAAGCCTGGACGAAACAGCTGGAAACAAAACTCGTAACGCCACTTAAAGACAAAGCAGATTCTACGGAGTAAGGCAGTTTTAGTTGAAAAAGATGTGAGCTGAAGCTTTGATATAAAGCAGAGAATTCTGAAACAAAAGCCTTTTCACTTCTGTCACTGCAAGCTGTCACTATATCTATCTGAAGATCTGCACAAAAAAATGCTTTGGACAGGGCAGTGCGACCACTGGAAGAGATTTATGGGTGTCATCTCCACGATATATACTTAATCCCATCCCTGGCTCGAACCTAAACCTTAACCTGAACACTCAAGCCACCAACAACCCCTTAGAAGACGTGTCAGAAGATGGAACCGCCTCATTTCTGAGCTGCAAAACTTAATCTGGTGCTCACAACATGCATAGAATCGCACTTTCACACCCACCTGCACGGCTTGTCTTTCATAGGGAGACATGGAGTTCATCGGTGAGGGACGGGAGCTGCCCCCTGACCCCGCGCTCCCATTGGTCGAGGCTCCCTGCTGGTTCTGCTCTCCATCCGTCTCCATAGCTTCAGAAGAGGCAGATGAAACAACAGCCCATCAAGCACAGAGTGAACCATCAATTTCTCTCCGCATGAGCCGCAAGGCACATCATTCCTCACAGAGCTGAGACCCGGCGCTTTTCCAGGGTCTATGACTCGCTGAGCAGATGTTGTCAGAACTGAGTGAAATCTGCCCACAGAAAGTTTTCAGCATCCATCAAACTGATCGTTTTTCAGCGGGCCGTCACACGAGACGGATGTGACGCTGCACGGGGCGCCCAGAAAAGGGTGGTACAGATTCAAAAAGAAAGCACATCTCCCGTATTTACCATCGATCATACCTATCAGATACGTCCAGTTTAACATCACGTTTCCACGTTTTAGAAGCTTGGATGCAAAATGCTGGATTATGGAATGAGATTAGAGAATAACTTCAAATTCCAACACATTCCAGGGGTTTGCTTATTTTCTAAAAACAGTTATTAGATTCAAAAGTCAAAGTTGTTATTCATTGAAGGCAGGCTGCAATAACTGCATTCAATAACAAACCTGGGGAGCAGATTTGACACTTTGGAGATGAACAAATGTTGTTTTCTTCGGTTCACACGTTTAAAAACAAGGTCACAAATATACCTGAAACATTGCAGGAGAGCAACTAAAAATATATATATACAGTATATATCTATATCTTTATGGTTAGTCCAGAAGAAGAAAAAATTGCAGTGCTCATAATTCAGCACGTTAATCGATGACAAGAACAACAACAAAAAATCTGCTGCAACGATTTGTGCCGCAGAAACATATTTATCATATTTCCAAAAAAAAAAGCACCACCAAGGCGTCTGGACATCCCACACGGACGCTTTAATTCAGGTGTTCACGGTCCGTTTTATCAATGCAGCATCGTTATTTCTCCTCCTCCTCCTCCTCTTCCTCCGAAGCCATCCCTCCCCAGCGGTACCAGTCTGAACGACCCCCCCCACCCCCCCTCTTTTAGCTCCAACACCTGAGGAGCAGCCGGCTAACGCTAGCTAGCTGCCCTCCATGTTTCAGACCGGTTGACACTGGATTCACCGGAGGCTACTCCTCCTCCTAGCAACCCGCTAGCCGCCGCCGCCGTCTGGCTCGTTACGGGTTGGCTGGGTGGGTGCTGGTGGTGGAGGTGGAGGTGGTGGTGGTGGTGTTGGAAGCTCTCTGTCCGTCCTTACCGTCGCCGCTCCGGGCTGCCGTTCCTCCGCCTGCACCGGGAGCCCCGCGGCGGAGCGACGCGCAGCGACTCGGCGGCCTTCCGGGGCTGTTCGTCGACGCGGCGCCCGATGCTCCGTCGTCCGTTGTTCTCCTCCGCGGGACGGCCGCGCAGGCTGGAGCGGCGGCAGGGATTTCGGGGCTCTGCATAAATTTGCAGCTGATGTGTTGTTTGGAGGGCAACGCCTCCTTTTTCAGCTGCTCTGCCCTTTCCGGCGCCAGAGGATGACGAAGAGGGACAGGACGAAGGGGGACACCATCCCCCGCATGGACCCCCTGCCTGGAAAGGGTGGCACTAACTGGCGTCCAGAGAAGGAAGGAATTCCCTTCTTCCGCCATTAAAACGCCCAAGGTCCGACCCAACACAACCGATTATCTAGTCCCTTTAAAAATGTGAAAAGTTATCATATTTGACTTTGGTGACACATCATTGCCATCATTATTATCATCATTACATTTTTCCACCGTTACATTTTTATTATTATTATCATCATCAGCAGTAGTAGTGGTACGTTTAGTAAAAAAAATAAAATAAAAAAAAGGCTTCCCAATCCTGACACAACAGTCTGACAATAACAAGGAACCAATTAACAAAACTATTGTCTTCCAATCAGAAAATCTTGAAGTAAGCACTTTTTGTGAGGCTTTATCAGTCTCTCACATCTTTGTGGAGGAGTTTGTTTTTCCATCATTGCTACAGCTGACCGAGGTCTGCAGCTTTGGTTTCTGCACAGCTTTCTGAACGTCCCGCCACAGCTGGCCGCAGAATCAGCCCAAATCACCAGTCCCTCTGACATTCAACATACTAACGGAGGCCTGTTGGGTCTGCAGAGAAAGCTCTTTGTTCTAGCTGTTCCTCTGCTTAAGGAGCACTGACCTTTGGGTGAACACAGGACGGCCACTCCTGGGAATTCTGAGACCCGTCCTGAACGATCCTCTGCATTCTGGCTTAGTTTGGGTTGAATATTGAAACATGTATCACATTTCATGCATTTGTTTTATCCTGGTGTTCTTTTTTTTATTTGACTATTAGGGAAGAAAAAACACACAGTTGCTTTTTTTCTATTATGTGATTATTTTATTCAACAACTTTATCTGGTTTGTACAGTACAAACATAAACAGCTGGAGTGCATCACTGGTGTGGCACAGAGAAATGTTAAACGCTTTGATACACAATCATTTACTCTACTACACTGACCAACTGAGCCATCAAAGCTTAAAATATCTCTTATATATCACTTTAGTTTTTGGCCACCAATATAACACAAAACAAAACAGACAATGGCTGACGTGTATCGTCACTGTGATTCACAATCGTTTCAGCCAACAAACGTTTGGATCCAAGTGACCACATCAGTGACTTTCAGACACGTCCCACATAAAGAAGCAAAAGAGGGGAACTTTCTCACAAGTAACTGAGGTACAGAGGCACAAAAAGCTTGCAGGACATGAACGTTTGCACAGCAACACCACACAGAACAGGACACACACGCATACACACACACACAGCGCAAACATCGCAGCAGCCAAAGTATGTTGTTGAGGTATTTCACTTGGAGTTGAGTCCAGATCGAGTAGAGTGCGCCATTAAACCCAGAACTGATGACTTGGCACGCTACGGTTTGCACATTTTCCTGCAAAAATGTCTCAACGTGCGCTATGAGGGCAGCGTTTTAAAAGGGTTGCAATTTACTCCTTGACTGTTGCGAGGTGATGTGTGTGACGTGACCGACTGTTTCCCCCAGAATGCCAGGTTTTTAGATTTGTGGATTGTGACGATGAAGCTGCCAAAACCCAACCATAACATAAACAGCTGTGAGTGGCTGCGAATGGGTTGCAAAGCACACACAAGGTAAAAATCAGAGGAGGGCAGTGTTAGTCATCTGGTGACCGTGCAAGTTAAACAACAGATCACTTTAAAAAAAAAGCTTATTTCCAGAGGGGTGAAAGTTTGGAGTTTGTGCATGAAGGGAGTTGCTGGCTTTAGGGGGGGTGCACACTGACATCCATTCACATGCTTGAAACGACGTCACTTACTTTTGTGCGCACCGAATTGATAATAAATTGTTTAAATCTCTACAGACAGCAACATTTTTAATCTCAAACGAGCAACGAGGCTGCTGGCAAGTGTATTTTGCTACCCCTGATTCACTTAAATAGGCAGTTTTAGTTCAGACTGTCAAAGAATAGACGTTCTCCAGTGATAGTTTTGACTTATTAAAACATAATCTAGCGGCCGGTCGCACCAAACTCGACAACTTTGTCTCGGATGTAGGACTTAAAAGTTAAATATGCTCTCATCAAAGCAGCATTTCAGCCTCCTGAAACCGGTTGGGACCCAAAAGACGCACAAAACTGGGTGATATTTGAGAGAGCGATGTGACAAATGGTGAACCTGAAAGGGCAAGCTTTGCAAGAGGAAGTACTTCAGACCCGTGAAAGACACATGCCAGGCTGGATTCAGTGTTAGTGCCACATTGACAAAGCTGTGCACGTGTAGCCAATGACAGAAGCTGGAGCTCCACAGGTGGGACAGAACACAACATCGAACACAGTCAGAGAGGAGTGGAAGATACACTTCCCATAGTGCAAACACAGAACATCAAGATCATCAACATCACGGGAGTCAAATTCTATAATAAATATACTTTCACTGTTAGAATAAGTCATTCCAGCAGCCCTGTTCACATCAATTAATATCTTCAGCCTCATTCCGTATCTTAAAATGAGTCAGCTGGCATCTGATTGAAATCATATACCTCACCATTAATCATCTGTTATGGAAAATATTCTTCCAGTGTCACCAAAAATAAATAATCTAGCAAATGCATAAATAAATATGTTTACAATGGGCAGCAAAGGCGAAAACAGCATTTTAAAGAAGAAACAGTGATCCACAAAATCACCAAATATTATAGAAAATATACTTTGTGTTCCACTCATATACACCACATATACTGCACAATGTATATAACACATGAATCTGAACTTTAAAATCAAAGTGTCGACAGCGTTTGCAGCACAAAGCCAAAAAAAGAGTGCCTTTAAATGACTTTTTTCATACTTAAAAGTCAAGTTGGAACATGTCAGGATAACACTTACTACTATTAAGATTTAAGCATGTTCGGTAGAGGAAACTGATAAAATTCACTGCCTATTTAAAAATCCTCTGACAAAACATTTGTATTCCTAAAATATTTATTTCTGGAATGATTTTGGATTTCTGGACTGAAACAGCTCTCTGAAGCAGAGAAGGCATTCTGCTTGATCTGAGCTAGATTTGCAAGGGGGCTGGAGCCAATCCCAGCTGCCTGCATGGGTTGCCTCTCCAAAGAGAACAAAAACAACATGTAAGAGGAGAAAAACACTAACTTCTCATTGTGATAATATATAGTTCTATAGTTTCTTTAAAAGTAAGTAAATCCTATAAGAATGAGCTCTAAATAAAGACCAAAAACAGGGCCATTCTTGTTCACCAGAGGGATTTCTTTTAAATATTCCAGGAATTATGAAATTATTTAATATGATTATGGAAAGGCAGCAGAATTAAAACATTTTCAATAAAAACAGGCCTGTCTTACCATATTGTCTGAGCATTCCCACAGGAAAGGGTTTTCATACAAAGTGGAACCAAATCTTTTGTCAGTCCATTATTCCACGTCGGAATCATGACAACATACCAGATGTCTGAGTTTAGGACACCTTGTTTTTGGTCTAGCACACAGAATTCACAGTACATAGATTTTAAAATGCTTTTCTCTGGCTTCAGTTACTGAGCAAAACATGATTTTCTGCTAAGAGACCAGCAAAGGCAGTTGCGTTTTCCATTGGATTTACCCCCGGTGGGTAGAATATTAGCACGTTCCCTTTAGTTGCCTCTACCTACGATGGCTGAAGCTTCTAAACTGATTGCACATGTGAGACAAAACTCATAGACTCATCTGTTCTACTTACAGCTTTGTTAGATATATGTATTCGCTCATGAGTTTAGGTCGTTAGTAGTCTGTTATTTGACGTAAAGCTCTGCTGTGCTCAATGACTTCTACAATAGTGCTAGTGACTCTAATGCTTGCTTTACTCTGGTTATCTTGGTGCATATAGAATTACGTAGTTAGTGTAGAGATAATCTAATTCTCTGAGCTACACTCCACAACTGCAGGCAAAGCTTAATTCAAACTCACTTTTCATACTTCTGGGTCAGTCTGTAGAGCAGTATATTTCTCATTAAACTTTTAAACTGTAGATCGTATTCAAGCCTCTATATCCTTGCTACTATGAATTATGATGCAATAATCTCTCTTAAAAAAAATAATAAATGCTGCATGTTACCCTACTATAATCTTCATGTGTAAAAATATGTGTTCAAAACGGCTTTGCTTGCACGTCAGAACTAGAAGTCCTAAAACAAAGGATCTATTTAACCGTTTCAACAGTCTGCAACCCTTTTTGAAAATCCCCAGTATAAAGCAGTAATCCACATGTGTATCTAAAAATGGATCCATGTGATGATTTGAACTCCAGAAACAGTGTTTACATGGATAAAAAGAAGCGGGGTTCGTCCTGGAGTATGTCATCATGACATAGCTAGCACCAGCAGTGGTGCCAAACTCCAACTTAATAGTAAAAAGACAGTGGATTAGAGCTTTAACCCTACTCTAGTGTTTAGCGATCTCAGGATGAGTCACTGTATTGTATCTCATCACTAACTGTGGAGCCATTTCTACCATTTTTTTAAAAGTACATGGTGCTGAAAAGAGAGGTTTCTTTCAAGTCACTGCGTGACAAAAGCATTGATTCTAATCAGTGTTCCCCCGTTTGGGTTTCCCGTGAGGACGTTGATGGCTTCACAATGAAAGTTGCTTCAGAATGACTGCGTCGCTCGACCTGCGGCGGCCGGTCGTTTCTCAGACTGAACTTAGCAGCCAGAGGACCCGCGTTTGAGGTTACATGTGTTCGTTAGGTGGTATCTAAAGCTCAGCACTTTGGAAGGGCTATAAAGTTCTCAGCTTCTTTTCTGTTTTAGCCGAAGGCAGAGCATACATTTGAGAACATATCTCTATATACCTGTGATTGCACAACACATCCCAAAACGTAGAACAATACTTCAAATAAACCCTACAGTGATGAATAAAAGCTGCCTTGCACTACAATGCCGACTAAAATGCATCTTTACACTTGGAAAACAGGAACATGATTAAAAAGTGATGTCGCCTCACTGACATTACCCGGACCTGAACTCAGAAATGATGCTTACGGAGACGCCTGTACACTGACAGAAACCCCTCTGGTCAGCGCTGTGCCCACCGACATTTCAGATGGACGTTCAACCGACTTCTGCTTCGACTTGGTTTAACCAGAGAGGTTCGCCAGCTTTACCAAAAGAGACACGGCGTGTAAATGGGTGCGGGGAATGTACAGTATAATAAAGTTGAGTCGAGATTTCTTAAAAGAAGGAGGAGTGAGAAATGTCCAAAGGAGTAAAGAAAGTGTTAAATTACATCTGTGGTCTTCAGTGGGAGATCTCGGTAAGTCTTCCTTCCTGTATGAACCCCTTACCTATGAAAGCTCAGCCTACACCTGCTCTACTTTCTCCCCCGTGCTGCTGTCTTTCTCTGCGAGGGGCGTGGTCTCCGCCGCCGGTGGGGGGGCGGCTGCCGGAGCGGCTGCCGGCGCCTCCACCAGCGGGACCTTCTCCTTCACCGGCGAGGCGGGAAGCGCCACGGCGGCGCTGGTGGTGGCGGCGGGGTCCTCGGAGGGCGAGGCGGCGTTGGGCGGCGGGCCGCCGAAGCTGCGGGCGATCTCGTCGAATGTCTTCCCCTTGGTCTCCGGGACTTTGATGAACGTGAAGATGAAAAAGAGGACGAGGAAGCCGGCGAAGATGAGGAAGACCCACGGCCCGCACACCTCCTGAGAAAGGGAAGAGGGCAGAGTGAGGAGGATTTTCTTTTACGCTAAACAGACAGACGAGTAGCAGAGTAAAAAAGTTCTGTTGAAAGAAAGAGGAACAAAAGAAGTTCAATCCAGCCCCAGACCAGGTTCTAACCAGTCCAAACCAGCACGCTCGCCCTTCCCTTACCACTAGCTTGGGGAAGCTCATTCCAACAAGGAAGTTGGCGGTCCAATTGCAGCAGCCGGCGACAGCCATGGCCGCAGGGCGGGGGCCCTGCGAGAAGAGCTCGGCCACAATGAACCACGGGATTGGCCCAGGGCCCATCTCAAACATAGCCACAAAGAGCATGACGGCTACGATGGCCAAGTAGCTCATGACTGGGATGTGCTTCTGCTCAGACAGAGGAAGAAAAAAGGAGAGTATATCAGACACGTTCGCTGGCTTAAAAGCTCACAGTTTCTAACTAGTCCGAGACATCCATAGTATGAAGTACAGTACTTTTATTAGAGCTAACCCGAACCTTTTTGTGGAACTTTCTATTCAGCGTTATTTCTACACAGGTAACCTAACTGCGGGATCTCCACTGTCCTCTCCAAAAGAACCAAAGCCTTGTTAAAAGGTGTAGTTTCTTCTCCTCCCTGCCGTTTAAGATCAGGTGAAATGTTTGTGTGTGTCCGGCTGAGCTGTCCTTAGCCGAACTCACCAGCAGGAGGGAGATCGTCATCAACAAAGCGCTGACTGCCATCCCGCCCAGTCCCAGGAGGTGCAGAGTCCTTCGTCCTGCCTTTTCCACCAGGAAGAGCTGCAGGACAGAAGAGGGAGGGAGTGACGCGCTGCTGAGTGCGCAAAAGCGCGCACACACACACACACACACACACACACACACACACACACACACACACAGAGACATCAACACCCCTGAGTCACTCACAGAGACAACAGTGAAGATGGTGTTGACTATGCCGGCTCCGATAGTGGCATAGATGGGCTGCTTCACGCCAGCTGAGGCAAAGATCCCCGTGGAGTAATAAAACACCTGCGGGGGGGGCACAGATGAGACATAAAAAAGGAGAATGAAGGCTTTAATTGAACATTTTCTATAATGATATTTTGAAATGTGCCTAAAAGCAGCTTTCATAAAGCTCATTTTTCAAATAAAAAATGGCGCACCATACCTGATCAAGACTATACAACATATTTTCTATTAGTGTGAGTTCAGATTCAGATTTCAAATTAATCTTCCGAGCTTTAGACGGTGAAAAGAGTTGTCTGGGTAGAGTGTGCAGAGCGTGCTGCCTGTGGCGGACTCACGGCGTTGATCCCCGACAGCTGCTGGGAGAGCTGCAGCATGACGGCGATGAGGAGAGGCTGCCGGTACGCCGCCGAGCGGAACAGCTCGGCGATGGTCACCTTCTTCTCCTTGGCCATCTTGGCGCTCTCCTCCTTCATCTCCTGCATGTCTTTGCTCACATCCTCGGTGCCACGCAGACGGACCAGCGCTGTCGGCATAACCATAACCTAAGTCAGTAAGTCCTCATCAGCAGAAGTTTTCTTGGTTAATGGGAGTCAGAGGAAACAGGCCGGCTTTACCTTTGTTCTTAGAAACAATGTGATTGTTACGTGTCCTCAGAAGAAACAGCATCAATTAGCATTTGGAACCAGAGTTCTGCCTAAAAAAACCCGATCGTCCAGCAGTTTTCACCAAATGTGACGCTAACTAACATTTGCGTTAGTGTCTGTGCGACTTAGGCCTCTGAGTTGACCCCACAGTCGACCCCCCCTCTCAGTGTTCAGCGACTCCTTCCTCCAGGCTGAACCCGCCCAACTCAGCTGAGCCCACCCAGATTTCTTCTTTCTTCTTCTTCACTGGCTTTCTCAGAGATTTGTATGGATTTGTATGGATGAAGTGCTAACTGTGTGTACCTTTGCGTGCCTGCTCCTCTTGTTTCAGGTTGATCAGCAGGAAGCGGGGGCTCTCGGGGCAGAAAGGCAGCAGGATGCACTGCAGCACAGCCGGGACCACGGTGAGGGCCAGGAGCAGGGGCCACAGCTTTTCAGAACCCAGCAAAGCCTCCAGGCCAAAGATCTAAAACAAAAGGCACACAAGAGCACATCCTGATAAACTCTATGGGATGGGGGGTTAACCATAATCCCAAACCAGCCATTAACAGTCATGTTACCTGGAAATAAGGTATTTATAGTGTGTCCACTACAGACCTTGAAGTAGTAATTTGATTAATCATAATAATGTATTTCTTAATGCATTGTGATCCGTTGTGTCTTTTGTGATTTTGAAGTTATTTTACAAAAACGGAATTGAGGTTGCATAACTGATTTTAACCTGGGCAATCAGGATCCCAACCACCACACCGAGCTGGTGCAGAGTGCCAAAAGCTCCACGGAGCGGCGTGGGTGACACCTCGCCCACATACATGGGAGTCAGGCCGGTGAAGAGCCCGCAAAACAAGCCGATGACCAAGCGCCCGGCGATCACCATCTCATAGGAGGAGCAGATGGTGGAGAGGCCCATGAGGAGGCCGCCTATCACGGCCAAAGAGTTGACCAGGAACATGGAGCGACGCCTGGAGAGGAGGAGGGAGCTGAGCGTTAGCGGGGAACAAATCAGCCGTTCTTCTGAAATTGCACTCAAGGAGGCTCCCCTCAGCCCTACCACATTCTTAGAAAGGGTAGAGGATTTATTCAGAGACACAGAGGAGGAGAAACTTGTTAATCTTCACAAACAATTGTTTTAATGTATGGAAATAAACATAAGGTCAAATGTATCAAAAAGTTAGGATCATATCTTATAGTAATGAGAAATTACATTTATGGTAAAAATCAGACCAGGAGAATAAGATCTCACCATAGAAAGGAAGTGAGTTTATATTTCAAGGGTAAAATGTCAGAGGCAAATATAGAAATTAAGAAACAGCTGTAGGGAATAATAAAGCAGAGCTGATTACAGACATGCTTCAGGAACTTAATTCTAATGACTCTTGACAGTTCAGATGAACCAAACAGGAAAAACATTCACAGAAAAGCAGTGGTTTAAAAAAGGCGTTCAAAGTCTGACTGTCTACAGTTTAAATGTGAGAAATTTAACCTCCCACCTGCCGAATCTGTTGGCCATGACGCCCACACTAAAGGAGCCCACCATTCCGCCCACACTGAAGATGGCCACCGCGATACTCCACACGATGGTACAAACCCCCGGGCTGATGGACTCACCATAGCGCTCCACCCAGGTATCATTGAAAAAAGATCGTAGTTTCTGATGAGGGGAAAAGAGAGAGAGGTATGACTTAGAACAGTGTGAGAGCAGAGAGTGGGGTATTAAAAGTAACTGACAGGGGATTCACTGTACAAACAGTTTTAGTCTGCTAACTGAGATACAGCCAGATACATTTTGAGACTAGCCTCTTAGCGTAAACAGGGATTTTACACCAATTTATTTGGCCGAAATGATGGGTCGAAGAAGGCAATATTAGGGTTTGGAGTGTGTCTCCACTCTCAAATGCTGATCAGCTTTACACGTTAGAGCATGGGTTTGTGACAGATTATGAGTAGGATTTCTCAGCGGTGATCCCTCCTCACTGCAAATCCTTGTAAATTTGGTGGGTTGTGTTCTATTTTGAAATGTCTATCAGTGGAAAAGTTCCACAAGGTTTGGCATACAAATGTAGTCAGAAACAAACATCTATAAATTTCAATCCTTTTTTTTGCTAAATTATTTTTCAAGAGTCTTACCTAAACAGAGCCATAAACATCTGCCTAAACTATCTACCTAATTAGTCCACAAATTGACTTTATCTAAACAAGATTTCTTTCAAAATTAGCATAAATAGCATAAATTCTAAAAGGCTCCCCTGTCTAAAAGCGGTCACTTCAGAAAAAATCTAATAAGACTGGGTACATTTAAATTACATTATGGCAATTTATTTTTAAAGGATGCAAAGTGACTACATTCTAAAAGATTTGCGCCACCACATGTTTACCCACCTCCTCTGGAGCATTGATGACTCCAGTGTTGTAGCCAAACTGCAGGGAGCCAATGACAGCGGTGGCCAGTGAGAACAAGAGATAACCCGTCACCTGCTTTTCCTGATGGAAGAAAAAACAAGAGTAGGCAGAGGGAAAAACATTAAATGAGACACAGAGTTGAGGTGGGGGGAAGAGAGAGAGAGGGATGTCAGGAAAAATTCAATCTGAGCTCATAATGAGATTCTCAATCCCTGCAGAAGAGAGAGGCTTCCTGTAAACGGTGATGCTGATGGGGGGGCAGGTCAGGTACACACAACAAACAACAGCTGCAGGTTGCAGACAGACTGCACTCAGACGACACTTAAAAAGCACCCACACATGGGACTACTCATTCCTCTTTGTTGTTTTCAATATCCTATAACTCTTCCTACTAATATTAATGCTATTTTGTGGTATTTTTTGCACAATTTCAAACTTTTTTCGGTCATGAACAATTTGCAATACTCTTAGTGGTAGTAGTTTGCATCATATCTGTCTAGTAGCGTCTCTCTGAATGATAACTAATTTTAAACATGCAAATGTATATTAATTATTAAGCGATCCACCGGCCCCTGCAAAGAGTTTTCCCCTGATAATAGAATTGATTCATCACTTAGTACTCTAAAAGGACCCATTAGTTCCATCCAATGTTTGAAAAAAGAAAACAAAGTCTCGTGAAGCATGATGCAGTTTCCTTCTGCTTCAGCTCTGAAATAGAATAATATGATATAAACTTCAAACTGACTGTGGAAAGTGTTCCCCAGCAGCAAAAAATCTGAAACATAGTTTGAATTCATTTAATTGATGTCATTATAATTCAAATTTAATTATCATAATTCAATTAGAATAATTAAATTATAATGAAATAATTTAAAATTATTTATATTATCTTCACAGGGTGGCAGGCGGGTGTGTGGGGATACATAATTCAACAACAATAACAATCCCCAACAGTATCGACCTACATTTTACTAACTTACCCTTCTATTTATTTAATATAAGGTTGCTATTTCTTTTAACTACTCACCAGCTCTGTTGTAATCAGAGTCAAATTGAATTGGATAAAAATCAAACTAATAATCAATAGAATAAATAATAAATTCTACTGTCAGTAGAACAATTGGTGAAAGGTGATGGTTTCAGGATTGGGTACAAAAGGAGTCTCCAGCATGAGAAACTGTAACGCCACCATGGTCAATATTACCGTCTAAATCAACTCTGAAGAAATGCTGCCGTGCTCTCTGGTGTTGAGTTGATCTTTATGGACAGAAAGCCAATACACATGTGTTGTGATCCGATGAGCCTACTTCCTCTGCTTTACATCCATTCATACATCACTCCATCTATCCACATCGACTTGTTTGAGGCTGGATCGCGGGGGCAGCGGGCTCAGGGGAGGGACCCAGACGCCCCTCCCCATAGCATTCGTCACTCCCAACCCGAGGACATATAAAAGCCCTCCGGCGAGTTCGGGGTCCAGCCAGAGGCCTTCTCCTTTTAGATCCCCCAAAGGGAGGCACCCTGGAGGCATTCCAACCACAGGCTTTTTTTTCCACTTGAATTTTTATGATTTATGGCACTGGTTTGAGAAGAAAAGTGTTACACCACGAGTTAAACTTATAAATAAGTCACATGGTTCCAGCCATTAACTTGTATTGAACTTTGATTAACTGATCTACCATGTGGGATTGAGGTCAAGCGAGACCACAAATGGAACTATTTGACCACTGTGTCTTTGTCTTTGCTGATGTGCGTTATTCTGCTCACAGCCAGTATTAAAGAGATGCTGATGCAGCAGAACTGGCTGCCGTTATGTGAGACAGCATAAAGATGTGGCCTGGGCTCAGGTGATGCTCTGTCCTTGGTGAGACCATGTGAGAACGGTGTCAGGCGGTTTTAGCATAATGTGTACTCTGCACTCATTTTGGTGGGGGCGCTGTTCGGACCAATAGGAGGTGCAGATACCCATTTAAAGGTCAGATCCGATCCGCTCGGATCAAAATCATTCAATGTTTACCAAAAAACAACAAATCAAATTTAGGTTGGCCTGCTCCGAAAACCAGAGAAAAAGGATCCAAATATGCAAAAGAAACTGTTCGTCCGAATCATTATAATTAGCAGTCTTCAGAAGAAGGTTTTCTCTGAAATTTAGAAATATACAATTCACTCAGGGCAAAGTGCAGTCTGTATAAAAAGAGGAGCTGGGCTCCTTCTGCTCTCAGGGCAGGATTTCATGTTTGATATGCCATGTTTCCCAGCACTGTCTACCGTGTTTGTGCTGATAATAATAAAGTTCATTTTACCTCACTCCTTGCTCTACAAAACATTTTAGACCAACACACTTGAGGTTTATGAAATGAGCTTCCTGACCAAAAGCGTTTTAATGGATTTTGTTCCTTTCTTTGTTTCCAAAAAGGGTTGCTCCCTGAAGATTTATGTTGCAGTTAGTATCCATTAAGCCTCACAACCTGAAAACTACGCATACAGACGAGGATGTGTGGCAAAATTCCCTCCAAAACGGGACAAGCTGACAACATAATAAAGAAAGTGTCTGATTCAGATTATTGCTGCGGAGGGTAAACCAAGGAGATATTTAACTAGAGGGTACACTTAATTTTTTCCACACATTGCCATTCAATTATTAATGACAATATATAATGTGCCATGTGTTGCTGCTCATCTGAAGCCTCTCATGACAAATTCAAAGACATGAAAGTCCATGTGGTGGAAAAACAATCATATAAAAGAGGGAGATTTATTTATCATCTGTCTGAATTAATAGACATGGACTACGTGGTAAAACTTATCAGGCATGCCTGGGAATTAGTCTCAGGAGTATCTTAAAAGCAAAGGAAACAGAACATACACCCAGCACACAGCCATACACCACTTAATGCCTTTACTCTGAGGCTCGTCATCATTTCCAATGGATAGATTTTCCATCTTTTCGTTCCTTGTCAAGTCATAATGACTCAGTAGAATCAGTCTCTCAAGAGTTCCCAAAAAGGCCCAGATAGAGATCGATACTCAGGTCAAATATCTGTAGGGCGGATTTTTTTTAGCTTTTTGACCATTGATTTAAAACATTTCCCCCCTCGGCAGAATGTTTGTATGCTTTCTTTATCCAGCTGGATTTTCTCAACCATTCACTCTCCCATTTGGACTAAAGAAAAGGCAGACACAATAGAAAACCTCAGGAAAACAGATGAAAATGTTTCAATCTCCAAATAAAACTACAATCCACATGAAACCACTCTCAGCCACTCTGTCACTAGAAGCCTGACGCAACAGGCAGAATGGCTGAGCAGATGTCGTGTCACCATGGCAACATGTCTTGCTCACAGCGTCTTAGCTTACAGTTCAACGGCAAATCCAAACCGTCGACTTAAAGCCTCTGCTGTGTGTTAACTAATTGCTCTTTGTAAACTCTGCACTTCAATCCAAAAGAAACAATCTTTGCTAGTTTGCCCCTAAGCTCGCAGCCCTCTCTGTTTCTCTCCATCCCTTCATAGGAGTCCAGACCAGTCCTTTGGCCCCCTCCCCTCCCTTCAATCACTTCCATGGCAACAGCCCGGAGATTTATTGACACAGGCTGGACGTGGTCAGCGGAGCACTCATGCGCACATGTTGTGGGGTAACATAAAGTCATCTTAAATGAAACAATCGTCACGCAGGCAGTGCAAATTCAGACTTATTAGTGCTTGCATGTGAACTTATGCGAACCAGCGAAACATTTCTACATGTGTAGATGTATACTCATTCGTTTTAAAGATATATCAGAGGGTGGATGGCCTTCGGGATGACCTTTAATGCACTGAAAAGGATGCCCTGAGATTTGGAACGGAGCTGAAGACATTAACAACTTTTAAGACCTTTCTATCTTTGTTTAGGATTATACAACAGGGAGGGAACGGATCACAGGGTGTCACTCATAGGACCGAATCCTAGACATGCCACTGAGGAGTATTTCTAAACCCCAGATATTGAATAATTAGTTGTGAGTTTCGAATAGAATAAAATCTTATAACATGCCGTTTATTGTCTTTATAGAGTTCACAATGGCATCAGAGAGCTTGTTCTTTACAGAATTATGGACAAATTGAGCAAAAGGTATTATTCTTAATAAGAAAACTTACCAAAACATATCAAATATATATTAACAGAGACCTACAACAACAACAACAACAAAAGGTGGAAATGTCATTAGAATCATTAATTGAATGAGAAATGCTGTCTCTGTCTTATTGAGAGACTTGAATTTGTGAATCTAGAGTGTCAGTTTTAAAGTAATTCAAGTCTGGAATGTCATTAATCATTATAATTAGGTTAAGCATGATTACATTAAAAAGTTAGATAATTTGTTAGGACCATCATTCTTTTCTTATTTGATTTTTGGACAAAACTACAGCTAAAATGATCTGAGGCATTATGTTTATATTTTCAGCTTCAGTATTGGTTCCACAAATGATTTTTGAGTTATTTTTTCTGTGCTGTTGATTTAGGTGCTAAACATATCATTTGTGGGGGGTTTTTTATTAAAAACACAGTATGATTTACTTTTCTTACTTCTGGTAGCAGCATTAGCTACATCAACATTGTTTTTCCTCTGGTTAATGTGACTTCCTGTATTTCCCACAGGTCCTTTTCGACAAATCCCTAAGGATAGGTGTGAATGTCCCATGTCCATCAGTTGTATTTATGTGTACGTGCAGAAAAACATGCACAGGAAATGGAAATAAGCATTATAACCAAAATGACTTTATCCCCCCCCTTCAGTTAAAGAAGCTGCTGGCTGCCTCAAAGCTGTCCCATACCTAAAGATAACAGTGCATGCATGTTGCAAAACCCCATGAACACACTTGATATTCCTGTCACACAGCAAACACATGTGCAATGCTAACGGGTGACTCAGATATGGCGTGCATACTATAAGGGCTCACACCGCCCACACACCCACCGATGTAGCCTGCTGGAATCACGAGCTCTTCAATTTGAAAAGAAACTGCAAATATGCTTATCATTAAACATAGAACAACAAACAGCCCTGATCTCTCTCTCTCTCTTTTAGCATGTAAAACACAAACATTAAAGTCAGAAAATCACTTGCCTGACCCTCCATCTTATGCCTCTGATTGTGCGATCTCTGGCAAAAGATGATGTTTCAAATCTGCAGGATTTGGTGCTGGTTCAGGGACCCGCCCGTTGGTCCTTTCAGCTGCGGGAGAAAAAAAAAAACACACAGCCCTTTTAGTCGCTGTCCGTGGTACTAAGACGACTCTGCCTTCTCAAACCCAGTCACCCACAGTCATTCTATGCACTGACCTGTGTTTAGGCCGTGATACAATTAATGTAGGCTACATATTATTTAACCTCCACTTCTGCATCCTTATATATCGGTCAAACTGGACAAGCAACACATTCATCTCCATCCTTGTTTTGGCCGAAACCCCCAGATCCACAGACAAAAGGCTCAGTTTAAGGAACTCACCTGTCGTGACTGTGGAGCTGGACGCGAGAAGCCCTCAGAGGGATGCAGGGGTAAGTTTCTGCAGCGCTTTTTCTCTTTTCTCTTATAGGACCTACTTCGTCTTTAATAGGGGGGATGCGAGGAAGACCGCACGTAACGCACGCACTGGTTTTTATTATTTATTTCCAGCCTATGGGAGGAAACGGCGTCGGGGTGCCGTGACGTGGGCCCGCCTCTTTGTGTTTTACGTGCAGACATCCGTGACTCGTGCTTCATCCCAGCATCCAGCGAGCCCAGGCTGCCTCCATGTCCTATTTTCGCTGTAGGCCCCATAGCCTTTATTCGGTTAGTTGGCCATCTGAGCTGACATTACACGCATGCGCGTAACTGAATGGGGGTGGGGCGGGATGCAGAGTCGTGAGGGGGGGTGGTTGTAACCCCCCACCACTGCTCTCTCTCTCTTTCTCTCTCTCTCTCTCTCTCTCTCTCTGGCGACCTTGACAGCAGCCGCTGGGTGACTGATGCTGATGCTGATGCAAGGAGGCCCGATTCTGGGACGGGTCACGTGATGCAGCTCACAGTTGCCACAGTTACAGAAACTAATAAAACTAAAGCAGAAAAAAACTGTCTGCAGTCTATGTGCAGAATGCTGGAAATGTGTTGCGGCAAAAATAGTCACTGGTCGTCTGTCTTTACCTCAAGGAGACTTGTGTAACACATTTGTTTTGTTCCGACTCCAGCAGAGAGGAACTGGGATCCATCTTGTTTTAAGGAAACAGGTGCAATCCACCACAGCACTGAACACTTAATTATTTCTGGGTTTGAAATGGTGTTTTAAGACACCACCAGGTTGATCTTGATGGTTTTCTCAACCCAGTTGCAGGGGTTCGGCAGTAAAGGGAAATAAAGGTTTCTGAAATTCTGTGAATAAAAATAAGATGTAAAGTGTTTGAAAATGGTCGATAATAGGAAAAGGCTACGGAAACTGAACTGTGGTGATAAATAAGCCCATTACACTAGTCAGAATAGGATAAATTAATTTATTTGGTCGCTTCTATTCAAATATCTCAGAATGAGAAAAAAAAAATGAATCCATGTTCAAATCTTTCCGGGAAAATTTCCAGCCTCCAACTGGTCGTCCCATTTGTTAACCTGTGAGACAAAAAGGCAACACGTGAGATCCCAGTTAGGACTGAAAAGGGAACTATGAAACAGAACATAACACATCCAGTATTCCTCCACTAACTAATCACATTTAAAACATTTGATTCTGAAGTTTTATCTGTGGGTTTATGCCAATTTAATTTGTCTGAACTCAAATGTTCTTTGCTGATGAGGTAAAATGGGAAAACAACAAAACAAAACCGGGATGGTTGTTCAAATTCAGCCCATTAACTGTAAAAAACAAAACAAAAAAAAACAAAAAACTCATGGCATTTGGGTCAACGGTTCATTTTCTCTTTATCTGGGTCATTTATCACCAGTTGTGATAAAAAGTTATTTATGTAATTATCTTGAGATGACAGAGACTGTTTCTTTAGTGATAAATAAATCCTTTATGTTATTATCTCTATTTTCTCAAGATACTCGGACAACAAAAAGACACATACAGCCAATGAAGAAATCTGGAACCTTGTTATCAAAATTGGAAAAGTAACACAGCATAGGATGGAGTAAAAGAGCATTCCTAAGTCTACTGTTGAATGTGTTGATGGACATACCCAGCTGATGGGACAGAGGCTCTTGTACACTCTCCGGTACCAATCGCAGGGGGCTGTGTCCTGGCCTTTGCCAGAGAGAGATTTGGTACATCTATGGAAGTCTGCCAAAATCATGAATATGGAGGGAAAATACGTTATATAATAGCCAGGAGATAAACAACCACAGAGAGGATTCTGCAACAAAGAGCTGAATCTGTTTGTATCCACAATTCACATTTTTACTATTAAGTGTATTAAAGAATGTGCAACTTAGAGCAAGATTAATATTTTTGACCTGACCTTTCCCCATATGTGTGCTCACATTTGGACTATTTTATCAAGAACAATCTGATTATGTTAATGATTAAAATAAAGAATATGTTGTCTAGGGAGGCTCTAAGCAACATCTAATGCATTTTTACTTTGAGAAAAAGTTCAATCTCTCATTCTTTGGATTTACATAAACTTTTTTACTGTTTCAGAGAATATATGCGCTATAATATCTATACTTAAATTACATATAATGTTAATGTGGGGAGGAATAATGTTCTCACAGCATCTTACCATGCAGCCACAACTCAAACTTTCTTTTTCTTGTTGTGACAAAAGGTGTAATGAAGATATATGTGTCAACATTTATTTTGGCAAATGCCTTTAGTTGTTTACAATAAATTAATAAACACCAAGTGTCTATTAATTTATAGCACATTTATAGCACACCCCAACAGCTTTTTGTCTGGATATCTGGGTATTTTGCTTATTATTTAATGAATTAAAATGTAAAGAAATTAGACACTATGAATAATGAAAAGGAACAATGGAATACACAAGTAACGATCTGATGCAGAGAAAAAGACCTCACATGTGGGATTCTTCCCATTTCTGTGAAGCAGGCTGGCTTACCCAGATAGTTCTGGAAACAGTTGCGGGTCTGGTTGGTGTTGGGGAATCGGGCATCGAATGGAGCCGTCCGGTAGTTCTTGAGCTTCTCTTCGATCACGTCAGACATTTTCAGCAGCTGGAGATCTGCAGCACCAACAGCATGTAAGCATTTGGTTAACTCTTCACCACATCCTCCATCCACTAATGCCATGCAACCACACTGGAGTTTAAAGAGACACATTAAAGTAGAATAGGGCAGAACACTAAACTAAACTAAAAGTAATAAATTATTATTATTATTATTATTATTATTATTATTATTATTATTATTATTATTATTATTATTATTATTATCATAGATCATAAAAAACACATAAAACTTTGTCAGACCCTTTTCTTCAATCACCTTAACTCATTTCTAAACTTCATAAATAACCTCATAATAACTTCAAATGGATATTGATCAGCTCTGAAAGCGTATATATGATTTCCCCCCCTACCGTGTATGTGGAAACTGTTAGTAAGTAGTAGTTAGTAGTTAGTAGTAGTAACAGAGGGAATACGTCACTAATACCCATTCATACGGATATACAGAAAGTATATTTAGAGTTTTCATACTGACTGAATGTCCGAAAAATAACGTTGAGGCTGAATGATAATAATACAAATGTGCATCTCTTAGCATGTTCGTTGACGTTGACAGAGATAAATTTAGTAAATTAAGCCTGTTAAACGTTCACTTTAACAGGCTTAACTAAAATTGGTCCACTGAGGTGTCAGTGAACTCTTTTCACATCACTCTGCGGGGCACAAACTAATAAATGTGCGGATAAAAGAAAAAGACAAAAACAACAACAAAAGCAACGATTTAAGATCTATTATTTGTTCAAGCCAATAGTTACAAAGAAACCCGAATGAACAAACGGGGAAACATTTCAATTACCTGTCAAAGAGAGACTTGGCTTTAATCCCAACAATCGGAGTTCTGAGCGCGTCTCGCTCGCAAAGCATGCTGGGAAATGTAATCCGTCTAATTGGTTTCAGAGAACAGCAGAGACATCTGCTGGACAAAACCAGGAGGTGCAAACAGACGCAACTAGAGTCCCCTTAATTCTTTAGGAGTTCTTTAGAATATTGCGAATGGGTGTTAATTATTTTAGACACAGCGTAAACAAATTCACACATACCTCATCTGCTAAAATACTGAACGTTAACGGGAATTATTAAGGTTAGAAAGGGTATTTCATCAGATATACCTTGACCCAAAATGGAAACAGGATTAGATGAGCAGCACATACTTTAAACTTTGATTAAATATTTAGTTATCGATACTATCTAAACAAGACATGCTGGTGTTTTGGAACCAGGTCCCTCATCAGACAGAGAAAGATTAAATGGAGGCCAACTTTATGAAGTGAAAAGTTCATAAATGATCTCTTTATATCTCTTAGTGAAGAAAGTCTTGCAATGTAATTTTGTTTTTTGAGGAGATGGATGTGACATTGCTCATATCAGCAGCCTATCAAATTCCTATGGATAATAGTATTGGTAGTTTGATCCCCAGCGTGGTTAAAGTGTAGGGGAAGAGGGAGTTGATAAAAATCAAAGCCAAAAAATCAGTAAACAAGGAACTCTTCTATTGTCAAAATTGATTTCTGATGGAAGAGCAGGTGGCACCACAATAGAGTAGATCCGATTACAGCACAGGAAGGAACTGAGTGATGTGAAGTTAATGGAGACACAGGAGAAGAACACAGGAAATTAGGAAATGCACAAGAAGAAAACAGGAAACAAAGGCAGAGGGAAAAAGAGCAGAAAAACAAATCAATAAAACTAAAAATCCAAGTCCAAAAAACCTAAACAAGACTCCCAGCTCATGACACATAGGCATTTTAAAAGTCAATGAACCCCATAATTCCTCAGAGTGACAGTGGTGTGAATGTTGGTAGTCTGTCATTCAGGTACAAAAACACACTCTGCATGACACTTTTTACAACGTTAAAATTGTAAAAAGAGATTGAGCATCATATGAAGGCAGACTCCTGCTCAAAGGAAATACACGAACAAAAAGGTGTGTTTTATTGGATAAAAGTTGCTCCCCAGGCATCCTTTCACTTTAAAGAAGCCTCCCTATTCTGGCAGATGAAACTCAGCTGGAGGATGAGGATGAGGATGAGGATGAGGATGAGGATGATCCGGAGCACCTGGAGCTGAACCAGCTCCTCCTGTGGTCGTCTCCCGGGCCCAGCCGGCCTCCCAGCTCCCCGCTGTCCCCTCGTTTCATCTGGCTCACGTTCCCAAAACCTGCAGAGGGAACGGCGGGAAAAAAATAAAAAACGATAACAAAATCCCAACTGACTTCAATCAGTCGCCATGGCAACCACGCCTACTCAACACCAAAATACATAATGCAATTAAAAGCTATCTCCCACTTATTTTCATCCCCCCCACCATCAAAGCACATCCACAGCCGGAGGGAACTGCAGTTTCAGCCCGCTTGCCAAAACGATTTAGAACCTCAGGAAAAATCAACACTGAAGAAGTTAATCAATAGAACTTTTTTTTGGTTGTGTTCTTCGACTTTCTGTGATGACCAGGGAGCACATCAGAGTATCCTATGGGAAATCATCCCCGTTTCACCTCGCCAGTGCTGCTTTTTGCCTATTTAGCTGCGGGTTTATGGCTGAGTATGTACAGACCTGACGCAGAGTTATGCCTGAGAGATATTTATCTCATTTGTTCGTGGTCCATTTACACCCAAAGCAGGGACTGAAACATATGGAGGAGTCTTGTAGTTTTTATGGTCCCCGCAGGTGGAACTGCCTCCCTGAGGACCTGAGAGCAGCTGGGAGTGTTGATGTTTTTAAAGGAAAACCCACCTTTCACTAAAGCTTTCAGTTGAGTATTTATATGAAAGAGTAACAAATGAGTTGTTTCATAAGTTAAAAAAATTAAAATGACAATTTGAAGATTTGGGCAAAATTAATTAAAATGGTTTCTCTCACCACACCACGAAAGTAATGTCATTGGCTTTCCAGAAAACAAAAATCATAATCTGTGAGGTTTTGTTATTATTAGTGGATTTATACAGTCTAAAACTAGCATGAGCTGTGTTAAAAGCAACTAAAACTGGACCAAGGTACTGACCAGCATGAAAAGTTTGGGTCTCTTGTTTCACATTCGAATAGTGATCAGATTTAACAGCCCGGCCTGTCTCTCGGTTGTCTGTGAGGACAAGTGATCTGGCAACATGTGATCAAACTGTCACCAGCTCAGGGCGTACAGATCAGTGTCCGGCGGCTCATGAACCCTCTTCGACCCTCCTCATTATGCCTCTCATGCTCACTGTCGTCCTTTTTCCACCAGGGAGCCGTCGCTCCATCGCAGGGCCCCGTCAGCATGGCCGCTGAGCCGGTACCAGTCTCCACGGCTCAAATTCTGGGCCATGTTGAGCAAAAACACCTCAGAAATGTGTCACAAAATATCTTTTTTTTTTGCCTTCCTCTTCCTCAGAGGTAGTGTTTCATGTGTAATTCTCTGGTAGCGAACCCGGGTCATAAACAGGTTCAGATGTCCAGCAGCTTCAATGAAAGACAAAACCTGAAGTGACCTCAGGCTGGGGCCGCTCCTTCTGACGTCTTCATATTTCTTCGAGCTTGTAAAACTATCCTTAACCTTTTCCCTCCGCCGGCGTGCGTATTTTGAATGCTTGCGCACATTTAAATGTGTGCCCTTACAGGTAATGTTTCAGATCACAAATGTTTGCAGATTAGTATATCTTCGACAATTCCAATGTTTTATGTAATGAACAGAAAGGCACTGAGAGGTGTGTGATAAATAAAGATTTCTAGAGGATGACACGCCACAGCAGGTGCTGGAGGAGTGGGAGTTGAGCTGCTCCTCCTCTGTCCTGATTGTGGCCACAGCGCCTCCCAGTGACCTGCAGCGGTACTGACCGCTGATCCAGTCGGCTCCATCCCGGCCCAAGAGGAAACATTTCTCCACCCCTGAGGCATCCAACCGCCCGGACATGGCTTGGACTCTCGTTCTGAAGGGTAAAAGCACAAAGCGGGGAGAGCTCAGTTAAAATAACTGGCCGTCGAAGTTTGTTTTAATCTGCTTCAACCTTTCGACAGTGAAAGTCTGACAGCATGGTTCAAACTTTTAACTGTGTTTTTCTACATTTTCTTTCATCATTCAACATTTGAACAATTACTTGATTCTTTAAGTCATATTTTTTTTTGTTTCCCAAATACTGTTCAAATGACTGTTCTTCCTTATCATGGCCTACCGGTCAGTTTCAAGCCATTAGTGTTTCAAGGGGGGGGTAGAGAGGCAACTACAACAGGGAGACTAATACAGAAAACAAGACATTTTTCAGTACCACAGAAAGATAATGGAAGTATCTTACAGAGGAGGGTGATTAGTGAAAGGAAACAGCTGGGGATGACAGGCACAGGTGAAAAAAGTGGAGTTAATGACCGGAAAGGAAAAGCACAGGGGAGCCTGTGAGAGAGCAGAAAGCAGAAAAAATAAAACAAAATGGGAATATGGAAGAAAGAGAAACCAAAAAGACACCAGAAACACAAATAAATCACATATAAAAAAACAAAAACTGGAAAACAGTAAATCAGACAATAAAAATAAATCCAGGATGTAGTCATAAATCGAGATTGTTAAAAAAAAAATCCCAAAGATAAACACTGTCATTTTAATTCACAATAAGTCATTCCAATTCAAAGAATGAGTCGAAACGTCTGGGTGGAAATTAAGTAAAAAAATATGCAGAAAGTTATAATGTGGGTTGACGAGGGGAGTCCAGAGCTCTTTTCTGAATCCAGGGTGCTGTCCTCAAGCTGTCGTGGTCTGTGTACCTTTGCAAATAACTATGCAAATCCGACCTGCTTTTTGAAACGGTTTTTGCAAAACTCATTGTGTTTCAGCTGCAATCAAGAGGGGCAATTTCACACTTCGTCAAACTCAAATGTTAATCTTCGGCTTTCTTATTTCTTAATCATCTCAGAATATGAGATATTTTACCCCAAATCTGTGTGGTATGAGACAAATTCACCCCTGATTTTCGTCCAGAAACATAAACAGCCATTTTCTGCTCACTTGTTTTAAAATGTCTGTATTTTACAGCATGTTCTCATTTTGAAGCTTGCTGAAGTGTATTCACACACTCATCTCCAGTGGTGGAGTTGCTAATGGGGTTGAGAGTACTGGTACCAGTACCAGTACAGTACTGGATAGAGGGTCAACAGGAGGTGACATGACTGGTTCGGCTTTTCCAGCTTGCTGGTCAGGTCTTATCAGTTTGAAGTCCTGCAGAGTCAGCTGTGACTGAGACATCAAGGTGATCTGAACCACGGGGAGAACAAACACACACACAAAAATCACCCACCGTATCCATGGATACCGCTCCGGATATGGGATAAAAAAGGATGTGTCAAAAGTGAAAAAAAGCTGACAGGGCTAAATAAACTGTTTAAATGACCACAATACGGTCAAAATATATCAAAATTAATAATTTGCAGACATCGTTGTATGACAATAATGATACAATTTACCATTTTGTGCTAATTCACTATTTAAATGAATGTAAGAGTATTGTTGGGACAAACATAACAGGCCATTTAGGGGCCTCAGTATAAACCACTCTAAATGATTTTCTGTGGAAAGCCACTCAGCCATTCAGAGCCGCTGCCTGCTGAGTGTGTTCATCACCGCTGATTTCAAATTCCTTTGTCACGGAACATAAAAAGCTCATGGGGGTTTCCATCTGCTGACTGAGTCCCTCTTTCAGTTTTTGGACAATGACAAATGTCAAAAATGTTTGCCGAGGCCGTTTATCTGCACATAAACTCGGTGCTTATTGGATCATATCGTCAGCAAGAATAAAAAATGTCAGTCGGAAGCGGAAACAACAACAAACCCAGGCTTCGACCTCACATTCTCCGATAGTCTCTGGTTTTAAATGGTATTGTTGGTCTGTGTTGTGGGCTTGACCACTTGTCCAGCCCCCACATTCACCTCCTGTCTTTCATCTCCGTAGCCTCCTTTGAGATGTGTGTCTTATCTTTAGCAGTTCCCCTTTTAGGGTTTTTGACCTGAGAAGGGGGTGGTTATTAGCCATCATTTGTTTGTTCTGAGGCTCTCACATTTGTAGGTTTTCCTACTAGGCCGGGCCGGCCGCTGTTTTTACTCCACTCTTTCTCTGATCTTCTGCCACTTTTCATGTATTTTTATGCTGTTTAGACCCTGCGGCTGTTACTCAGCTCACTGTTTTAAGAGCGTGGCTGAATTGTTGTGTTGGAGCAGAGTGGCAAAGGGTGGGGGAGGTTTCACTTCTTGAAGTGTCTCTTCTCGAAGCCGCTGTGTTTTTGGCAGGTCGAGTTTAGTGTGACGTTTGCTGTGTAGCCCCAGTGATAAGTAGTTTTATTCCTGGGCTCACATCCTGGTAATTGTTCTCCCTACTAGCAGCCTCTGCTCTTTTTAGTCCTTTTAGTCACTTTTAGTTGCTTTCATTTTTTTTCCGCTTTAATTTCTATAATTATCCATTTGAATGTCTCTGCACTTTGCCTAGTTGTGGGCCTTGACCAGACCAAAGGTTGAGGAACATTTCCTGGGATTTGAGTCCAGGTGGCATTGTGGATCCTGGTCATTCTTCCTGCTGTCCCCTCACGACATTTGTTTCAAACTCACGATGCCAACACACAGAAACAAGAACTATAAAATCTCAAATTGTATCTCACTAAAAGTGAACACAGCCCATACTGGCATTTGTTGCACAGTGCATTAAAAAAAAGAGAGTAACGTGTGTCTTTGTGGTCGACTTAGTAAGGAACCTTTAACTCATGGATTTAAATGCTAAATACTATGTAAATGGCAGCAGCAAGCTTTAGATTTGCTATATCTGTGGGTATAGATCATTTTTGTCCATGCATTTATTTTCCCCAGACGGTAATGATCGTCTCACAAATCTTTCCTGATTGGTTCAGATAACCTGCAAATTTTGAACCTTTTTATGTGTGCACAATAGTGAGAGAGAAAGAGAACAAATACTTTGGAATCTATGACAAACATTTAGATATATTAAGTGATTAAATAGAACAGTTTTCAATATGTTTGCAGACAGAAACCATTTTCCACTTTCTTTTGAATTACGGCATGGGGATGGGGTATAAAAACATGCCCCCTCTTCCATTTTTGAGACCTTGTATGAATGTTATCCCGTCCACATGAATAGGGACTGGTGACAGCTACTTCCATCATCCCCTCTTCTGTGTAAAAGGTGGGTAGACTAGACAGAAATTGAACAACTATTATGCAAATGAGATGAAAAAAATGTGGCAACCTATGATTACCGTGATGGATGCACATTTTAGAGTTCAACAGCGCCAGAGCCACTATAAATGTTCAAGGGAGGTGTGGATTATAGAAAAGAGTCACATCTCACCGCTGGAGAAAAGTGCAGATGCATGAATTAGTATGCAAAGAGAACACAACAGTGTGATGGCTGTGAAGGCGAAATTGTGCCCCGGTTCATAGTATGCAGGTCCACTGAATGCTTTAATGAGTGGAACTGATTATTGGAATTTTATTGTTAAACCGACATCAGCAAAATGCTCAAGTGTGCCCTTGTCCATGCAAAGGAGCACTGGAACATATCTATCCGTCTGATATACAAATATATCAAATCTTGAATAGTCACATGAGTCCAGATGAGTTAACACCAGCTCTTATTTTCAGCCTATATTCTCCTACATTGGTTTAAAAACAGGAAATACTCAGTTATGCATTTTTGATGTTCTGATTACAATCACCAGACTTTTTGTTGTCAGACTTTTTTCTTATTATTAGTCTTTAATTTCCTGAGGGAGTCTTCCCAAGGGATCAATGGGGTACAAGTCTAAGTCTAAGTCTAAGTCTAGTCTTATTTTCAACAGTTCTGTCACTTGATTCATCCCATGCCATTTTTTTATTTATTTATTTATTTTTTGCAGGGAACATGTTGCAGGCCTGAACAAAAGCAATGGCTGTCGCAGTGGTGGATGTGAAGTGATATCCTTACAGCACAGAGGATGGTAAGCAGGAAGCAGAGCAGAGATAAGTCATGAGACGGCTGTCTGTACTAACTGGATGAACCTGAGAGACGGCACAATAGAAAGAGACCCTTCTTTCATTCAATGTGAAGTGTCACGTCAGCAGGCGATCACTTACCACCATGCAGCACATTTTTATGAACGATCAACACTTCTGAATCAGCCCAACAGGGCAGAAGTATGAATATATTACCACTTACCTCTGATAAAATCAGCCCATGCTGATGGTTTTGGCTTTATTTTTAGAATAATCTACAGAAAACACTCCAATCACATCCCTGCAGGGGTGAGTGTAGATTATCAGAAGTATGTGGGACACTATTTCCGCAGCAGAAAAATCAGAATTTGTGTTTGGGTTACAGCGTAAAAATAATCTTAATTAAATGGGATAACGCGTTGCTTGAAACCTCAAATAAAACTATAAGCATGGCTATACGTAGGCGATGAGTGAAGCCTTTGGCTCATGAACTCAAAAGAGAATCAACTCAATAATTAGAGTTAGAATGATTAACAAACACTACAGTTGGCTCACAGTATTCTTCTATGACCCACTTGATGCAGTTCAATTGATTTTTGAGGCCAGAAAAATCAAGCAATAAAATTACAAGCACAAGATAAAAGTACTTGATCTTTGCTGGAGGTGCAAAAGCCTTCAGTTTTTACCATCCGAATTCCCGTTGAGGTAATGCATCACTAAATTTTGCAAGTTTACGCGTCTGTGCAAAAATACTTCTTATGAAAAATGAACATCTTTTATCTCTGTTCGGCGTGTCTTCTGCCAGAAGAGTTGATCTATTGTTCACCCCTGTGATGATCTCACAGGGTTGCTGCGCATAAGCGCTGGTCGACTTTTCATTCCACTAAAACGGAATTTTCCTGTTTGTTTGTCTCCAAAAAATACCCAGAACCGCTTAACTTCCCACCTCCAGGTGCAAAGGACATCAACTCATAGGCTGTATCTAATATGAGGATCTATGTGTGCAAAACAGAACCGCACAAAGTCTGATAGCCAAACACGTCTTTTGTGAGAAGAACTGCAATTTTTCTTAATTTCAGAACAAGCCAAACGTTTTGTCGTTTGATTTAATAAAAAAGCATTTTGGTCTTTGATGGGATCTGCTATTCCTTTTGTCATTTTGGGATTTATTGAGCTTTTGAAATTCTTCATGGAGAAGCAAAGCTAGGATAAGGTGACATCCTACAACTGACAGCAATGACGCACTGCCAGCCTCTTAAGGCTGGCAGTTTTAAAGCTCCAAACAAACCAGGTGATATGTTTAAGGCTTTTATATAAGGCGCTGCCTTCAACTACAACATAAACCTTTAGAGCATAATAGTCTGCTTTCAAGTGTAACACAAAGTATTTCTCACAGGATTTTAAATATAATTTCCTGGAAATCTGTGTGTCCAGTTTTTGTGGGAGTAGACTTTCATTTTTATCCAGTGATGCACTTTAACTGTTGGGTTGGCCGGATCACGCCACTGGGAACTGTCCAATCAGAGCAGAGTATGCCTTTCAGACTTCACTTTTAACCTTAAATGCTGGATTACGCAGGACGATAGAACTTCCTCCCACCGCTGTCCATAAACGGCGCCATCAGACTGATTGAAAACTCTTAAATTGGCCCGATGTGTGCATGTGAGTGTGTGTGGCCCTGTGATGGACTGGTGACCAGTCCAGGAGGCAGCCACGCCTCTCTCCGAGTGTCACCAGACAAAGCTTTCACACACTGTAGTAAACAATTGACAGTAAACAAATAACTTTATATTCTGTTGGAAATAATCAAATATCCTGAATGATTTTATTCAAAATCCTTACATGTTTATGTTCGTTTTCAAGTTTTACAACTCTGTTGATATTTTTTGGCTTACACACAAGAGATGAGCTGTTGATTGGACTCTGCAATACTTAGATATATTTACAGCCAAAGACACAAGTATAGATATAACAAAAACTAAGTTTAAAATATACATCAAAGGCATGAACAAGCAAATGTTGGTAACTGGTTGATGTCTCATTTTACCATATTTCTAATTTCTTACAATTAAGCTGACAAACCAACCATTTGTTGGTGGGTGAGAGGAAGTGTGTGTAAAATAAAGTCCAAGTGGAAAAAAAAACAGAAAATGAAACAGATACATCTCACATTTGGCCCACTATCATGAGAGGAAACAGGAGCATATATGCATCTGTCCCTTTACCTTGGCATTACAAAGAACCGTTTTGCAGACATTTGTCACTAAAAGATGAAAAATGGTTGGACCACATATGAAGAGACTTTACTGTCAAGAGAATAAAAGCTATCCCCTTAGTACCAACAGAGAGGTCAGTGCAGCATGAGTTTAACTCAAATATAATAGCTTTATAATAGGAAAACAAATGTTTTTTATTATTATCAAAGATGTGCTTTACAAAGAAAGACAAGGTTAAGTAGAGATTGAAGTGCTATGTTCTTATTTACGATACAGTAAATATGATAAATTTTTATTAGGATTCAAAATAGACTACAGTATATAATTCACTTGTACAAAAAAATAGCTTTTTATTATAAAAACAGCTAGCATGACCTGAGTGGGAATCTTTAAAAATCTTTTTTTCTGCTTTCTTTTATTTTTCCATCTGTCCTTTTTTCCGAGCGTGTGCAAGTCTGCATATCCGCTGATGAGGTGCACCTCTGCCATGTGGTTTGAGCCGGCCAGAAATAGGCAGGATCAGGTCAGGTGTTCACAGGTAAATCCCACCATAAGCCACGGGCTGACGGGGAGACACTGGCAGGACGGCACTGACACGTTGAAGGCCAGTTAACTTCATGCCGTTAGGTGGCAGCTTGCCATATTGTGTCACACCTGACATTAAACCCTCTCAGTGTTATGTAACCACCTTTTGACAGCGATCCACTTGCAGATAGAGGGAATTTACATTTTTAAAAACACACCATCCTGCATTTATGAAGAGCTAGAGCAAGGAAAACATGCATTTTATATATTAGACGTCACAAAAGCATGTCTCTGTCTACAGAATGCCTGCAGTAGCGTTTCAATATGAAATACTATTATAATGTGCAAAATCAACATCAGTACGTTGGGCTATCGTCTTTCAAAAAAAAAAAATCCTGCAATGATGTCATCGCTAGCCAGCTGCAGACGTGGCTTTTTCCCTTTCACCTTTTTTAATGTTTATGTTGATCACAGCGAGCTAGTTACTGACAACCAGCAAGGTCTCAAGCTGTTCTGGTGAAAGGAAATCCTATTACGTGTGTTGGATCCCTCCATGCAGCCGTAGTCATGAGCACATAGGCAGAAAATCCAAAGCTCCGTGCTCTTTGGAGCTTTTAAAGCTGTTCTGCAGAAAGCAATGGAAGTGAGGGTGTAGGTGGAGAAGGCAGAAAAGATCAGACAGGAATGGCAAAAAAAATAAAAATGAGAAAGTAAACGAAAAAAAACAAAAACAAAACAGAAATTGAGGAAAAAAAACAACAAAACTTCCGGCTCTGCAAGTCGCTTATGGCCGAGCGTGGGTCGTCAGGTTCTGTAGGGTGGTACCATGAAAATCCAGAGAAAAGGAAATTGGTGGCCTCATCCTGGATGCATGACCAACATGTATTTTCTGCTCTCCGTCTATTTTCGACACAGGCATTTAATCACATGATCCTACAGCTTTGCCTCTGAGTATTCATCTTCTTTTTCACCCTGGCTATCTTTAGTGGCAGGGGTCAAAAGGAAGTTCAGTCAGCCCTCCGTGAAGCTCCACCCATTCTTCAGACCATGACATGACATCACCGACTAGATGGCCTCCACACGTCGCCTGTGCGTGGATCTCGCTGGCCGTGAGGACTCTGGACCAGAACTGGAGGTCTGCCATCTCTCCCGTGAATGACTGAGTGATGTCGAAGCGACCTCCCATTGTGTCCTGAGGAGAGAAGACGCCAAGTTGTCCAGATTTAAATGTTACTCAAAGCAACTGATTGAAATTCAATGCTGCCATTGCAGTGGCAAGAGGCTGATTTGTTAGGATTGTAAAGCCAAATCTATAGTCAAGCTTGAGATAATGGTGTGAATAATACCTCCTGCTTGTGGTAATAAATTATTAAAGTCATGTTTTTATCTTCTAGTCTACTGTTGCTTCTCACAGTATTTTTTAGTGTTTTCTATTATAAAAAAGTTTTTGGAATGCAATAAAGCACTAAATGTCTAAACTCTATTTGCATTTGAACATTTCATGAACAGATTCAAGAAAAAATGAAAATGCCAATGGAGTTTCGATTCTGAATTCTTTAATCTTATCCTATCAGCATCCATGGTGGATGCTAATAGGATAATATTCAGTCATTTTGCATACAAAAATGTTTTTGGGATGTTGCTGGTGTTTCTGTGATGGAGTTCTGCGCAAAGCAGCAACCCATGACCTGCATTTTTATGCTTTTATGTTTCTATCAGAAAAACAATTCAGGATATTTTTTATTCATATAATTTAAAGAAAAAACACATTTTTTACTGTTAATAGGGTCTATATTGAGTCACTCCTGGAAAATCTGTAAGTCTCACCTGCTCCTGGCCCAGGATGAAGATCCCCCCGGGTTTGATGGGGTGCCAAGCAGACAGGTTTTGACCGGAACCTTTCTTCACTCCGTCCTGGTAAGCTTCCCAGACACCATCTCGCGTCGACCACGTTATACAGACATGATGCCACTTTCCATCAGTCATGGTTATGGGCAGTGTCACCGCCTGCACACAGAGAAATAAAGATAGCTGAGCAACCCCTTATTCCCAAGAAACACTGAGATGGATTGATCCAGGATCGAGACCTTTGTACTATCTTGGGAGGGGGGAACAACCACTTTTGACCCCTCCATCTGGACCTCTCAGAAACCAGGTCAGCAGAGTGTCCACAGGCTGTATATACACATGTTCACTAATATTGCAGAAGTTGATTTGTACAATATGAAAATACCTACTCAAGACATCTAGTTAAACCCTGAAAACACGGTTGACTGATTGTATAATGGTGTCATCGATCGGTTTGATGACACCCAAGTTTGTGAGTCCCAGACGACAAACGAGACAGTTTATCACCCCCGGTCTCCCCCGCAGGCACTCGGGTCAATTGACGCGAGACAATAACAAGATTAATCACTTTGCAGACTTATTTGTCCTCTGTCCTCCATTCAGACGAAAAGGTATCAGCTTTTCAGAGAAAAAAAGATTACAAGGCTAATACAATTATTTCATTCTCTGTGTCAGCAATTGTGTTAAAGTGGGTCATCTCAGATAGCGTAGACCCACTGCCCTGTTTCTACTGATTTGCATTTACAAGAACGTAAAATAGAGCCACTCCACTAAAACTAAAGTAAGAAGTTAGAAGCAGCCTTAATGTAAACTAGCTTGACTTTAAGGATAAATACAATCATATAAATCGGTGACAAACTAAAAATTTAATTTCAGATCCAATTTAGTCAAAGTTTAATACTTCACAATTTATTTATTTTCAAGAAAATGTGAATTTTGCCCATTCAGAGAAAAACAGCCAGCTGACTGAACAATAGTGACTCCTTTTGCGCATTCAACGGAAAAATGACAAACTAGCGAGGGTCAACATCTAAACCTATTTGAATATGATTTGTATTTCTTCCCATCATTCATTCGAAATATCTGAAAATCGGTCACATATGACCAAATGCACTAATTTCTAACATCAACGGATTATTTGCACTCCTGGGCAAGCGCTAACAAAAACAAAAAAACAAACTACGGTAAGTTAATTTCATGGGATTTAGGCCCCAAAGGTGGCTGTGGCGTGTGTGTGTGGTGACATTGCGCTGCCTTCACCTTGTCATTAATCAGCAGCTCCATGGGGTTGCTGCCCCATTCCATAAGCACCAGCTCATTAGCCTGCCCAGACACAGCGTAGGAAAAGGGGGTGCCAAGGCCCGGACCTTCCCCCGGCTTCAGCCACAGACAGATGGTCAAAGCGAAGATTTCGTTGACCACCGACCGCTTCATCCTAGCGTACATGTAATTAGTCCTCATGGGGAAGTCAAGCAGGAAAGCGCTGGGACTCTTAAGCTTCTTGTTGTTTCCTGGTGAGACGGATAAAAGGGTTAGATTCATGCCATTCATTTTAAAGAGCATCACTTGTCTGTCATCTACAGTACAGTCCTTATGGAGCTCTAGTGTTTATCAGGAAACCAGGCATTTATTATTTATAACTTATGTCTGGACCATACAGCGTTAAAGTGGCTACTTTATTATTTGGATCTAATTTCACTCCTATATTTTTAAGATTAGGTCACACTGTTGTAAACATGTATTTAAAAAGACTGGGCCTGAAAAAATCATGAAACTGTCATAAAATCATGAGTCTTCTTGTTTTCATTTTCCTGCAGAATAAGAGACTCCAGCACGTAAAGGTTCTGTGTCAAAAGGAGAAAAAGTCTGTAAAGAGACTGAAAGTTTGCAGATGAGCTGTCATGCTCATGGAGTTGAGATTGCCTTGCATCTTGCGTAAAAAACGTATCTTTTTTTGTTAGTTACTGTCATCTTTTACTTTTTCACTCTTCTCGGAAACTTATTTGTTGCAAAGTAAAAAAGATTTTTGGGAAATTGCCTTCAGCCTTTTGCAAAACAAGCAAAAGAGGTACAGACACCCAAAGAGTATCCTACTGAAATGTAATGTTTGGAGGACATTGTCTCCATTTGCATAACATAAACATTCTAAAACATAAATCATACAACTTGTTATGATATTCAAATAATATTTGGGCAGAAAAAAATATAATCAAATGAAATATTTATTTATGGCTTTATCTGTCGCCAAGTCCCTAAAATAGTGAACCTTTGGCAGAACTGGAGACATTTATTTCACAAACAATAAGGAGAAATAATTTCACAGGAAAATTAATTTTATTTCGATCATTTCAGGATGAGAATAAATTATTTTTCCGGTGTTTTCACACTAATAATAAGTCAATAAGCCATTTGTAAAGGTCAGGGTGTGTTTGTGTTGATACCATGGTCGCTGGTGTGGTGCAGGTTGCTGAAAACGGTCTCCAGCTTGCTGTGTCCAGCGCCGTGCAGACCGCTGTCTTTGCCACTGTGAGGTGGCCGATGTGGATGATGGTCATTGTCGTTACGGTTACGACGGTTGTCATTTCCATGGTGGTCGTCGTGGTGATCGTCGTGGTGGTTGTCATGGCTCCCGGGCAGGTGGTGAGAGTCATGGTGGTCATCGTGGTGACCGCCGCCATGGTGATCGTCATGGTGGTCATCGTGATGGTCGCTGTGATGGTCGTCATGGTGAGCGCTGTGATGGTCGTTGTGATGGTCGTCATGGTGAGTGCTGTGATGGTCGTTGTGATGGTCATTGTGGTGGTCGTCATGGTGGCCGCTGTGATGGCCGCTGTAGTGTCCGTAATGCCGGCCGTGGTGCCTGTCATGGCCGTCATAATGGTGGTTGTTATGCCGGCTGTGCAGACTGCTCTGGTGGTTGTATCTGTTGCTGCCATGATGGTTGCTATGGTGACTATTGTGGTGGTCTTCGTGGTGTCCATTACTGTGGGGGTCCCCGTGGTGGTCGTCATGGTGGCCAGTACCATGATGACCGTCATGGTGATCATCATGGTGATCATCATGGTGATCGTCATGGTGATCGTCATGATGGTCATCATGGTGGCCGGGGCCATGGTGGTCATCGTGGTTATCATGATTATCATGATGGTCTCCGTGGTGGTCGTTATGTTGACCGTAGTTATGGTGATCTCTGTAGTATGTGTGCAGCTGCTCCTCGAGGGCGTTGATCTTTCGCTGGAGGAGCTCTCTCAGGGAGCTGGAGTAGGAACTGGAAGAGTTCCTGGCCTGAAACACATGAAGGACCATTTTCACCGTCAGTTACAAAACATCAGTCTTTTTTATGTGCTGGACTGAAGTCATTCAGAAATGATCAGACTTAAAACACAAATTTACAAATGATGAACTACAGATATACATATAAGTATAAAGTGTATTTCTTTATACCAGTATCTATCATTACTATTGTCACCTACAAACTCTTAAAACGAACATCTCTTATCCTGACTCTTACCCATACCTCTGTACCCCTCTGTACCCCTCTACTACTCTTTCTGCACTTCCTTCTCTCTCTCTTGCCACCACCACTGATTCTGACCAGGGATTTTCCTCTAGATAACTTATTGTCATATTGATGATAACTGTATAACTGTGTCTACTTTGTAAGTCGCTTTGGATAAAAGCGTCTGCTAAATGCATAAACATAAACATATTAAACAGCCAAATACAGTTGAAATTCTAGAAAAAAATTTTTTTGTGCTGCTTGAACGACTTCTCTATGAACCCGGAAAACTGTCCATGGTTTCGAAGCCTGGTCCTTGGACTGGAATTAACACCAAGTCGTCAATGTTTGCGAAATTTGACTGTTTTCCTCAATCAGCAGTCTTTCAATGCTCTACAAGACTTTCAACAAACATAAGTTTCAGCAAAGTATTTCTCATAATAATATATACTATTCATAATATTTATTATAGATAATATTTATCAGATACATTGAGTAATGCTAAAAGGTTGGCCTATTAGTATCTTCACACTTGCCCATTTCACAGGCTCAGACCAAAGGATTATCAGTCATTCACATAAGTTTCAATCAAAAAGGGTGACATTTAAAATTGCATTGGCTAAAGTTTCCCCCCCTCCCTTCCCCGTCTCCTTCCTCCTCTCTCCCTTACACATGCTCATCTTCCCCACCAGAAAATCCGGCTTTGTTCCCTGCCAGCACTAGCCACGATTAATAGCTTCGTCAGGGAGGATGAAGCTAATTGAAGGTGAGGCTGACTAGCGCCCTTCGGTGCATGACTGGAAGCTGGTGGTGTAGACATCTTGTTAGAGGAGGGAGTGACAGAGGCTAAATCCCAGCTCCTCTCATGTTTTGTCTCGCACCTTCAAGGGAGATCGAAGGGGATTTCTGACAGCACATTTGCTGAGTGCGGTCAGAGACCACCCATACAATAATGAGGTGCCCATAGGTCCACAGACTTTGTAATGTAACCCCATGGGCCATAGGAAGGGAGAGAGTAGAGGTAGGAAGAACAATGTGTGGCTTTTTTAATGCTTTTTTCTCTTTTAAGATTACTATTAATTTATTCAAAGTCAACAAAACAAGGAGGGAGTCTCAATATACCTGCTTTGTCTTAAGATATATAAATAGGTTCTACTTGATATATGAAAACATTTCAACATGTATTTTAAAATGTAAAAAACTGCATACAACTTCTTTTACAATATTTTTTTGGTCTAAAAAAGTGGTGAGAAGAAAGACTACATATGAGGCAGTGTGTATGGATTAGAAAAACGGCATCTCACATTCAACAGAACAGAAGTAGATTTTATCGAATAAAATCTACTGATTAAAAATTAAAGGTAAGGCTTTTCCCTCTATGACTCCCTCTATTTTTATTTATGGTAAAATTTCCCCTGCTTCTGGGTAATTTCACTTGTCGTTGTCCTTCGTTATGTGATAGTTACATAAAAGAGTTGTCTGAGGTGCCGGTGAGAGCTAATCAGCTTGGATATCCTCAGCTTTGCGCAGTGATAACCAAGATGGAGAAAATGAGACGGGTTTCCAGCAGCACTAATATTAGCTTTGCAGGTGGCGTGTGTCTCACACTGACAAGTGGGTGGTTTGTGATGTTAGTGGGAAGCATTTCAACTCCAGCTAAATATTTGTGATTTTAAATCGGCACCTAATGGAATATTTCAGCTGTGAATTATGCTTGGTTAAGGATGGATATATATACATTCAAGGCATTAATATAGATGTCATTTATAATGCAGTGATGGGATCAGGAGGAAATAACAGGCAGCTTTAGACACACTGAAATACTTCTGAATACAGCACCAAGAGTTAGTTAGATGCTTAGATTTCTCCTCTAAATCATTTGCATGATTATTTGCATAATTGTAGGAGGAGATGTGACTCTTTATAGGTCAAAATAGATGAGAGCTTGTTTAAAATCATCAAAATTACCTGTCAAATGTTTACGCACACTTTTCTATCCTCACAAGAAAATGTCTAACAGGCACATTTGTGCTCATCTCAGTGATAGTTGTGACAATACAGAACTATGATAGCCTTAACTTAATCTGTTGTGATGCATATTGACCATTGAAGTATTTGCTGCCTTTTGATAAAACTGAGGATCATCCCAGCAGCAGATGTAACGCTACAGAGACTGTTGAATATCATTTTTTCACAATCTATTAATCAATGTTAAAGCTTTGACCTCTTACGGAGGAAACAGAGACAAAGCTAAATAAATATCTGCTGACTTTGCTGAATCTTTGCTGGAAAAAAAGAAATGCTGGTGCACACTCCAACAGCAGAATGGGAAATAAGTTAAAGTACTGGTCACTGTAAGCTATTAAACAACCGGATTTGCTCAGGTTCAACGCACCTGTAGGTTCTCCAGCCTTTCTTTCAGTGTCTGCAGGGTCTTTCCGGTCTGTTCTGGAGAAAAGGAGCTGTGTTTGCTGTGCGAGGAACCCTTCCTGGGATGGGGGTCTGGCCTGTGGCTGCCGTGGGAGTAGTGGTTATCCCCACTGTGGTGTGTTGAGGGCCCGTGGTGTAATGATGAGGGTCCGTGAGGGCTGCCGTGGCGACCGTGGTGGTCGTCGTGGTGGCTGTCGTGGTGGCTGTCGTGCTTGTCGTGGTGGTTGTTGTGGCCGTTGTCGTGATGGTTGTCGTGGGTGTCGTGGTGACCAGTGCTGTGGTGACCCCCAAAGCCTTCGCACAGGGTGAGCTTGGCAGTCAGCTCTCTGATGGTCTCCCGCTGGTCCAGGATGGTTTCTTTCTGCCTCACAAGGCTCTCACGCAGGTGCAAGATGGTGGCTTTAGCCTCTTCGGACATAACAGCACGACGGCCGCTGCCACTATGGTCACTACTATGGCCGTTACTGGTCGGTCCATGGGGCACACTGGGTGGTGAATAGCAGCTAGGATCGGCCTCTGGGGGAATGGGTGTACAAACAAATTTGGGACTAATTCCGTAGTCGTATTCTATACCAGGTAAACTACCTGCTGCTGCAGCGCATGACAGGAAATAGTAAAAAATGAGTGAGCGCAGGGGGGAAAAGGGGAGAATTGTCCCCAGAGAGGGTCCGACCCCCTGGCGCTGCTTTGCAGGCGAAGGCATGAGGCTCAGAGGAACGTCGTCTCTGGCCATGTCTGGTTGGAGTGCAAGCGATTCTTTGACAGTTTTCCCAAGGTTTAGCTTTGATCTGAAGAAAACCATGAGTGGAGGTCATTTGCAATAGATGGAGGGATATTGGGGCAAAGCATGTCAACAAACAAACTGTGGTTGATATCTCCCCCAAAGGAAGCACACAAGATGCGACTCAAACCCAAAGAAAGTATTCCCGAGGCACACGAGGGCAGCGACCAAACCCCTTTATCTGTTTGCCTTCAAGACCACCTCACAAACTCAATCAAAGTTTCTTTGCTCCATGGCAAGTGAACGGGAAGGGTTTGGCTGATGTGTCCCGACAGCGGCTCCCACCGTCCTGAGGATAAGGTGCTGAGCAACTGCCAGACGACTAATCAGTCCCGGCTCCAAGGACTTCCTGCGTTCGACGGTTGAGTGTAATCCTTTTAACTTTGGTTTTTAGCCATCCATCAAATCCATGAAAGCTATTACCTACAGCACACAGAAAGAAAGCAGATAAACAAGTAGACATCAATATTGGGACAGACATAATACTAAGAGGATTGAAATGATGAATAACTGTATGTTTTAATGTTTGATGCAATAATAATTCATTTTGAATTCCAACAACAACGAAATATGAGCCATTTAAGGAAATGATTTGATTATGTCAAAATTAAATGAAGACATGTTGGAGAAATACTATTAAGAATATTAAAGATCTGCATTATAACCCACTTATGTGATGATCAATAGCTAAAGTGCAACCAGTGTTGTTTACCAGAACTATATGATGGATAGATACATGACAGAACTATATGATGGATAGATACATAACAATAAACAGAGAGAATATATGCTGGTGAGAGCTGCATAAACAATCCATCTCCAGTTATCAAACCTATTGGCAGTGTCTTCAGTAGAAGATCAGTGATCAACCGTTGGACAGATTGAGGTTCCTTGAGGCTACAAGAGGCCAGCGTAAATGGAGATAACAGCTAATTAATCTGCATTCAAAGGTCAATAAAGTCCAATTAACACTGAATGTGAGCAGGCCTGTGGAGCACGGTCTCTCTCACCCGTGTCTCATGAATCACTATCAAAGCACCTCTGTCCATAAGCAGCACTTAAACATCTGCTCATCAAAACAACGAAAAAGGTCCCATTTGCAACACAATTAAAAAGGACTGATTCTGTCGCTGTGAGGTGACACCAAGCGTTTAACCGAAATGGTTTTAGGTACAGGACGGTCGGCATCCTGAGAGTATGATTTATCAAACATGTTTTCCTGCTCAGAGTCACTCTCAGAGCCTTTTAATGAGGGATTCCGAGTTGTGCAGGAAGCCAGTTGCCACGGGCCTTAATCTGACAACGAGCCCTGCTTTCTCATACTTAAAGACAACATTAGGGGAGATTTAGAGGATGTGATACTTTAAGACACGTGGCATCACACGCGAGTCCAAGAAGCATCACATTACAGAGCATTCACTTGTAACTGTGTGATGGTCCTCCTTTCATTTTAGGCGTTCTTGATAGCAGGTTATAAAACTTAAAACTGCCTGTAAAACTGCCTAATATGCATATATTTCATTAAGACATGCAATTACGCGGTCATTGCGATTGATTAGCGTATTTGTATTTAAATGTAGTTTATAGCCAACACAAACTGTGTGATATCTTCATTATCCCACTACCTCAGTGTGTTTTAATTGGACTTTTACAATTAGATCCAACAGATGTTTTTCCTTTTGTTACTATTGATTTTTGGACTGTTGTAAGTGCAAAGGGACTCGGAATCACAGCAGCCCCATAAAGTGCAGAATTTACCGGGAATATCAACATTTTTTCTGCTTGGTCTCCCTGTGAACATTTCTCCAGGCCTCTGCTGCTCCCCTTAATGTTAACACTAACTGGATTGGTTTGATATAATACTACTTAATTAGGGATTGGCCTCACGGTCTAGCAGAAAATCTCATCTCCACCAACAAAGTTAAGCCATTGTTGTCACGAATGTCAGGGCCATAGACGAACACAGGGATGTGACATGCGCCTATTCAATAGCCACCAAATCATTCAATAAAATAAATGCGTTTAAACACTTTCAGGAACAAAATGAAAGGCACTACTTCATACTTTTGGTTTAATAGTGGGGACATAAAGGTGTTTTTTTATTTCAATTAATGACGTTGTTTGCCAATTTTCGCACAGTTACATTATGGCTTTCAAAGCAATAAAAGGCATGTTCAGTGCATGGGCAGTCGTGCCCTCCCAGTGGCTTAAAGATGCTCTGCTGATGCCTCATCCTCTTGTGTGGCCTCTGACCTCATCCTTGCACAGGTTAAGCCGTGTTGTCAGCTGCTGCTGCTGCATTTTGGTGTAGAGATAAGCAACTTGACCGGATACTCTAAGGACTGAGCGCATGCACCGGAATCGGTGATTTCTAACTATAGAGTCATTTTCATCTTTAGTCTTGTTTTGATGGATCCAACAGAGAAAAGGTCCACGTCCCAAAAAGATGCAGGTTTAGAGCCTGTAGCCTCTCCCAGCTGCCATCAAGTCGAAAAACAAATAAAAAAACATACATAGGCACAGAAAAAGGCCAAACATAAGATGCATTTTCTTTTTAAATGAATACCCCTACGAAATGTTTTATTGGGACTATTAACAGTTTTATTCCCTGATAAAAATATGTTATGGCCCAATTATGCTCATGTCTTCTCCTAATTGATGTCAGGCAAACAGAGAAACATTTCTGAGAGTGAAACACTTGAGCTGTCTGCCTCACAGTCACAGCAAAACAGACTCTTCATTCGTTAAAGTCGGCTGAAAAAGGCTCAACAAAAGACACTGATTCCCTCTTTATTCAACAAAAGCCAACGTCACCGTTCACACGGCAACACAGAGGTCAACAACTCTCCACTTTGGGGCAGGTAAGTGCTGTGTGTCTAATTTGGTTCATTTTTATAAAAATAATTGAGTTTTTTTTCATCTGCTTCTTGTCTAGTGGTTACATTCTAATGTGGCAAAAAAAGAAAATACATCCGTATTTCTCTGTAATTCAACCATTAAAACTGCTTCATGAACAAATGAACTTCTTCTTTTTGTATTTTTTTCTTCTTTTTGTTTTGTATTCAGTGACAAGTCATGTCCACTTTCTCTTTTATATCTGCAGTGCTGATATATGACCATGAGCTGATTAGAAATCGGAGATAAAGGGAATGAACTGAAACGATTTTACCGACCGTCTAATGTTTTTCGATAATTTCTGACACGTTTTGATGATTCAACGAAGCTCAAACAATATATGAAACAGCTGTGATTTCCAACAGCCTGAGATTAGAAGTCTGACTTTTGGAGCTGTGTGAGGCGGACAGATAAACGCACCACCTGAGTTTACAGAGACAGTGCTGACCTTCTTCGCTGAGGTCTCTCTTGTCGGCTGTGCCGGGAATAGTTTTGATACCATGGAAAGCTCTTAGGCTCAAGTGTTAAGAGTGAAAACACTCACTGACTAATGTGACAATACGCTAGCTTAGTGCAAGATGTCATGGAGGCAGCTGAGGTGTCATGTTTCTCATCAAAGGTCCAGACTGTCCAGTGTAACCGGACAAATAGAGATCATTAACTAACTATAACCTCTAAACCCTAAATTGTTCTTTTCACTCATAGATGCTAATCATCTTTATTGATCTGTCTTTTTTATTGATCTTTCAAATGTATTGATTTGAACTGTTGTGAACAGATTCATTTTGATGAGTTTTAAATCACGACAGTCTTGTAGAATTGAAGCTGGGCCTCCTAAAGTTGTCTCAGCTGTTAAACTGGACTGCTATGTGTTGTGGATCAGTCCATTTTGGCCAGAGGCAGCGGGGGTTCTGTGTGGGAGTTTTCACGTGAGCACGTGTCACGGCCGTACACAGGTGAACTCCAGCTCTGGAGGGTGATAGATCATCCTCACATTTTGTTTGGCCCCTAAGCTGTCTCTAGCTAATGAAGAGGAGGCAGACTCTGGTCTCAAAGCTGCACGTGGCCCCAAGCCCTTCAGCTCTGGCCTGACCAGACCAAGGACTCAGCAGGATGTTTTCAGGGACACAAACACAAAAATAAAGGTTGGAGGGGGGAAAGATACGCACGTTGTATCTGTTCTGTTCACAAATTTACCCTTTCTTTATGCTCACCTGGACAGAATTTAACGAGGGAGAGAATTCTGCAGCTAGCGATAACATAAGGCACCATTGTTGGCACACGTCTATATTTTCCAGAAATTCTTCTGACAAATGTCAACAACTCCATGATTTTACTGTCTCTACCGTTAATATTTCTTCACAAAGAGAATTGTGAATTGTTCAGGTTTGGTTTTTAATACTGTTTGGACTCATCACACATAAAAAAGTGTAACAGAAAGAGACGCTACAGATGAGTGTGTTTACCTATAAAAGGCTAAAAATGCTAGAATCTGCATGTATGCAAATGTGCCTCCACCAGCTGTTGGAAACGCACCAGTTCAAACATTTAGTACATAAAATAAAATCAAAAGTAAAAAAGAAATTAAATAAATACACAAAGCACAAACCGGCTCAGATTAAAATAAGAATTTCATTACTATAGATAATTTAAGAGGGTATGAGGCTTATTACCTATGAGACACATTTATTCAAATTTCAAAACTTTAGCTGTATTTTACTGTTAAAAGTCTATTTTGGATCCTCAAGTAAGACATTTAGTTGGCAAAGTCTCCAGTGTGTTTTTTGCATCAGATTTGAAGTAGCAAAAATTCCAAATAGAACAGAAAACATCAGCGCTGCATATGTGGCAAAAGAACACAAGGCACCGCTCATAGTATGTGTTTAACTATTACAGCAGAATTACAGAAATTAATTACGTCATTCAGATAAAATCTTTAGAAATAGGCAACACTTTCCCTTAGGTCATTTATATAAATGATATCTCATCCAGTGAAACAGATCGTAAACAAACATGTTGAAACTTTGGCCCTGTGTTTGCTATCAATGTTTTTTTTATTATTTTTTTACTATTGAGAGTCTAATTTTCCAGAAGTGTGATTAAGAAAAAATGTCATGAAAAAGAAAACATAAATTTTCTTACCTGGCTGCAAGTTTGAAGTCCAAGGCTGGCTAGTCCATTGAGCACACTGATCAGCTTGAGGAGGATTGGCTTTAGGTGGATAATTTTATCCCTCCCTCCTCCCTCCTCCTTTCCCCTTACTGATGCAAATGTTATTGTGCGATGTGGCTACGCTCCGATATGAGCAGAAAACCACTGCGCTGTGGATGAGATCCATGAATGTTTCAGATTTAAAAATTCACTGTGTGTATTGTTGTTTTTCAAAAGTTAAAGTCTATTCAAATCCATGAGAGTTGGAGCACTTTATGGAAGCTGGGAGTCTTCAGTGTTTCTGTCAGAGCAATGGTGTGTTTACAGTTGTTGTTTAGAGCAGATCAGGAGATATGAATGTAGAAATACTGTAAAAGACAGATTTTTCATTGTTCCGTCAGTCAGCAGTATCTTAAGGCAGCCGTCTGGAACTGCACTCTTAAATCTTTGACAGAATATTAAAAAGGATCTTACTGGAAACTTTAAATCTTTCGATCTTTTGTGTCCAGAGTTTTTACTTTTTTCTAATAAATTCCTTTTATTATGATAGTGTGCTTTGGCTTTTTCAGTAAGTTCCCTTTTAAGGGATTTATGTCCAAATCATGAAATCCATGAAATCCATCATGAATTCTTAGAGTTGGGCCGAAATTCCATCACAAATTGTTTCAGTCACTTTGGCATCAGATGGCTTCTCTCATTAGGCAATGAGCCTTAGCTCACTGCCCACAAATCTCAAACCGGCCCCCTGCCTGCAATATTGAGCACGTCACAGAATCTGTTTGGGTGGAAGATACTCTGTGGTAATGTCCCACTTACCTTTTTGGCTCTCTGACAGACTTACGAAGATATCATGAGAGTGGGAAATACCAGCTAACACACAATAACAGAAGGTTAAGCAGAAAATTCAAGAATTTTTATCTTTGTATGTGAAATAAAATATCCTTTTAGATGTTCTACCAGACCTGAGTAATACCTCTTTATATGTTGAATAGCTTCCAGCTGTGTGTAGTTTGATACAAAATGAGGGAACAGAAAAAAATGGGCACAGAAGACTTTTTAAATAAAGCTTTTGGTAGTAAATCTTAGATATCAGTTATGGAAAGAAACAGGTAGCAGTTCCATAGGAACAGAATGTATATGTTAGATCATACCATCACACTGTGAGAGTCTTTCTTGCTGGCTTGGGCACTATGTGTGGGTGGGGAGTGGTAGTGGTAGTAAGAACAAAAGTGTGAAAGTTAAATGTGTGTAGAAAAACGTGAGAATGAGCTAAAGCAGGTCTTCTGACTGCACTGCGCTCTGAACCCACATGTGGGTGAGCAGCAAGCTTTGTTTTTCTTCTATGGCTCCCTCCTCATTGCTGACTGATCGCAAACACAGTTGAAAATACAAAACCTGGTTGTATTTTAAGGCGCTGAAATATTGTGAAATTAAACTAGACTGGAAAGGCAACGCTGTAGTGTGCTCACGATAAGGAAAAGGAGCTCTCCTGTAAGGACAAAAGTGCAAATGATATTCCTTTGTAGAATATCTACTTTTTTTTTAGATTAATTGCTGATAATTTAACTATTGATAAGAAAATCTGTAGTTATTTAGGGGCTTGCCGCTATGTTTGACATCAGGATTATTGGACTTGCATCCAGGTCACACATTACTTTTTACCTTACAAACAGACCTGGACTCAATAAGGCCACGGTAAGCATGTTTCATAATCTAGCTAGGCTGACCTGAAAACCCTCTGCCAAGCTAATTGTAGGCTTTTTCCCGCTCTGACCCATGTTATTTTGGTTATGCTATTATAGCACCTGCTTAGCTGTTATTATTGTAACTTTCACACCGGGTCGTCATAGTGTGGCGCTGAAATGATGAAACAGCTGCTAAATATAGCCAGACTGGTGACTTTATGTAATTACACTCTGATTAATAAACCTTATCATCTACCTTAAACACCAATTGAATATATTTTTGCAGAATATGAAGATAAGTCATCTGTTTGAAAGAAATCATTGATTGTTTAGTTCAAAATGGATTATGTAGATTCATAGTTGAAATAGTTGAAATATAAAATCTAGTAAATATCTTGAGTGAATAGAATATTCATGAAAACAACACGTTAGTAATTGGTTACATGGGCACCGTGCTGGATGTGAAAATAAAATGCATTAAAATCCATTCATACAAAACATTTCCTTTGCTTTTAAATATCTGCAAAAAGTTCAAAAGATTGCTAAAATGAAACAGCTCCAGCGTTATTCACTGAAAGGTTCAAAAGATCTGAGGAAAGTTTGGCAAAAGCTGTCAAAAAACCTTTTCTCCTGATTCAGCTTCAGCTTTTAATATGGAGACACATGCATGATAAAAGGGTGAATATATTTATGTCGGAATAAACTAAACACATAAAAGGTGCTGCTGACTAAGGCAGGCGCCAAAAAAGGCTCAGATATTGGTTCAGAATGTAGATAACCTGCCACCATCCCTCCTGTATAATTTACACATTCACCTCTGGGCTGCGGGTTTAAAACGTGGCAAACATGTTTGGAATAAAGTCAAACCTCCCCATACTGGAGTGACCAAGAAACCAACGTTTGTGCCGTGAATCCTTCGACACGTATCTGTCTGATCGGCTCACACTGGGAGAAACTCTTCGAATTTGAACAGTTATACTGCGTTCCGAGGACAAATGCTGCGTTGGATGGCACCAGGACCTGTAGATGCATCTTGATTTAACGGTGCATGGAACCATGCACCATGATGCAATTTACAATTTTTATTAAAATTGTACCAAAGTCTATTAAAAATCTAGACAGCAAAAAAAAATTAAATACATATATATATATACTGTGTGTATATAAATATATATATGTATATATAGATAGAGAAGATTTTTGATGGACAGATGAGTTAAAATCACCAGCTATTCTCAGCTCTGTGTGTTAGTGAAATCTCTTCACCTCACGGCAGAAAACAGGTTCAAGGTTCGAACTCAATGCATGCCTGAGGGATCAGAGCAGCTTAGTTTCACACCCTTCACCTATTCCTTCCTGGATGCCTCTCGGCCAGGCAGTGCCACCTCATGGTTAGGGAATACCATTGCATTGGAGGCAGTAAAAGAAAAGAGAGTTTCTAAATATTGCAAGTCTGGGATACAAAATGACTGTGAGGGTTGAGAAAAGAACAGGAAGATGTTTCGAAAAGGGGGTCAGTAAAAAAAACAACACATTGTGGTCACATTTATCCCACATTCACATACTGTATTGGTATGTTTGGAGAAAAAGAGCCTCCGACGTTAGAGACCACCTGAGACAGCACCGTGTGCCACGATGCTAAATAACCCTCATGGTGGTTGACAATTGTTACATGAATCTGAATTTGAGTGGAAAATATGTGAACGTACTGACATAGAGCCATGTGTGTGTGTGCGTGAGGCTATCGGGTAACGGCAGAAGCTGTAGGCCTAACTGTTTTTAAACGGGCCGTTACGCCGACCTCAGAGGGCTCGGCGTGTCTGCCGTGTCCACTTAGCGATACCAGAAATCCCTCGCATAGTTTCCCCAGACTTATTGCCAGTTTTTTTTTTGGGAGACTTTAAGAGATGCTTTCTACCCAAGCGGAGCCGTTCTGCTTGTGTCAGCAGGCCGGGCCGTATCGGATGTTCACTGTCTTGCCGGGATCGGTGTCGCGGCTCTGACATTTGACCATGTGAGCCCATTGACATCTAACCGGCTCGCCCTCAAGGTGTTGAATCTACTATTGCCTCCTCAATCAACGGCGGCGTAGTGGGAGCTGCAGACGCGGGGCTGGCAGCCACGAGCCCCCTGCCGCAGCCCTTTCCCCTTGGCCGACTTTAATGTCATTAACAGGTGGGGGGTAAAAATAGACGGGGGGGGAGGCACGCGCGCGTACGTGCGCACAAATAGGGAGACGGGGTTGAGAGTGTGTGTGTGTGTGGCTGGTTGAGTCCATTTCGACACAATATTGGGAAAGAAATGAAAGAAGGGGAGCTCGTTGAGATTTCCTCGTTTCAGGTTTAAGGGGAACACACACTTTGGGGCCTTCGGGCACCCGTGTGAAAACACACGCGCAGACACACAACGAGGCCTTCGTCAGGTGAACCCGCGCCGTGCACGGTGCACGCACACGCAGCTGAGGGCTTGGCTCCCACCCGCCGGTGCCGCTTTGACCTCCTCCCCCGATCGTCTCCCCCTTCCTCGCTCCTTCCCCTCGCCTCACCTCGCCCTCACTCCGAGCAGAGCCCCCCCCCCCCCCCCCCCCCCCCCCACAACCCCAAAAACAGGTCAGCAGCTCGCTAACGTGGTCGTGGTGATATTTGTGACGCCGGGTGGCGGGAGGCGCGGCGGCTGGGACGTGTGGGAGAGTGAAAAAAAACAAAACTAATGTGTCTAATTTCAGCATGATGTTTTTGGCTGCCGAGCGGGTCGGAGGGGCTGGGGCTGCTGGGGAATAAAGCCGCACCGACTCCTTCCTCAAACGTTGGCCGGACGCTGTGTTTACGGCTGTCGGTGTGACTCCTCTTGACCTGACTCCAGCCGGTAGACGAGAAGACAAGACCCTCCGCCTTTTTGCTCCTGTGTTGGTTTCCCAGCGTTTCAAGGTGGACACCTCAAAAGGAAGACTGTGGTCAGTGTTGTTTGGTAAGAGATTTGATCTGCTGGTCTCAAGTGGTTCAAAGATTCCTGTTAAGACCTTCTAACGTTCTTAACCACTAACACATAGTACTAATTTGGAATGACAGGTGTGGATACTTTCATGGATTTTTGCTCCTGAATTGCCAGATTTCGACTGCCCGTGCTGTTTTTGTGAGCTGGCCTTGGCTTTTAGCTGCTCCACACGTTAAAGAGCGCAAGAAAACAGGGGAAAACGTCGAGCAAACACATAAAGAGAAAGCTCCACGTCTAAAATGACTGAATGAAAGTCTTCAGGCTCTCAGAGGTGAAAGATGAGAACGTTGTCCGACCCTGCAGTTGATTCCCGGGATGAACTCAGGCTGGCCGCTCGGCTCTGCAGCCGTGTCCAGTTCTCAGTTTTCCTGAAGCACCACATTCGTTAGCCGGTGCTCCAGCACACGGCGGGAGATGTCATCGGGGAAATTTTACCCTCAGCTCGTGCTCAGCTGCCACGTGACGGTTTGGGATTAGATCTGAAGAAAACTTCCTACTGGATGAGTGTCGATCTGTTACTACTTTCCATGTGGCTGGAGCAAAGTCACTTCTGTTAGATGTGGATAGAGGAAATGGAATGGATTTTTTAAAAGGATAAAAACAGTTTAATTTCGCCAAAGTTAATAGAAGTGACATGATCATTTATGGTATTTAAAACTTTCAATCAAAAGCCATTACAAATATGTTTGTGGTGGTAAAAATTATAAACTGCAACAATGAATAGGGCAATTAATTATTTTAGTTTATCTTTCACTTGAGATAATAATGGAAGGTTTGCATGCAAATCAAACACACAGGCCAGAAATAATGCGTTTGAGCAGGTTATTGGTTGTTCTAAAGCTATTTGTGTGCAAAACTCTGGTGGAAACCCTTTTTTCCATCGGTTTAGTCTTTGTTTTCATCCCCAGTTCAAAAAAGGACAAACACAAACTAGAGTTCCTCTTTATTAAGACCTCTAAAAGCATCCTTTAGGTTCCAGGAACATTTGTGGCCTTTTGTTATGTTTATTGATTAAAATTCAACCCACATTTCTCAGGTCCGCGCGAGTCCAACCCAAATTGAAAGTCTAGTTATTGATAAATTAAGATGGATTATGCGGTTCATTCACTAGGCAGCTTTGGACATCAGGACAGCAGTGGGAACTGACCCTCCGCACCCATTTTAGAAAGGACAAAACCCAGCATGTGACTGTGCAGTTGGAGTCTGAGCTTGTCTGTTGTAAAGCTGTCACTTTCACTTTGAAATAAACAGAATATGTGGTCAAAATGGGTGTCAAGCTGCTTGGCTGTTGCTGATTGTGTGCAGTGTTTTTGCATTAGTGCATATCAACTAAAGTACTTAAGAACAGTTAGTGTTCATATTTGGCACATTCTAAATAATGTACCAACGACCAAGTTGCAATTTCCTGAGCCTGCCTGAGAACTTTAAAACATGCACTTTGTAAGATATTTTCTGAAAGCAAAGCTGAGAGGTCTCCCTTGGGGATACGTTTGATTATTGCTAACAAGAGGAAGTATTGCATGCTGTCATCATTGTATCCGTGTAAGACGGCTGTTTCATTTACAGTCGCAGTCACCCAGGCTTTAAGATTCAGCTCACCAGAAGTGGGTCAGTGTAACCTCCCCAACAAAGCAATCTTTGGAAAAGATCATCGGAAAGTTTAAGACAAAGTGTCTCAGAATGCATGGCTGATTCTGATTCATTCTGATTCATATATGTTTCTTGCTATTCATCTTTAATTTCTGCATTATTCTTCTTTCCATTATAAAATAACCTATGACTTAATTGATCTTAACATAAACTAAAATGACTGCAGTTCAAAATCTAAGCAAATATTTTTTCCCATGTTCTTTTTTATTATTTTCATTCGTCCATATTGCCATTTTATTTTTATAGCATTTCTTATCATCTGAACTTAGATGTTTTCACGTTTATTTTGGATAATTGTAGTTCCTGTTGTACGGAGATTTGAATCTGAAACATTATTTGATAGTAAATTGTATTTTCCTCTTTTCCTTTTCAGGTGGTGCTCCACCAGCTGCCCCTGTTCTGACACTGGGACATCTTTGACACTGTGCTGCTCCTGTTTCTATGATGATTCATTTATCGGGGATTAATCCATTATCCAACAGTCCACTTTTTTTGCCACCTGCCTGGAATTTTCTCTAAGCGTTGAATGTTTGCTTCAACGAAGAAGAATTCGGGAGTTCTCTTGATTTCCCCCCTTTCATTTAGTTTTTCTTGTTTTTTTCTAACTTATGTATTTTAAACTAACTCCCATACGATATATCTGTAGAATAGAATTAATCTTTACATTCATTTAGCTTTATTCTCTTTTCTTTTAAATCAAGGCAAAACTCCCCAGTTAGGCTTCGTTACTTTGGGGCATTTGTGTCCAGCACACAATGTGGTCCACATTTTTTGTGACTGATGAGGAGGGCCGCACGGTGGCCCCCGGAGCGACAGGAGCAGCGGGAGGCATTGCTGCAGGTGGACCGGCTCAGGGCCCGGCGGGTCTGGCCGGCCTGATGAGTGGACGCAGCACGTTTGGCGGGAACAAGCGGCGCAGGACCACGTCCACCGGACACGCCATGACTGAAGCCCAGGAGGGAAAGGTGACGGTTTCTGAGCTGTGTTCACCTGCTCTCTCTGCATTCGGAGGAAGGACGTAATCGGAGCAAATGGAGACAGTGAATCATACGGCAGCCATTTTAGTTTGAATCAGGCAGTGCAATAACACAAGTTTTTTTTAATCATAAACAAAGGTTTGGAAAGATTGCATGAATCCACAGGTTCTTACCCTAAAACCTCTCATACTTACTTATTGCTGGTCAAAAGTCTTCTGAAACTTACTGACTGGCAATGTGCACTTTACAGTGGCAGTATGGATTAAGTTTTTTACATTGTGTCTTTTTACTGTGCAATATAAGACCTCAAGGTGATCCTTTCTTAATCTTATCTGGGTATGTAAAGTAGGACACAGTAGAAAAGGGACTAAGGACAAAATAAGGACAAAGTGGATGAGAAAAAAAAGAGAAAAGACACAACTGACCAAATGTTGAATCTCGAGATTTGGGTGTTTGTCCCCACCTCTCCTCTGACTCTGAGGGTCAGATTTTATTTGCATGTGGGCACAGAGGCCTTTTTATCCATGCTCCATGACTCCTCATCCATTAGCATCCATAGTGTCCGTCTGGCATAAATCCTCTGCATAGGAGAATGCGAATGATAAAAAAAAAAGTATGCCAAGTTGAGAATGAAAGCGTATTTTAAGGATAATGATATTTTTACATTAGCACTTTTTGAAGGGTACCCTGAAAGGCAGTGGAGATCATCTTCATCAGACTCTCAGTGAGGCTGCTCTGGGTGCAGGATGCAGCACGCTAACTCTGTGTTGTGTTGTGTGTAGGAGTGATGGACAGGGGGTTTATTTCTATTTCTAGTCTGCATTAACAATGGAAATAGAAGTCTATGTGCTGTTTCTTGGTTGGATAGGAACAGGAGGCATGTACTTTTCCAGACAGAAGGCTTATCTTCATGTCATCACGAGTTCTGTGATTATACATGTGTACAACATGAATTTAGTACAAGAAAATAATTATTTGATTCTAACTTGGACTCTGTCAATTCGCTCTTTTATGGTTTCCTTCTTCTCACCAGATCAAATTGGCATTCTTTGTGGCCATCGTGGGAGTAGTTCTGACTGTCCTCGGAGTGGGGACGGAGTTCTGGGTGGAGCTGGCACCCCAGAAGAGCTTCTACAACAACCAGGTGAAAGCTTGAATGGTCTTTTCCTGCCACTAGGCCCTGGCAATACAAAGCATCTGAGCAATACAATGCCCTAATCTTTTTTTCTCTTTGAACACCTGTTTGCAGACGTGTCTGAGTGCTCACTATGGGCTATGGAAGGGCTGCACCAAGACCCTGTGGGTGGCTGATATCGACCCAGAACGAGAGAGCTGTGGACCCGCTGAACTGCCTGGAGGTGCCTAAAAGAATTACTCACTGGGTGGAAACGTGAAGTCTTTTTGAGTGGATGATTGACAGACAAACTGACTTAGTTTGGACAGTTGAGGTAGAGAATGATTTGGACTGAGTGGTGTACCCAATGTCTGAGTAGCTCGACTTACTAACAGACTGACTGACTGAGTCTTTGTTTGGCCACATGTTACCTTTGCAAAAAAAAACAAAAAGATGACAAGCAAACTCCAATTTACCGAATAAATAATTCAGCAAAACAGACAAACCAACTTCTAAAATTGTACACCGTCATATTCCAGTTTGACTTCCGTGAACTAAAAGCTATTTCGTATGGTAAAAAGAACAATTTAAACACAACCGTGGGCTTCGAAATGACATGCATCTGAGAGGGGAATTTCTTTGGTGAGTAGGGCAAAACTGTTGAATCCATTTGCAGCCATGACTCACCTTTTTGAACTCCCTTTCATGAGGAGTGAGTCACATCCAAACCAAAGAGAAATGAGCCGTCCACATAATCGTCTGTGTGTGCCTCTCTAACTGCTGTGTGACAAATCAGAGTTTTAAACTTGCTGAATTTCCTGAGCAACTGGATTTTTGGATAGTGGTGTTTTCACTGAAATACCAGACAGAGGTGAAGAAGCCATGTTTGGAGAGCATTAAGTGGACAAATAGTAGATATTAAAGGAAACATCTGTTGCTTTTTTCTCATTTTGAACTATGAATTTTTATATTACTGGTTTCTGACAGGATTTGAATTCAAGGCCCAAAATGTGACCCTCTTTTGACATGAATTGAGGTGCAATGCAGCAACGTGCTTGTGTTTGATATCTTTCTGTTCATTTCCAGAGGAAAATTGATCGACAAGATGATTAATTCTTAGTCCAGTGACAGTTGGACTAATAATCCTGTTGAAATAATCAGGATTATTTCCCCCTTCCTTGTGGGTTTTATTTCCTTTCAGTGCTGTTCTATTTGCATCGTTGGGAGCGGTGTGCAGAGCGCAGTTGAAAGGCGGGGCCTCCTGACTCATCTTTAGATTCAAAGAGAGGGTGGCGATGTTGCACACACTGACACAAACTCCTGGTAGTGATCAGGCTCTGAGTGGGGAGGCTGGGGAGGTGAGGAGAACACCGTGGTTTGTGCTAAACGCAGGGCAGTATTGTGCCAAATCTGAGTAACCCTTTTCCTGCTTATTGGCTGCACGCTTTAGCCTGCGTTGCCTCAAAATGTCATCCCACTTTACATTCTGCTGGGGGAAAAAAAGCACAAGGTTTATCTTTAAGAGGTAATTTACTCAAATTAGCAACCATGGAACAGGACAAAAAGCTGACAGAGATGTGGAGCAGCAGTTGCACAGAAGAGATGGACGGAAGTGGTCAGAATCTGGGCTTCCTGTCGGAAGCAGTGAGCCATCTGGTTCAATGTGTGTTGAACCCCGTGCCAATGTCCGACCCACAACGGGATCAGCTCTTATGACGGTGATATTGAGGATGAACTGTTGAGTCTAATAGTTCTTAACTTTCATAGTGTGCAGCAGTCTTTTCTGCGAAGCTGACAACTGCAGGCGTGAAAATAAAAAAAACAAAAAAAAAGCCAAACAAAAACAACTGAGGATGAAGCTTTCATCACGCTAATTAGGAGTGATGCGTGTGCGTGTCGGCCCGCTCGCGCTTGCAAATGTGCGAGGGAACAGATAGAGGTGTCACATTCTGTTTGACGGTCAAAGTCTAATTACTGAGACGCGTCACCGGAGTGGCTGCGCACAAATTGCTCAGGAAGCCACGGGCTGTCTCACCTTGAGCCGAGATTTGTGACGTTCACAGCTGATTACGGAAGATGGAGAACAATTAAGAGCCGGAGCGGTGCGGGGCTGGGATGCAGGAGGGATGTGCCTCTTTGAATCTCAATGGAGCGCTCGTTTCAGATTTGCCGGCGGCGGGCGCGAATGACCTGCCAGTGTTTATTCTGTCTCAATTACAGTAACTGTTCCTCTCCCTCGATGCTTTTCCTCCCGCAGTATCCAACTGCACCTACTTCAAGTTTTTCACCACGGGGGAAAACGCAGTGATGTTTCAGAAGACAACACAGAAGAGTGAGTCACACGCCTCTTTTTGGCTCTCTTGGCTCCAGCTGCTGTCCCACCTTATCCACCCACTCTCTCCTCTCCCTCCAAACATTCCTCTCACCGCCTCCCCCTCTTTCCCCTCTCTGTGTGTTCCTGCCTCTTGCTTCACCTTTCTTTTTGTTGCCGTCATCCATCCCTCTCTTCTGCCCCCCTTTGTTTTTTTTCTCTCCGTGACTGCGTTCACCTCCTCACAAGGCTCTTTCAGGTTGGCTATTGTCTGCGAGTGTTTAAAATGCATTCCGCCCACGCTGCATTCAAGTGTCTCCGAGCTGCTGTCTAACCTCTCATTTCCCGTGCAGCTCCATAATGTATTAAGATCACACAGTGCCATGTTCTGAATGAAGAAAGACAGATTTACACTCAGATTCGCCCCCTTTTTATGTTTCTTGTAACCATCATTGTCGCCTTTCTATCATTAGATCTGAATGTGGCGGCGGCGATGTTGGCCATGTTCAGCCTTTTCCTGATGGTGATGGGGGCCATCTGCATCACCATGGCTCTCAGCAAAGAGATCCTGTTCTTCCTTAAGCCGGCATCTGTGTGCTTTATTCTGTCAGGTCAGTGAAGGAGGGGACACAATCGTCAAGCTGACCCCGAATCTCCATCGAGGCATCGTTCAGGCCATAAATCCCCCCCCCCACCTAACCCGTCGTAATGGCCGCTGCTGTGTGGTTGCAGGTGTTCTGGTGCTCGTGTCCCTCATGGTTTTCCACCAGTCCGTCCTGGCGTTCCTGGCCAGCGACCACACCGTGCCCCTCCACTACGAGCTGTCCTGGTCCGTGTCCTGCATCGGCTGCGCCGGCGCCGTGCTCATCGCCGGCGGCGTGCTCTTCCTGCTGCTGGCGCTGCCCTGCAGCCCCTGGCAGAAGTGTCTCCCTCATAAGGACAGCGGCAGTTAGTAGCTTGCAGGCACTTGACCTGCTTTACCTTCGAGGAGAAAGGAGGCTGAGATGTGAGTGTGCTTCCCGGACATGTCTTTTGCAAAGAGATCATTTTAATGCTGACTTAGAGGAACTGAAAGCAGGACAAAGATTTAGAGGAAACAGTGGCTTTTAGAAAAGACGGAACCATTTTCAATATAATCCTTTTATATAATCATCTCTGAGTGATCTCCAGTACCTTTTGTTTTATAAAGCACAGTGATCTTAATGCTCAGATGTGTCTAAAAAAACATTTCTTACTATTTTGTCTTACCGTTTAGCCAACAGGGTTTGGGGGCAACTCACTGAGAGTACTATGAATAACTTATATACAACATAAAAGTAGTTAGCATAATGTTTACTCTTTTGAAACATATAGGTCTCAATCTTTTATAGGAAGCATTTAAAGAGCTCACACAGCATTCAAACAGTGTTAAAAAAATGTCGCTTTAAGTTTGCACAGCCATGTAAAATCGTCCTTTAAACGTCCCTATTTTAAATATTCAGATTTTTATGCAACAAAATATTTATAAATGAAGGTTTAAGTTCTTAAAATCACTGTGCAGATTTGTTCAGCCTTGTTTTTTAGGGAGGATTGAGAATTTACCCTCCACCTTCCCCTTCAGAGGGTGTGTTTCTTTTGAGATTAGCTAAAGCAACAAAATTTGGACTCACAATCTCCTCTGAAATATTGATCTTACCACTTTTGATAAGACAATGAGATGGATTTACAATATGACAGTAGATGTTGTAAAACATCTATGGAGGCTTGTAACACAACTCCAAATTAAAAAAAATTAAAAATGCAGACAGGGTGGACGTGATGAGCATTTGTTGTCATTGCATCCTTTTAAATGTGTCTCATTTTATTACTACAAAGTCTAGCCAACATTAGGTTACTCATCATTTATTGTCAGCAGTGATGTCACCATGAGTGTGATAACGCTTTATGCTTTGTGTCCGCTTATATGTGAAACGGAAAGCAACTTTTCATCGACAGTTACATCGTACACATGTAATGTAAAAAAAAAAACATGTGTGTAGTGATTAGAACATAAAAGCAACAGCAGAGAAACATCAGTTGTTTCCGCTCATATGTTCCAACAAAGTGCTTCCCTGTGTCTGATGGGAGGACGCACAGTCTTTGCAGTTTTTGTTTTGTTTTGTTTTATAATTGAACCCACTGAGTATGAATGAATGGATTTTATTATTAAACAGCAACCTGAATATTTAATGTCAGACTCCCAGGTTTCATTTATCTCCTATTCTGGACTCTCAACACGTCCGCCTGCCTCGAAAATCTGCCCTCCGGACCAATCCCACTTCACAGCTGAAAATGCCTCCTCTGGCTGTAACAGTTGAGCGTAGAGCCGATAAACTACCACAATGAATAAACTCCTAAACCTACTTTCTGTTAAAAACTGCTTTAATCCTACTCAATTTTGGAATTTTTCAACAAATATAGTGCAGTCATTAGCCCACCTGCTAGCTGTTGCTGTTTGAGTCATTTCCCTCTTCCAGTTTTAAGGCTGCACCATTTTCAAGACACTGTGGAGGAAATAAGAAAAGGCAAAGATAGCCATTCCGTACAACAAAGGTCTCTGGCTAAATTTGAACGCAGGATGCTTCAGTTGCATGTTGCACGTCGTTATATGATACAGTGCATATTTAGAGTGCCTGAACACCAGTGTTTTTTTTAAACGTTTTATTTCCTTCTTTGCTAGCAATGACGCTTAGATAATTGCTAATTACGTCATGTTATTGTGGTATTTGTCACACAACCGCTGAATGCTGCTGGGCCCAAAGCTAAGCCCGCGTCACTCTCTTTCTTTTAGGCTAAGACCAGAGGACAAAGGCTTTGAATAATCACTTGATTTCCTTTTGAATGCATTCCTCAGATTTGTCGTTTAGGCTTTGACCCTCTATTGGTGGTTCAGTTCCAGTCATCCTTCGAACAGCACATCTCTGTCACCAAACTGACCTCCTTCCAAGCTCACGTCTCTCAAAGCCGTCTCCCACGCCGTTTGGCTCCAACCTCCTGGCTAAATATAGACCGTAGCCAATAGGACTTACGTAGCAAGAGAAACACAAACCTGGAGACAAGCTGGGGATACAAACACATTCAGAGTCACTCATATGAGCATTTGATTTCATTCACGTGTTGTGTTACCCTTCCGTGCACAGGAGTGGTGGAATATGATGATACACACAGTGCCCGCAGTGTTTTTAACAGGAAAACTCCTTCGAACCGAGGCCCTAATGTGATATTTTAAGTGTCACCTGATCTGCTTTACAGCACCAAAGGGAATCAAATGATCCTGCTCAGTTTAATAGTGGAGATAAAGTTAAGGGAGCACACATTCTAAGCTGTTAAAAGTACAGCGTTCCTCTCCCTTTCAGTTTTTACACTTTTGCACCTGTTGCACAACAACAGGACACTTTAGTGTGTCTGATCATCGCATGGACATTTTCAATGCCGAGGCCCAATGGAACGCACTCCAGCAACGTATGTACGAGCTGAAAACAAAAGAAACACGACATGGTCTGTCATAAGCAATCTGTATATTTCAGGAATACGCAACTCTGACGCACGTCCAGAAAGCCGTGAAGCTGAATCCGAATGCTGTAGTTTTTTTTTTCTTTTTAATTATTGTTTATCAATTCAATTTTTCGGTTTTCGGTCACTCACAGAATCATCCCAATTGCTGTAAAGAAAATGCACACCTCTGATGATTATGAGAGCTTCACCAGTAAGGAGAGCACTTCACGAAAACTGATCTAGTAGTTGCAGCTTTGTTGGCAAAAGTCCAGAACAGAAGTGTGTGGGAGAACTTAGCAGGACATTCCTCTCTGCTTTCTCTACAGTTACACATGAACACTCACCCAGACAGCCATTAAAGCTGTCTGTCCCAATCAGAGCGGTGTCCGGCACGCTGCTGCACATATGTCTGCAGCGTTAGATATAAATGCATGGCTTCCAGGCATTTAGACAGCCACTCGAGTTTAAAACCACTTCTAGAAATTACTCTTAAGAAAAGTTTAGACGGATAGATTGAACCCCATCTCTTGGCCAGAGACAGCACCCCTCCAGGTGGTCCTCTCTGCTCCTTTATAAAGAGCTCAATCACACAAAAAGACTGAAGATAATTCTGTAACATCCCTGAAAACAGAGCTCAGCTCTGGCCTCAATACACCCACTTATTCAGGGACAAAATTAAATTGCGGCTACATATTAAAAACCAGTGACGGAAGGTCACCCCGAGAGGAGCAAATCCCATTATAAGAATTAATTTCTTGACTGATTTAAACTAGTAAAAAGGATAAAATTATTAAAAGATCAAATTATGCTGAAAACTCTTCATGTGTCAGACAGCGGCGCCGAGTCAAACGATTGAAATCACAGTGTTGAAACAGCCCTTTGTGTTAATGGTTAGTGCATTTTGCAGGCAAATTTGAACTTGAAAAAATTAAGAAAACAATTAAGGGGTTAAGAAACAGGCTATTATATCATAGACTGATTGATCATAAAATGGTCTGCTTGAATTTGTTTGGAAACTAAATATAAAGGGAAATGTTTTCTAGGTTTGTTCTAACAAAGCGAACAGTTCACACTTTCCCATTGAAGGTAACTCTGCATTCATCTCCTTTGTGCAGTGAGTGTCGTTGCGAGCTTTCCCTGCAAAATTTCAAACATGTAAAGGCACTCCAGGTGGAATTCTTCCTTCAATTGTGCATCAGGAACGTCTCTTGGCAGTTTTCTCAATTTTTTCAGCTGTGATTTGAGCATACTTCCAAACACTGTGGCCGCATTGTAGAAAGGCAAAATAAATAAAGGCCTTTTTGGTGGCTTTTTCTCATGTGTTCGACTTCAGCTTTAGACTACAGAAACACCCTTTGCAAAGAACTTAAAATCGCAGTATTTTTTAACTGTGTTTGTTTTTGCTTTTCACCTCGTCTGCAAAGTTCAGTGTTTGTTTGAGTTTTGAGACGCTGAGGTTCTCTGTCTGTGAACAAAAGGAAACAGGAGTGTAATCTTGAGTGACAGATCCCCCCCCAGCGCCGTGCGGGTGTCTGTCAGTGTGCCTGGGGTGGTTATCGGTGACTGCAGGCATGCCTTTTTCACCGCCGAGAGACAGCTGGGCAGAGAAGTTCAGACTGCACGCGGAGAGCACATTTAAAAGAAAAATGGCTTCCCTGTTGATACACTCACGCAGAAACAAAGCAGTACCCATTATGGCCGTTTGTTGCCTGCTGGATTCAGCGCTGAACGGTCAGGGGCATGATGGAGGTTTCCACAAAAGCACACAAATTTGAAGCACTCACTGTAATAGTCACAATTATAAACTGAACACATCCAGCTACGCATGTCGGTCCCTGACGATCAGTGAAGACAATACAGAGGATGATTCTAAAAATAAATGTTTGAAATAAGGCTATAAGGGTTAATACTTTATCCAATAACTTGGAAAATCAAAAGGGGTGAGAAAAGTCATTCATATGACAGTGAGGGTAGACGAATGTCCAGATCCCTGTCTAATTTCTGCAGCGTTCCCTCTCTTCTTTGCAGAATTCCCTGTGCGATGCAGCAAGGTGAACTCACCAATCCTTTTTGACTAAATGACAGAAAAATAAATAAATCAGTGGAAAAACAGCTTAAGGATACGTTGTGAGAGCACTGCGCTGGTTTCTGCTCCGCGTCACGGTGGCATCGGAAAGACGAAGGCCAGCCAATTACAGCTTTCACACCCCGTCCTCCCTATTGTTTCCAACTCCAGCTAAACACACCTCAGTCTCCAGTGAGCTCTGCCAACAGGCCTAGTGTCGGAGATATAAAAAACCCAGTTCTCCAGAGAATGTTGTGTCAGAATTATGAAGATACTGCAGCTACCTGCTCTATCTATCTATCTATCTATCTATCTATCTATCTATCTATCTATCT